GTTCCTGGAGAGGATTTCTCAGTTTTCCTCTTTCCAAGGTTCCTTGAGAAGATTTATCAGTTTTCCTCCTACCAATGTTCCTGGAGAGGAGCTATCAGTTTTCCTCCTTCGAAGGTTCCTGGAGAGGATCTATCAGTTTTCCTCCGTCGAAGGTTCCTGGAGAGAATCTATCAGTTTTCCTCCTACCAAGGTTCCTGGAGTGGATATATCAGTTTTCCTCCTTCCAAGGTTCCTGGAGAGGATCTATCAGTTTTCCTCTTTCCAAGGTTCCTGGAGAGGATCTATCAGTTTTCCTCCTACCAATGTTCCTGGAGAGGATCAATCAGTTTTCCTTCTTCAAAGGTTCCTGGAGAGGATCTGTCAGTTTTCCCCTTTCCAAGGTTCCTGGAGAGGATTTATCAGTTTTCCTCCTACCAAGATTCCTAGAGAGAACCTATCAGTTCTCATCTTTCCATAGTTCCTGGAGAGGATCTATCAGTTTTCCTCTTTCCAAGGTTCCTGGAGAGGATCTATCAGTTTTCCTCCTACCAAGGTTCCTGGAGAGGATCAATCAGTGTTCCGCTTTCCAAGGTTCCTGGAGAGGATTTCTCAGTTTCCCTCTTTCCAAGGTTCCTGGAGAGGATTTATCAGTTTTCCTCCCACCAAGGTTCCTGGAGAGGATCTGTCATTTTTCCTCCAACCAAGGTTCCTGGAGAGGACCTATCAGTTCTCATCTTTCCAAGGTTCCTGGAGAGGACCTATCAGTTCTCATCTTTCCAATGTTCCTGGAGAGGATCTATCAGTTTTTTCCTTTCCAAGGTTCCTGGAGAGGATCTATCAGTTTTCCTCCTACCAAGGTTCCTGGAGTGGATATATCAGTTTTCCTCCTTCCAAGGTTCCTGGAGAGGATCTATCAGTTTTCCTCTTTCCAAGGTTCCTGGAGAGGATCTATCAGTTTTCCTCCTACCAATGTTCCTGGAGAGGATCAATCAGTTTTCCTTCTTCAAAGGTTCCTGGAGAGGATCTGTCAGTTTTCCCATTTCCAAGGTTCCTGGAGAAGATTTATCAGTTTTCCTCCTACCAAGATTCCTAGAGAGGACCTATCAGTTCTCATCTTTCCATAATTCCTGGAGAGGATCTATCAGTTTTCCTCTTTCCAAGGTTCCTGGAGAGGATCTATCAGTTTTCCTCCTACCAAGGTTCCTGGAGAGGATCAATCAGTGTTCCACTTTCCAAGGTTCCTGGAGAGGATTTCTCAGTTTCCCTCTTTCCAAGGTTCCTGGAGAGGATTTATCAGTTTTCCTCCCACCAAGGTTCCTGGAGAGGATCTGTCATTTTTCCTCCTACCAAGGTTCCTGGAGAGGACCTATCAGTTCTCATCTTTCCAAGGTTCCTGGAGAGGACCTATCAGTTCTCATCTTTCCAAGGTTCCTGAAGAGGATCTATCAGTTCTCATCTTTCCAAGGTTCCTGGAGAGGATCTCTCAGTTTTCCTCTTTCCAATGTTCCTGGAGAGGATCTATCAGTTTTTTCCTTTCCAAGGTTCCTGGAGAGGATCTATCAGTTTTCCTCCTACCAAGGTTCCTGGAGAGGATCTATCAGTTTTCCTCCTACCAAGGTTCCTGGAGAGGATCTATCAGTTTTCCTCCTACCAAGGTTCCAGGAGAGGATCTATCAGTTTTCCTCCTAACAAGGTTCCTGGAAAGGATCTATCAGTTTTCCTCCTTCCAATGTTCCTGGAGAGGATCTATCAGTTTTCCTCCTACCAAGGTTCCAGGAGAGGATCTATCAGTTTTCCTCCTACCAAGGTTCCTGGAAAGGATCTATCAGTTTTCCTCCTTCCAATGTTCCTGGAGGGGATCTATCAGTTCTCCTCCTTCCAAGGTTCCTGGAGAGGATCTATCAGGGTCTAATGAGAGTAAGGGGAATGTCCATTTTTGAGGAGTAGGTAATGTAAGAGGTAAGTGAATAGAATTTCATACACAGGAAGCAGAGAAACAGGGCGAAATTATTCTGTAAACTCCTCGTATTGTTTATTTAATTTAGAAATCCCCACCCCAAACTTCCTCAATCAGCAATGACTGTGTATTTTATACATGTCTTTCCAGAACGTTTTTCTTTTTTTTTATATATCTATCTGCCTTCAATTTCTTTCTCTCCGTTGTCCATTCAGCATCTCAGGATACTCTGCAACATGACCGTAGACAACAATTCCAGTGAACTGAACAAAATACATTCAACGCCAAATCCACCCGTAACTAAAAATGAGGAGAAAATCCCCCCCAAAAAGGAGTCATGCTGTGACACTCTAAAGGTAAATAGTTTGAAATTTAGCAAATCTGCTTTTTTAGGAAACGCTAATCTTGATAATTCATATCCTGCAAATCCTCTTCCCATAAAATGGAAGCCTTCTAAAGAAGGAGAGAATTGCCAGCTAAGCTCCCAGAGGCCAGATGTGATCATGGCTCCCAGATAGTCTAACAACTCCTAGCTTTCATTAAATCTCTGGAATTTAAAAAAAATATTGGCTAATCAAGTGTTCTATCCGAAACAATACATTGTTTTTATCCGTGTCCCAGAGAGTGCAAATAATGCAATGATTATTTTTTAAGTTGTAGATCAAATGAGAAATTGGAATCTAACTACACACAGAGCTATTTATAGGACCTGATTAGGATCTTACAGTTTATCCTATTCTTGACGCTTAGTTGGAAATTGGAAAGGGTTCATTCATGCAATCTGCACTTTGTTCCAGATACCATTACCAGTGTTTTGCATTTAAGGATATGTTTTGTCCCTGTGTTGTCTTATGGATGCTCTGTTTGTGTAGATTAGTAACAGACATTCCTGTGGCTTCACGTGTAGGTCACAACAATGGGTGACTGACAACACAAATTAAGGTGGAAACGTATTTCCAAACTGAGAACTGGAAGATATTTCAGGTAGATTGACCTTGTATCCACCTTCATTGATTGCGACAGTCTCTCCTTGTCTCAGGGTTCAGATTTATGACTAAATCAGTGCTTCCCAAAACAGCCCTCAAGGCATCACTACCAGTCCAGGATTTAGGGATTATCCAGTTGTGTCTAAAAAACACATTAGATACAACTGGGTAATCCCTAAATCCTGGACTAGTAGGTGTACCTGGAGACTAGTTTGGACAAAATAACTGAGATGCATTAAATAGGGATGTGATAAGCAGTTACTTGTTACCCTGAGTTTTTGGTCAAACTGCTCTAGGCGAACCAGAAAGAGATTTCCATTCCCATTTTGTTGGGAATTTCCATTTCCATTCCATGACAGTTTGGTGATCGGGTAAAATCATAAGTGAATATATTGTCCTTAATAGAGAGATCTAGCAGTTTTCGCCCTTCACATTTCTAGTTGTGGAAGGGATTGGTCGGAAGGTGAAGTTCTGAATAACTTTCCAGACGTCGGCTGATCTCGATACATCAGTGTATGAACAGTTAGATCAATAACCTTTAAAGTATTTGCCCTTAGGTGATTCCCAAGCTAGTGACTCTGTTGACCCATGCTGTAGTGTGGGTTGTAACAGACCAACATTAACTGAGGTTGGAGATATTCTGGACAGACTATGGGCCTCATATAAGGTTTAATCCGTACCACTCTATATTATTGATTATTAATGGGACACTCCACTGACCTGTTAACTCGGCTTTATTAAATATTTACCCCACCCAATGCCCACAGGTAGGACCACATCATTTACTGTCCTCATCCTCATGTGATGTGTACCTTCTAGCGATGTGGCACCAATAGTTTCCTCTTGGCTAGTTTAGTTTTTAGCTGTGGCTGCTCAATTCCTAGTAAATATGCCTCCACTTGTGGCAAGGAGGTGTGGGCATAAGAGAGTCATTAAATCTATTTTAGTAATATGGCTATCATATTAAATCCCATTGTCTTTATTGTTTATTTTATTTTTTTGCTTGTTAATGGGGCGGCTGGCCACATGATTAACAGGATTAAACCTCATGCTGCCAAATGGTTTTAACTGTTTGCTTACTAACTGCTAGTGCTTTCAGCAGGCAAAATGTTCTTATTATCAATTATCACTAACTGGCAAAAAGCAGATAAAAATAAATCAGTATATACAAGAAATAAAAATCTGGTCAGCATTCGTCCATTTTCTCCAAATTTTGTCCATCTAGACAAATTGGTTATTTGGTAAATAGACCTGTGAAATATTGCACATTGACCCCTGACCTCCTGCCTTCTCTCACTCTGCTGCCTCACTGACTGTACTAATCGCCAGTTAACTGTCATGACAGACCACACACATTCATTTACACTGGAAGTCAAAACATCCGTGCTATCAAAGCAACTCCAGCAAAGGCTCCATGAGTTCTGCCTCTGCATTATTGAAGGGTGGAATTCATGATCTTGCGCAGTATTCCAGAAATGGAGGAGTCAGAAAACATAGGGCATTCCTATTAGAAGAGTTGTGAGGGAATTCTGGACAAATCCATAATATCTGGAGAAAAGGAAAGAAGGAGAACTGTTAGAGTTTGTCGATTATGCCTTGACAGTGCTCTACAATTCCCGTTATAACTCACCATATTTCCATTTTAGGGAACAGAACCCACCATGTTTCTATTTTAGGGAATATAAGCCACCATGTTTCCCTTTTAGGGGATAGAACCTACCAGGTTTCCATTTAAGGAATAGAACCCACCATGTTTCCCTTTTAGGGGATAGAACCTACCAGGTTTCCATTTAAGGAATAGAACCCACCATGTTTTCCTTTAAGGGGATATAACCTACCAGGTATCCATTTAAGGAATAGAACCCACCATGTTTCTATTTTAGGGAATAGAACCCACCATGTTTCCACTGTAGGGAATGGAACCCACCATGTTTCCATTGTAGGGAATAGAACCCACCATGTTTCCATTGTATGGAATAGAACCCACCATGTTTCCAGTTTAGGGAATAGAACCCACCATGTTTCCATTTTAGGGAATAGATCCCACCATTTTTCCATTTTAGGGAATAGAACCCACCATATTTCCATTTTAGGGAATAGAACCCACCATGTTTCTGTTTTAGGGAATAGAACCCACCATGTTTCCATTTTAGGTTACCATGTTTGGTTGCATTTTAGGGAATTGAACCCACCATGTTTCCAGTTTAGGAAATAGAACCCACCAGGGAATATTATTATTATTATTATTATTATTATCATTTATATAGCGCCAACAGATTCCGTAGCGCTTTACAATATTATGAGGGGGGGGGATGTAACAATAAATAGGACAATTACAAGAAAACTTACAGGAACAATAGGTTGAAGAGGACCCTGCTCAAACGAGCTTACAGACTATAGGAGGTGGGGTATTAGAAACATTAGGACAAGAAATATCAAGTAGGAGTGAATCAGAGCTGGGGGAGAGAGCAAAGCACTGTCTCATAGGAGAGAGCAGGAGACAGGTATGTAAGGTAGAGATTACTCCGGGAGGCCATTAGCTTTCCTGAAGAGATGGGTTTTAAGGCCCTTCTTAAATGATTGAAGACTAGGGGAGAGTCTGATGGCAGTAGGCAAGCTATTCCATAGGAGAGGAGCCACCCGCGAGAGGTCCTGCAAGCGCGAGTTGGCCGTACGGGTGCGAGCAGCGGTCAGGAGGTGGTCACGGGCAGAGCGGAGGGCACGAGGAGGGGCATATCTATGGATTAGTGAAGAGATATAAGTGGGGCTAGAATTGTTCAGTGCTTTAAATGTGTGGGTTAGCACTTTGAATTGACTCCTATAGCATACAGGTAAGGTCTGGCAGAGGGATGTTTGCATTTTAGGGAATTGAACCCACCATGTTTCCATTTTAGGGAATATAACCCACCATGTTTCCATTTTATGGAATAGAACCCACCATGTTTCCATTTTAGGGAATAGAACCCACCATGTTTCCATTTTAGGGAATAGATCCCACCATGTTTCCATTTTAGGGAATAGAACCCACCATGTTTCCATTTTAGGGAATAGAACCCACCATGTTTCTATTTTAGGGACTAGAACCCACCATGTTTCCATTAAGGAATAGAACCCACCATGTTTCCATTTAAGAAATAGAACTCACCAGGATTCAATTTTAGGGAATATAACTCACCATGTTTCCATCTTAGGGAATAGAACCCACCATGTTTCCATTTTAGGGAATATAACTCACCATGTTTCCATTTTAGGTAATAGAACCCACCATGTTTCTATTAAGCAAGAGAACCCATCATGTTTCCATTTTAGGGAATCAAACCCACCATGTTTCCATTTTAGGGAATAGATCCCACCATGTCTCCATTTTAGGGAAGAGAACCCACCATGTTTCCATTTAAGGAATAGAACCCACCATGTTTCCATTTAAGGAATAGAACTCACCAGGATTCCATTTTAGGGAATATAACTCACCATGTTTCCATCTTAGGGAATAGAACCCACCATGTTTTCATTTTAGGGAATAAAACTCACCATGTTTCCATTTTAGGTAATAGAACCCACCATGTTTCTATTAAGCAAGAGAACCCATCATGTTTCCATTTTAGGGAATCAAACCCACCATGTTTCCATTTTAGGGAATAGATCCCACCATGTCTCCATTTTAGGGAAGAGAACCCACCATGTTTCCATTGTAGGGAATAGAACCCGCCATGTTTCCATCTTAGGGAATATAACCCATCATATTTGCATTTTAGGGAAAAGATCCCACCATGTTTCCATTTTAGGGAATAGAACCCACCATGTTTCCATTTAAGGAATATAATCCACCATGTTTCCATTTTAGGGAATAGAACCCACCATGTTTCCATTTTAGGGAATAGAACCCACCATGTTTCCATTTAAGGAATATAACCCACCATGTTTCCATTTTAGGTAAAGGAACCCACCATATTTCCATTATAAGGAATAGAACCCGTCATGTTTCCATTTTAGGGAATATAACTCACCATGTTTCCATTTTAGGGAATAGAGCTCACCATGTTTCCATTTTAGGAATATATCTCACATGTTTCCATTTTAGGGAATAGAATCCACCATGTTTCCATTTTAGGGAATATATCCCACCATGTTTCTATTTTTTGGAATAGATCCCACCACGTTTCCCTTTTAGGGAGTAGAACCTGCCATGTTTCCATTTTACGGAAAATAACAAACCATGTTTCCAGTTTAGGGAATAGAACCTGCCATGTTTCCATTTTAGGAAATAGAACCCACCATGTTTCCATTTTAGGGAATAGAACTCACCATGTTTCCGTTTTAGGGAGTAGAACCCACCATGTTTCCATTTAAGGAATAGAACCCACCATGTTTCCATTTTAGGGAATAGAACCCACCATGTTTCCATTTCAGGAATAGAACCCACTATGTTTCCGTTTTAGGGAAAATAACCCACCCATGTTTCCATTTTAGGGAATAGAACCCACCATGTTTCCATTTTAGGGAATAGATCCCACCATGTTTCCATTTTAGGGAATAGAACCCACCATGTTTCTATTTTAGGGACTAGAACCCACCATGTTTCCATTAAGGAATAGAACCCACCATGTTTCCATTTAAAGAATAGAACTCACCAGGATTCCATTTTAGGGAATAGAACTCACCATGTTTCCATCTTAGGGAATAGAACCCATGTTTCCATCTTAGGGAATAGAACCCACCATGTTTCCATTGTAGGGAATAGAACCCACCATGTTTCCATTGTAGGGAATAGAACCCACCATGTTTCCATTTTAGGGAATAAAACCCACCATGTTTGGTTGTATTTTAGGGAATTGAACCCACCATGTTTCCATTTTAGGGAATAGAACCCACCATGTTTCCATTTTAGGGAATAGAACCCACCATGTTTCCATTTTAGAGAATAGAACCCACCATGTTTGCATTTTAGGGAATTGAACCCACCATGTTTCCATTTTAGGGAATATAACCCACCATGTTTCCATTTTATGGAATAGAACACACCATGTTTCCATTTTATGGAATAGAACACACCATGTTTCCATTTTAGGAAATAGAACCCACCATGTTTTCATTTAAGGAATATAACCCACCATGTTTCCATCTTAGGGAATAGAACCCACCATATTTCTGTTTTAGGGAATAGAACCCACCATGTTTCCATTTTAGGCAATAGATCCCACCATTTTTCCATTTTAGGGAATAGAACCCACCATGTTTCCATTTTAGGGAATAGAACCCACCATGTTTGCATTTTAGGGAATAGATCCCACCATGTTTCCATTTTAGGGAATAGAACCCACCATGTTTCCATTTAAGGAATATAATCCACTATGTTTCTGTTTTAGGGAATAGAACTCACCATGTTTCCATCTTAGGGAATAGAACCCACAATGTTTCCATTTTATGGAATGTAACCCACCATGTTTCTGTTTTAGGGAATAGAATCCACCATGTTTCCATTTTAAGGAATAGAACCCACCATGTTTCCATGTAAGGAAAATAACCCACCATGTTTCCATTTTAGGTAAAGGAACCCACCTTATTTCCATATAAGGAATAGAACCCGTCATGTTTCCATTTTAGGGAATATAACTCAACATGTTTCCATTTTAGGGAATAGAATCCACCATGTTTCCATTTTAGGGAATATATCCCACCATGTTTCTATTTTTTGGAATAGATCCCACCACGTTTCCCTTTTAGGGAGTAGAACCTGCCATGTTTCCATTTTACGGAAAATAACAAACCATGTTTCCAGTTTAGGGAATAGAACCTGCCATGTTTCCATTTTAGGAAATAGAACCCACCATGTTTCCATTTTAGGGAATAGAACTCACCATGTTTCCGTTTTAGGGAGTAGAACCCACCATGTTTCCATTTAAGGAATAGAACCCACCATGTTTCCATTTTAGGGAATATAACCCACCATGTTTCCATTTCAGGAATAGAACCCACTATGTTTCAGTTTTAGGGAAAATAACCCACCATGTTTCCATTTTAGGGAATAGAACCCACCATGTTTCCATTTTAGGGAATAGATCCCACCATGTTTCCATTTTAGGGAATAGAACCCACCATGTTTCTATTTTAGGGACTAGAACCCACCATGTTTCCATTAAGGAATAGAACCCACCATGTTTCCATTTAAAGAATAGAACTCACCAGGATTCCATTTTAGGGAATAGAACTCACCATGTTTCCATCTTAGGGAATAGAATCCACCATGTTTCCATTTTAGGGAATATATCCCACCATGTTTCTATTTTTTGGAATAGATCCCACCATGTTTCCCTTTTAGGGAGTAGAACCTGCCATGTTTCCATTTTACGGAAAATAACAAACCATGTTTCCAGTTTAGGGAATAGAACCTGCCATGTTTCCATTTTAGGAAATAGAACCCACCATGTTTCCATTTTAGGGAATAGAACTCACCATGTTTCCGTTTTTGGGAGTAGAACCCACCATGTTTCCATTTAAGGAATAGAACCCACCATGTTTCCATTTTAGGGAATAGAACCCACCATGTTTCCATTTCAGGAATAGAACCCACTATGTTTCAGTTTTAGGGAAAATAACCCACCATGTTTCTATTTTAGGGAATAGAACCCACCATGTTTCCATTTTAGTGAATAGATCCCACCATGTTTCCATTTTAGGGAATAGAACCCACCATGTTTCTATTTTAGGGACTAGAACCCACCATGTTTCCATTAAGGAATAGAACCCACCATGTTTCCATTTAAAGAATAGAAATCACCAGGATTCCATTTTAGGGAATAGAACTCACCATGTTTCCATCTTAGGGAATAGAACCCACCATGTTTCCATTGTAGGGAATAGAACCCACCATGTTTCCATTGTAGGGAATAGAACCCACCATGTTTCCATTTTAGGGAATAAAACCCACCATGTTTGGTTGTATTTTAGGGAATTGAACCCACCATGTTTCCATTTTAGGGAATAGAACCCACCATGTTTCCATTTTAGGGAATAGAACCCACCATGTTTCCATTTTAGAGAATAGAACCCACCATGTTTGCATTTTAGGGAATTGAACCCACCATGTTTCCATTTTAGGGAATATAACCCACCATGGTTCCATTTTATGGAATAGAACACACCATGTTTCCATTTTATGGAATAGAACACACCATGTTTCCATTTTAGGAAATAGAACACACCATGTTTCCATTTAAGGAATATAACCCACCATGTTTCCATCTTAGGGAATAGAACCCACCATATTTCTGTTTTAGGGAATAGAACCCACCATGTTTCCATTTTAGGCAAGAGATCCCACCATTTTTCCATTTTAGGGAATAGAACCCACCATGTTTCCATTTTAGGGAATAGAACCCACCATGTTTCTATTTTAGGGACTAGAACCCACCATGTTTCCCACCATGTTTCCATTTCAGGAATAGAACCCACTATGTTTCAGTTTTAGGGAAAATAACCCACCATGTTTCCATTTTAGGGAATAGAACCCACCATGTTTCCATTTTAGGGAATAGAACCCACCATGTTTCCATTTTAGGGAATAGAACCCACCATGTTTCTATTTTAGGGACTAGAACCCACCATGTTTCCATTAAGGAATAGAACCCACCATGTTTCCATTTAAAGAATAGAACTCACCAGGATTCCATTTTAGGGAATAGAACTCACCATGTTTCCATCTTAGGGAATAGAACCCACCATGTTTCCATTGTAGGGAACAGAACCCACCATGTTTCCATTGTAGGGAATAGATCCCACCATTTTTCCATTTTAGGGAATAGAACCCACCATGTTTCCATTTTAGGGAATAGAACCCACCATGTTTCTATTTTAGGGACTAGAACCCACCATGTTTCCATTTTAGGGAATAGATCCCACCATGTCTCCATTTTAGGGAAGAGAACCCACCATGTTTCCATTGTAGGGAATAGAACCCGCCATGTTTCCATCTTAGGGAATATAACCCACCATGTTTCCATTTAAGGAATATAATCCACTATGTTTCTGTTTTAGGGAATAGAACTCACCATGTTTCCATCTTAGGGAATAGAATCCACCATGTTTCCATTTTAGGGAATATATCCCACCATGTTTCTATTTTTTGGAATAGATCCCACCACGTTTCCCTTTTAGGGAGTAGAACCTGCCATGTTTCCATTTTACGGAAAATAACAAACCATGTTTCCAGTTTAGGGAATAGAACCTGCCATGTTTCCATTTTAGGAAATAGAACCCACCATGTTTCCATTTTAGGGAATAGAACTCACCATGTTTCCGTTTTAGGGAGTAGAACCCACCATGTTTCCATTTAAGGAATAGAACCCACCATGTTTCCATTTTAGGGAATATAACCCACCATGTTTCCATTTCAGGAATAGAACCCACTATGTTTCAGTTTTAGGGAAAATAACCCACCATGTTTCCATTTTAGGGAATAGAACCCACCATGTTTCCATTTTAGGGAATAGATCCCACCATGTTTCCATTTTAGGGAATAGAACCCACCATGTTTCTATTTTAGGGACTAGAACCCACCATGTTTCCATTAAGGAATAGAACCCACCATGTTTCCATTTAAAGAATAGAACTCACCAGGATTCCATTTTAGGGAATAGAACTCACCATGTTTCCATCTTAGGGAATAGAACCCACCATGTTTCCATTGTAGGGAATAGAACCCACCATGTTTCCATTGTAGGGAATAGAACCCACCATGTTTCCATTGTAGGGAATAGAACCCACCATGTTTCCATTTTAGGGAATAAAACCCACCATGTTTGGTTGTATTTTAGGGAATTGAACCCACCATGTTTCCATTTTAGGGAATAGAACCCACCATGTTTCCATTTTAGGGAATAGAACCCACCATGTTTCCATTTTAGAGAATAGAACCCACCATGTTTGCATTTTAGGGAATTGAACCCACCATGTTTCCATTTTAGGGAATATAACCCACCATGTTTCCATTTTATGGAATAGAACACACCATGTTTCCATTTTATGGAATAGAACACACCATGTTTCCATTTTAGGAAATAGAACCCACCATGTTTCCATTTAAGGAATATAACCCACCATGTTTCCATCTTAGGGAATAGAACCCACCATATTTCTGTTTTAGGGAATAGAACCCACCATGTTTCCATTTTAGGCAATAGAACCCACCATTTTTCCATTTTAGGGAATAGAACCCACCATGTTTCCATTTTAGGGAATAGAACCCACCATGTTTCTATTTTAGGGACTAGAACCCACCATGTTTCCATTAAGGAATAGAACCCACCATGTTTCCATTTAAGGAATATAACTCACCAGGATTCCATTTTAGGGAATAGAACTCACCATGTTTCCATCTTAGGGAATATAACCCACCATGTTTCCATTTTAGGGAATAGAACCCACCATGTTTACCAGTTTAGGGAATAGAACCCACCATGTTTCCATTGTAGGGAATAGAACCCACCAAGTTTCCATTTTAGGGAGTAGAACCCACCATGTTTCCATTTTAGGGAATAGAACCCACAATGTTTGGTTGTAGTTTAGGGAATTGAACCCACCATGTTTCTAGTTTAGGGAATATAACCCACCATGTTTCCATTTTAGGGAATTGAACCCACCATGTTTCCATTTTAGGGAATATAACCCACCATGTTTCCATTTTATGGAAGAGAACCCACCATGTTTCCATTTTAGGGAATAGAACCCACCATGTTTTCATTTAAGGAATAGAACCCACCATGTTTCCATCTTAGGGAATAGAACCCACCATGTTTCTGTTTTAGGGAATAGAACCCACCATGTTTCCATTTTAGGGAATAGATCCCACCATTTTTCCATTTTATGGAATAGAACCCACCATGTTTCCATTTTAGGTAATAGAACCCACCATGTTTCTATTTTAGTGACTAGAACCCACCATGTTTCCATTAAGGAATAGAACCCACCATGTTTCCATTTAAGGAATAGAACTCACCAGGATTCCATTTTAGGGAATATAACTCACCATGTTTCCATCTTAGGAAATAGAACCCACCATGTTTCCTTTGAGGGAATATAACTCACCATGTTTCCATTTTAGGTAATAGAACCCACCATGTTTCTATTAAGCAAGAGAACCCATCATGTTTCCATTTTAGGGAATCAAACCCACCATGTTTCCATTTTAGGGAATAGATCCCACCATGTCTCCATTTTAGGGAAGAGAACCCACCATGTTTCCATTGTAGGGAATAGAACCCACCATGTTTCCATCTTAGGGAATATAACCCATCATATTTGCATTTTAGGGAATAGATCCCACCATGTTTCCATTTTAGGGAATAGAACCCACCATGTTTCCATTTAAGGAATATAATCCACTATGTTTCTGTTTTAGGGAATAGAACTCACCATGTTTCCATCTTAGGGAATAGAACCCACAATGTTTCCATTTTATGGAATGTAACCCACCATGTTTCTGTTTTAGGGAATAGAATCCACCATGTTTCCATTTTAAGGAATAGAACCCACCATGTTTCCATGTAAGGAAAATAACCCACCATGTTTCCATTTTAGGTAAAGGAACCCACCTTATTTCCATATAAGGAATAGAACCCGTCATGTTTCCATTTTAGGGAATATAACTCACCATGTTTCCATTTTAGGGAATAGAGCTCACCATGTTTCCATTTTATGGAATATATCTCAACATATTTCCATTTTAGGGAATAGAATCCACCATGTTTCCATTTTAGGGAATATATCCCACCATGTTTCTATTTTTTGGAATAGATCCCACCACGTTTCCCTTTTAGGGAGTAGAACCTGCCATGTTTCCATTTTACGGAAAATAACAAACCATGTTTCCAGTTTAGGGAATAGAACCTGCCATGTTTCCATTTTAGGAAATAGAACCCACCATGTTTCCATTTTAGGGAATAGAACTCACCATGTTTCCGTTTTTGGGAGTAGAACCCACCATGTTTCCATTTAAGGAATAGAACCCACCATGTTTCCATTTTAGGGAATAGAACCCACCATGTTTCCATTTCAGGAATAGAACCCACTATGTTTCAGTTTTAGGGAAAATAACCCACCATGTTTCCATTTTAGGGAATAGAACCCACCATGTTTCCATTTTAGGGAATAGAACTCACCATGTTTCCATCTTAGGGAATAGAATCCACCATGTTTCCATTTTAGGGAATATATCCCACCATGTTTCTATTTTTTGGAATAGATCCCACCACGTTTCCCTTTTAGGGAGTAGAACCTGCCATGTTTCCATTTTACGGAAAATAACAAACCATGTTTCCAGTTTAGGGAATAGAACCTGCCATGTTTCCATTTTAGGAAATAGAACCCACCATGTTTCCATTTTAGGGAATAGAACTCACCATGTTTCCGTTTTTGGGAGTAGAACCCACCATGTTTCCATTTAAGGAATAGAACCCACCATGTTTCCATTTTAGGGAATAGAACCCACCATGTTTCCATTTCAGGAATAGAACCCACTATGTTTCAGTTTTAGGGAAAATAACCCACCATGTTTCCATTTTAGGGAATAGAACCCACCATGTTTCCATTTTAGGGAATAGAACCCACCATGTTTCTATTTTAGGGAATAGAACCCACCATGTTTCCATTAAGGAATAGAACCCACCATGTTTCCATTTAAAGAATAGAACTCACCAGGATTCCATTTTAGGGAATAGAACTCACCATGTTTCCATCTTAGGGAATAGAACCCACCATGTTTCCATTGTAGGGAATAGAACCCACCATGTTTCCATTGTAGGGAATAGAACCCACCATGTTTCCATTGTAGGGAATAGAACCCACCATGTTTCCATTTTAGGGAATAAAACCCACCATGTTTGGTTGTATTTTAGGGAATAGAACCCACTATGTTTCAAGGGAAAATAACCCACCATGTTTCTATTTTAGGGAATAGAACCCACCATGTTTCCATTTTAGGAATAGATCCCACCATGTTTCCATTTTAGGGAATAGAACCCACCATGTTTCTATTTTAGGGACTAGAACCCACCATGTTTCCATTAAGGAATAGAACCCACCATGTTTCCATTTAAAGAACACCACCATTTAGGGAATAGAACCACCATGTTTCCATCTTAGGGAATAGAACCCACCATGTTTCCAAGGGAATAGAACCCACCATGTTTCCATTGTAGGGAATAGAACCCACCATGTTTCCATTGTAGGGAATAGAACCCACCATGTTTCCATTTTAGGGAATAAAACCCACCATGTTTGGTTGTATTTTAGGGAATTGAACCCACCATGTTTCCATTTTAGGGAATAGAACCCACCATGTTTCCATTTTAGGGAATAGAACATACCATGTTTCCATTTTAGAGAATAGAACCCACCATGTTTGCATTTTAGGGAATTGAACCCACCATGTTTCCATTTTAGGGAATATAACCCACCATGTTTCCATTTTATGGAATAGAACACACCATGTTTCCATTTTATGGAATAGAACACACCATGTTTCCATTTTAGGAAATAGAACCCACCATGTTTCCATTTAAGGAATATAACACACCATGTTTCCATCTTAGGGAATAGAACCCACCATATTTCTGTTTTAGGGAATAGAACCCACCATGTTTCCATTTTAGGCAATAGATCCCACCATTTTTCCATTTTAGGGAATAGAACCCACCATGTTTCCATTTTAGGGAATAGAACTCACCATGTTTGCATTTTAGGGAATAGATCCCACCATGTTTCCATTTTAGGGAATAGAACCCACCATGTTTCCATTTAAGGAATATAATCCACTATGTTTCTGTTTTAGGGAGTAGAACTCACCATGTTTCCATCTTAGGGAATAGAACCCACAATGTTTCCATTTTATGGAATGTAACCCACCATGTTTCTGTTTTAGGGAATAGAATCCACCATGTTTCCATTTTAAGGAATAGAACCCACCATGTTTCCATGTAAGGAAAATAACCCACCATGTTTCCATTTTAGGTAAAGGAACCCACCTTATTTCCATATAAGGAATAGAACCCGTCATGTTTCCATTTTAGGGAATATAACTCACCATGTTTCCATTATAGGGAATAGAGCTCACCATGTTTCCATTTTATGGAATATATCTCAACATGTTTCCATTTTAGGGAATAGAATCCACCATGTTTCCATTTTAGGGAATATATCCCACCATGTTTCTATTTTTTGGAATAGATCCCACCACGTTTCCCTTTTAGGGAGTAGAACCTGCCATGTTTCCATTTTACGGAAAATAACAAACCATGTTTCCAGTTTAGGGAATAGAACCTGCCATGTTTCCATTTAAGGAATAGAACCCACCATGTTTCCATTTTAGGGAATAGAACCCACCATGTTTCCATTTCAGGAATAGAACCCACTATGTTTCAGTTTTAGGGAAAATAACCCACCATGTTTCCATTTTAGGGAATAGAACCCACCATGTTTCCATTTTAGGGAATAGATCCCACCATGTTTCCATTTTAGGGAATAGAACCCACCATGTTTCTATTTTAGGGACTAGAACCCACCATGTTTCCATTAAGGAATAGAACCCACCATGTTTCCATTTAAAGAATAGAACTCACCAGGATTCCATTTTAGGGAATAGAACTCACCATGTTTCCATCTTAGGGAATAGAACTCACCATGTTTCCATCTTAGGGAATAGAACCCACCATGTTTCCATTGCAGGGAATAGAACCCACCATGTTTCCATTGTAGGGAATAGAACCCAACATGTTTCCATTTTAGGGAATAAAACCCACCATGTTTGGTTGTATTTTAGGGAATTGAACCCACCATGTTTCCATTTTAGGGAATAGAACCCACCATGTTTCCATTTTAGGGAATAGAACCCATCATGTTTCCATTTTAGAGAATAGAACCCACCATGTTTGCATTTTAGGGAATTGAACCCACCATGTTTCCATTTTAGGGAATATAACCCACCATGTTTCCATTTTATGGAATAGAACACACCATGTTTCCATTTTATGGAATAGAACACACCATGTTTCCATTTTAGGAAATAGAACCCACCATGTTTCCATTTAAGGAATATAACCCACCATGTTTCCATCTTAGGGAATAGAACCCACCATATTTCCATTTTAGGCAATAGATCCCACCATTTTTGCATTTTAGGGAATAGAACCCACCATGTTTCCATTTTAGGGAATAGAACCCACCATGTTTCTATTTTAGGGACTAGAACCCACCATGTTTCCATTAAGGAATAGAACCCACCATGTTTCCATTTAAGGAATATAACTCACCAGGATTCCATTTTAGGGAATAGAACTCACCATGTTTCCATCTTAGGGAATATAACCCACCATGTTTCCATTTTAGGGAATAGAACCCACCATGTTTCCAGTTTAGGGAATAGAACCCACCATGTTTCCATTGTAGGGAATAGAACCCACCATGTTTCCATTTTAGGGAGTAGAACCCACCATGTTTCCATTTTAGGGAATAGAACCCACAATGTTTGGTTGTAGTTTAGGGAATTGAACCCACCATGTTTCTAGTTTAGGGAATATAACCCACCATGTTTCCATTTTAGGGAATAGAACCCACCATGTTTCTATTTTAGGGACTAGAACCCACCATGTTTCCATTAAGGAATAGAACCCACCATGTTTCCATTTAAGGAATAGAACTCACCTGGATTCCATTTTAGGGAATATAACTCACCATGTTTCCATCTTAGGGAATATAACTCACCATGTTTCCATTGTAGGGAATAGAACCGACCATGTTTCCATTGTAGGGAATAGAACCCACCATGTTTCCAGTTTAGGGAATAGAACCCACCATGTTTCCATTGTAGGGAATAGAACCCACCATGTTTCCATTTTAGGGAATAGAACCCACCATGTTTGGTTGTATTTTAGGGAATTGAACACATCATGTTTCCAGTTTAGGGAATATAACCCACCATGTTTCCATTTTAGGGAATAGAACCCACCATGTTTGCATTTTAGGGAATTGAACCCACCATGTTTCCATTTTAGGGAATATAACCCACCATGTTTCCATTTTATGGAATAGAACCCACCATGTTTCCATTTTAGGGAATAGAACCCACCATGTTTCCATCTTAGGGAATAGAACCCACCATGTTTCTGTTTTAGGGAATAGAACCGACCATGTTTCCATTTTAGGGAATAGATCCCACCATTTTTCAATTTTAGGGAATAGAACCCACCATGTTTCCATTTTAGGGAATATAACTCACCATGTTTCCATCTTACGAAATATAACCCACCATGTTTCCATTGTAGGGAATTGAACCCACCATGTTTCCATTTTAGGGAATAGAACCCACCATGTTTCCAGTTTAGGGAATAGAACCCACCATGTTTCCATTGTAGGGAATAGAACCCACCATGTTTGGTTGTATTTTAGGGAATTGAACCCACCATGTTTCCATGTTAGGGAATATAACCCACCATGTTTCCATTTTAGGGAATAGAACCCACCATGTTTCCATTTTAGGGAATAGAACCCACCATGTTTGCATTTTAAGGAATTGAACCCACCATGTTTCCATTTTAGGGAATATAACCCACCATGTTTCCATTTTATGGAATAGAACCCACCATGTTTCCATTTTAGGGAATAGAACCCACCATGTTTTCATTTAAGGAATAGAACCCACCATGTTTCCATCTTAGGGAATAGAACCCACCATGTTTCTGTTTTAGGAAATAGAACCCACCATGTTTCCATTTTAGGGAATAGAACTCACCATGTTTCCGTTTTAGGGAGTAGAACCCACCATGTTTCCATTTAAGGAATAGAACCCACCATGTTTCCATTTTAGGGAATAGAACCCACCATGTTTCCATTTCAGGAATAGAACCCACCATGTTTCCGTTTTAGGGAAAATAACCCACCATGTTTACATTTTAGGGAATAGAACCCACCATGTTTCCATTAAGGAATATAACCCACCATGTTTCCATTTAAGGAATAGAAATCACCAGGTTTCCATTTTTGGGAATATAACTCACTATGTTTCCATTTTAGGGAATATAACCCACCATGTTTCCATTTTAGGGAATATAACTCACCATGTTTCCGTTTTAGGGAATAGAACCCACCATGTTTCCATCTTAGGGAATAGAACCCACCATGTTCCATTTAAGTAATATAACCCACCATGTTTCCATTTTAGGTAAAGGAACCCACCATATTTCCATATAAGGTATTGAACCCATCGTGTTTCCATCTTAGGGAATAGAACCCACCATGTTTTCATTTTAGAGAATATAATTCACCATGTTTCCATTTTAGGGAATAGAACCCACCATGTTTCCATTTTAGGGAATAGATCCCACCATGTTTCTATTTTTTGGAATAGATCCCACCATGTTTCCCTTGTAGGGAATAGAACCTGCCATGTTTCCATTTTAGGGAATAGAACCCATCATGTTTCCATTTTATGGAATAGAACTCACCATGTTTCCGTTTTAGGGAGTAGAACCCACCATGTTTCCATTTTATGGAATAGAACTCACCATGTTTCCGTTTTAGGGAGTAGAACCCACCATGTTTCCATTTAAGGAATAGAACCCACCATGTTTCCATTTTAGGGAATAGAACCCACCATGTTTCCATTTAAGGAATAGAACCCACCATGTTTCCATTTTAGGGAATATAACTCACCATGATTCCATCTTAGGGAATATAACCCACCATGTTTCCATTGTAGGGAATTGAACCCAGCATGTTTCCATTTTAGGGAATAGAACCCACCATGTTTCCAGTTTAGGGAATAGAACCCACCATGTTTCCATTGTAGGGTATAGAACCCACCATGTTTGGTTGTATTTTAGGGAATTGAACCCACCATGTTTCCATTAAGGAATAGAACCCACCATGTTTCCATTTAAGGAATAGAACTCACCAGGATTCCATTTTAGGGAATATAACTCACCATGTTTCCATCTTAGGAAATAGAACCCACCATGTTTCCATTTGAGGGAATATAACTCACCATGTTTCCATTTTAGGTAATAGAACCCACCATGTTTCTATTAAGCAAGAGAACCCATCATGTTTCCATTTTAGGGAATCAAACCCACCATGTTTCCATTTTAGGGAATAGATCCCACCATGTCTCCATTTTAGGGAAGAGAACCCACCATGTTTCCATTGTAGGGAATAGAACCCGCCATGTTTCCATCTTAGGGAATATAACCCATCATATTTGCATTTTAGAGAATAGATCCCACCATGTTTCCATTTTAGGGAATAGAACCCACCATGTTTCCATTTAAGGAATATAATCCACTATGTTTCTGTTTTAGGGAATAGAACTCACCATGTTTCCATCTTAGGGAATAGAACCCACAATGTTTCCATTTTATGGAATGTAACCCACCATGTTTCTGTTTTAGGGAATAGAATCCACCATGTTTCCATTTTAAGGAATAGAACCCACCATGTTTCCATGTAAGGAAAATAACCCACCATGTTTCCATTTTAGGTAAAGGAACCCACCTTATTTCCATATAAGGAATAGAACCCGTCATGTTTCCATTTTAGGGAATATAACTCACCATGTTTCCATTTTAGGGAATAGAGCTCACCATGTTTCCATTTTATGGAATATATCTCAACATGTTTCCATTTTAGGGAATAGAATCCACCATGTTTCCATTTTAGGGAATATATCCCACCATGTTTCCATTTAAGGAATAGAACCCACCATGTTTCCATTTTAGGGAAAATAACAAACCATGTTTCCAGTTTAGGGAATAGAACCTGCCATGTTTCCATTTTAGGAAATAGAACCCACCATGTTTCCATTTTAGGGAATAGAACTCACCATGTTTCCGTTTTAGGGAGTAGAACCCACCATGTTTCCATTTAAGGAATAGAACCCACCATGTTTCCATTTTAGGGAATATAACCCACCATGTTTCCATTTCAGGAATAGAACCCACTATGTTTCAGTTTTAGGGAAAATAACCCACCATGTTTCCATTTTAGGGAATAGAACCCACCATGTTTCCATTTTAGGGAATAGATCCCACCATGTTTCCATTTTAGGGAATAGAACCCACCATGTTTCTATTTTAGGGACTAGAACCCACCATGTTTCCATTAAGGAATAGAACCCACCATGTTTCCATTTAAAGAATAGAACTCACCAGGATTCCATTTTAGGGAATAGAACTCACCATGTTTCCATCTTAGGGAATAGAATCCACCATGTTTCCATTTTAGGGAATATATCCCACCATGTTTCTATTTTTTGGAATAGATCCCACCATGTTTCCCTTTTAGGGAGTAGAACCTGCCATGTTTCCATTTTACGGAAAATAACAAACCATGTTTCCAGTTTAGGGAATAGAACCTGCCATGTTTCCATTTTAGGAAATAGAACCCACCATGTTTCCATTTTAGGGAATAGAACTCACCATGTTTCCGTTTTAAGGAGTAGAACCCACCATGTTTCCATTTAAGGAATAGAACCCACCATGTTTCCATTTTAGGGAATAGAACCCACCATGTTTCCATTTCAGGAATAGAACCCACTATGTTTCAGTTTTAGGGAAAATAACCCACCATGTTTCCATTTTAGGGAATAGAACCCACCATGTTTCCATTTTAGGGAATAGATCCCACCATGTTTCCATTTTAGGGAATAGAACCCACCATGTTTCTATTTTAGGGACTAGAACCCACCATGTTTCCATTAAGGAATAGAACCCACCATGTTTCCATTTTAAAGAATAGAACTCACCAGGATTCCATTTTAGGGAATAGAACTCACCATGTTTCCATCTTAGGGAATAGAACCCACCATGTTTCCATTGTAGGGAATAGAACCCACCATGTTTCCATTGTAGGGAATAGAACCCACCATGTTTCCATTTTAGGGAATAAAACCCACCATGTTTGGTTGTATTTTAGGGAATTGAACCCACCATGTTTCCATTTTAGGGAATAGAACCCACCATGTTTCCATTTTAGGGAATAGAACCCACCATGTTTCCATTTTAGAGAATAGAACCCACCATGTTTGCATTTTAGGGAATTGAACCCACCATGTTTCCATTTTAGGGAATATAACCCACCATGTTTCCATTTTATGGAATAGAACACACCATGTTTCCATTTTATGGAATAGAACACACCATGTTTCCATTTTAGGAAATAGAACCCACCATGTTTTCATTTAAGGAATATAACCCACCATGTTTCCATCTTAGGGAATAGAACCCACCATATTTCTGTTTTAGGGAATAGAACCCACCATGTTTCCATTTTAGGCAATAGATCCCACCATTTTTCCATTTTAGGGAATAGAACCCACCATGTTTCCATTTTAGGGAATAGAACCCACCATGTTTCTATTTTAGGGACTAGAACCCACCATGTTTCCATTAAGGAATAGAACCCACCATGTTTCCATTTAAGGAATATAACTCACCAGGATTCCATTTTAGGGAATAGAACTCACCATGTTTCCATCTTAGGGAATATAACCCACCATGTTTCCATTTTAGGGAATAGAACCCACCATGTTTCCAGTTTAGGGAATAGAACCCACCATGTTTCCATTGTAGGGAATAGAACTCACCATGTTTCCATTTTAGGGAGTAGAACCCACCATGTTTCCATTTTAGGGAATAGAACCCACAATGTTTGGTTGTAGTTTAGGGAATTGAACCCACCATGTTTCTAGTTTAGGGAATATAACCCACCATGTTTCCATTTTAGGGAATTGAACCCACCATGTTTCCATTTTAGGGAATATAACCCACCATGTTTCCATTTTATGGAATAGAACCCACCATGTTTCCATTTTAGGGAATAGAACCCACCATGTTTTCATTTAAGGAATAGAACCCACCATGTTTCCATCTTTGGGAATAGAACCCACCATGTTTCTGTTTTAGGGAATAGAACCCACCATGTTTCCATTTTAGGGAATAGATCCCACCATTTTTCCATTTTAGGGAATAGAACCCACCATGTTTCCATTTTAGGGAATAGAACCCACCATGTTTCTATTTTAGGGACTAGAACCCACCATGTTTCCATTAAGGAATAGAACCCACCATGTTTCCATTTAAGGAATAGAACTCACCAGGATTCCATTTTAGGGAATATAACTCACCATGTTTCCATCTTAGGAAATAGAACCCACCATGTTTCCATTTGAGGGAATATAACTCACCATGTTTCCATTTTAGGTAATAGAACCCACCATGTTTCTATTAAGCAAGAGAACGCATCATGTTTCCATTTTAGGGAATCAAACCCACCATGTTTCCATTTTAGGGAATAGATCCCACCATGTCTCCATTTTAGGGAAGAGAACCCACCATGTTTCCATTGTAGGGAATAGAACCCGCCATGTTTCCATCTTAGGGAATATAACCCATCATATTTGCATTTTAGGGAATAGATCCCACCATGTTTCCATTTTAGGGAATAGAACCCACCATGTTTCCATTTAAGGAATATAATCCACTATGTTTCTGTTTTAGGGAATAGAACTCACCATGTTTCCATCTTAGGGAATAGAACCCACAATGTTTCCATTTTATGGAATGTAACCCACCATGTTTCTGTTTTAGGGAATAGAATCCACCATGTTTCCATTTTAAGGAATAGAACCCACCATGTTTCCATGTAAGGAAAATAACCCACCATGTTTCCATTTTATGGAATGTAACCCACCATGTTTCTGTTTTAGGGAATAGAATCCACCATGTTTCCATTTTAAGGAATAGAACCCACCATGTTTCCATGTAAGGAAAATAACCCACCATGTTTCCATTTTAGGGAATAGAACCCACCATGTTTCCATTTTAGGGAATAGAACCCACCATGTTTCTATTTTAGGTACTAGAACCCACCATGTTTCCATTAAGGAATAGAACCCACCATGTTTCCATTTAAGGAATATAACTCACCAGGATTACATTTTAGGGAATAGAACTCACCATGTTTCCATCTTAGGGAATATAACCCACCATGTTTCCATTTTAGGGAATAGAACACACCATGTTTCCAGTTTAGGGAATAGAACCCACCATGTTTCCATTGTAGGGAATAGAACCCACCATGTTTCCATTTTAGGGAGTAGAACCCACCATGTTTCCATTTTAGGGAATAGAACCCACAATGTTTGGTTGTAGTTTAGGGAATTGAACCCACCATGTTTCTAGTTTAGGGAATATAACCCACCATGTTTCCATTTTAGGGAATAGAACCCACCATGTTTCCATTTAAGGAATATAATCCACTATGTTTCTGTTTTAGGGAATAGAACTCACCATGTTTCCATCTTAGGGAATGTAACCCACCATGTTTCTGTTTTAGGGAATAGAATCCACCATGTTTCCATTTTAAGGAATAGAACCCACCATGTTTCCATTTTATGGAATGTAACTCACCATGTTTCCATCTTAGGGAATAGAACCCACAATGTTTCCATTTTATGGAATGTAACCCACCATGTTTCTGTTTTAGGGAATAGAATCCACCATGTTTCCATTTTAAGGAATAGAACCCACCATGTTTCCATGTAAGGAAAATAACCCACCATGTTTCCATTTTAGGTAAAGGAACCCACCTTATTTCCATATAAGGAATAGAACCCGTCATGTTTCCATTTTAGGGAATATAACTCACCATGTTTCCATTTTAGGGAATAGAGCTCACCATGTTTCCATTTTATGGAATATATCTCAACATGTTTCCATTTTAGGGAATAGAATCCACCATGTTTCCATTTTAGGGAATATATCCCACCATGTTTCTATTTTTTGGAATAGATCCCACCACGTTTCCCTTTTAGGGAGTAGAACCTGCCATGTTTCCATTTTACGGAAAATAACAAACCATGTTTCCAGTTTAGGGAATAGAACCTGCCATGTTTCCATTTTAGGAAATAGAACCCACCATGTTTCCATTTTAGGGAACAGAACTCACCATGTTTCCGTTTTAGGGAGTAGAACCCACCATGTTTCCATTTAAGGAATAGAACCCACCATGTTTCCATTTTAGGGAATAGAACCCACCATGTTTCCATTTCAGGAATAGAACCCACTATGTTTCAGTTTTAGGGAAAATAACCCACCATGTTTCCATTTTAGGGAATAGAACCCACCATGTTTCCATTTTAGGGAATAGATCCCACCATGTTTCCATTTTAGGGAATAGAACCCACCATGTTTCTATTTTAGGGACTAGAACCCACCATGTTTCCATTAAGGAATAGAACCCACCATGTTTCCATTTAAAGAATAGAACTCACCAGGATTCCATTTTAGGGAATAGAACTCACCATGTTTCCATCTTAGGGAATAGAACCCACCATGTTTCCATTGTAGGGAATAGAACCCACCATGTTTCCATTGTAGGGAATAGAACCCACCATGTTTCCATTTTAGGGAATAAAACACACCATGTTTGGTTGTATTTTAGGGAATTGAACCCACCATGTTTCCATTTTAGGGAATAGAACCTGCCATGTTTCCATTTAAGGAATAGAACCCACCATGTTTCCATTTTAGGGAATAGAACCCACCATGTTTCCATTTCAGGAATAGAACCCACCATGTTTCAGTTTTAGGGAAAATAACCCACCATGTTTCCATTTTAGGGAATAGAACCCACCATGTTTCCATTTTAGGGAATAGATCCCACCATGTTTCCATTTTAGGGAATAGAACCCACCATGTTTCTATTTTAGGGACTAGAACCCACCATGTTTCCATTAAGGAATAGAACCCACCATGTTTCCAGTTAAAGAATAGAACTCACCAGGATTCCATTTTAGGGAATAGAACTCACCATGTTTCCATCTTAGGGAATAGAACCCACCATGTTTCCATTGTAGGGAATAGAACCCACCATGTTTCCATTGTAGGGAATAGAACCCACCATGTTTCCATTTTAGGGAATAAAACACACCATGTTTGGTTGTATTTTAGGGAATTGAACCCACCATGTTTCCATTTTAGGGAATAGAACCTGCCATGTTTCCATTTAAGGAATAGAACCCACCATGTTTCCATTTTAGGGAATAGAACCCACCATGTTTCCATTTCAGGAATAGAACCCACTATGTTTCAGTTTTAGGGAAAATAACCCACCATGTTTCCATTTTAGGGAATAGAACCCACCATGTTTCCATTTTAGGGAATAGATCCCACCATGTTTCCATTTTAGGGAATAGAACCCACCATGTTTCCATTGTAGGGAATAGAACCCACCATGTTTCCATTTTAGGGAATAAAACCCACCATGTTTGGTTGTATTTTAGGGAATAGATCCCACCATGTTTCCATTTTAGGGAATAGAACCCACCATGTTTCCATTGTAGGGAATAGAACCCACCATGTTTCCATTTTAGGGAATAAAACCCACCATGTTTGGTTGTATTTTAGGGAATTGAACCCACCATGTTTCCATTTTAGGGAATAGAACCCACCATGTTTCTATTTTAGGGACTAGAACCCACCATGTTTCCATTAAGGAATAGAACCCACCATGTTTCCATTTAAAGAATAGAACTCACCAGGATTCCATTTTAGGGAATAGAACTCACCATGTTTCCATCTTAGGGAATAGAACTCACCATGTTTCCATCTTAGGGAATAGAACCCACCATGTTTCCATTGCAGGGAATAGAACCCACCATGTTTCCATTGTAGGGAATAGAACCCAACATGTTTCCATTTTAGGGAATAAAACCCACCATGTTTGGTTGTATTTTAGGGAATTGAACCCACCATGTTTCCATTTTAGGGAATAGAACCCACCATGTTTCCATTTTAGGGAATAGAACCCATCATGTTTCCATTTTAGAGAATAGAACCCACCATGTTTGCATTTTAGGGAATTGAACCCACCATGTTTCCATTTTAGGGAATATAACCCACCATGTTTCCATTTTATGGAATAGAACACACCATGTTTCCATTTTATGGAATAGAACACACCATGTTTCCATTTTAGGAAATAGAACCCACCATGTTTCCATTTAAGGAATATAACCCACCATGTTTCCATCTTAGGGAATAGAACCCACCATATTTCCATTTTAGGCAATAGATCCCACCATTTTTCCATTTTAGGGAATAGAACCCACCATGTTTCCATTTTAGGGAATAGAACCCACCATGTTTCTATTTTAGGTACTAGAACCCACCATGTTTCCATTAAGGAATAGAACCCACCATGTTTCCATTTAAGGAATATAACTCACCAGGATTACATTTTAGGGAATAGAACTCACCATGTTTCCATCTTAGGGAATATAACCCACCATGTTTCCATTTTAGGGAATAGAACACACCATGTTTCCAGTTTAGGGAATAGAACCCACCATGTTTCCATTGTAGGGAATAGAACCCACCATGTTTCCATTTTAGGGAGTAGAACCCACCATGTTTCCATTTTAGGGAATAGAACCCACAATGTTTGGTTGTAGTTTAGGGAATTGAACCCACCATGTTTCTAGTTTAGGGAATATAACTCACCATGTTTCCATTTTAGGGAATAGAACCCACCATGTTTCTATTTTAGGGACTAGAACCCACCATGTTTCCATTAAGGAATAGAACCCACCATGTTTCCATTTAAGGAATAGAACTCACCAGGATTCCATTTTAGGGAATATAACTCACCATGTTTCCATCTTAGGGAATATAACTCACCATGTTTCCATTGTAGGGAATAGAACCGACCATGTTTCCATTGTAGGGAATAGAACCCACCATGTTTCCAGTTTAGGGAATAGAACCCACCATGTTTCCATTGTAGGGAATAGAACCCACCATGTTTCCATTTTAGGGAATAGAACCCACCATGTTTGGTTGTATTTTAGGGAATTGAACACATCATGTTTCCAGTTTAGTGAATATAACCCACCATGTTTCCATTTTAGGGAATAGAACCCACCATGTTTGCATTTTAGGGAATTGAACCCACCATGTTTCCATTTTAGGGAATATAACCCACCATGTTTCCATTTTATGGAATAGAACCCACCATGTTTCCATTTTAGGGAATAGAACCCACCATGTTTCCATCTTATGGAATAGAACCCACCATGTTTCTGTTTTAGGGAATAGAACCGACAATGTTTCCATTTTAGGGAATAGATCCCACCATTTTTCCATTTTAGGGAATAGAACCCACCATGTTTCCATTTTAGGGAATATAACTCACCATGTTTCCATCTTACGAAATATAACCCACCATGTTTCCATTGTAGGGAATTGAACCCACCATGTTTCCATTTTAGGGAATAGAACCCACCATGTTTCCAGTTTAGGGAATAGAACCCACCATGTTTCCATTGTAGGGAATAGAACCCACCATGTTTGGTTGTATTTTAGGGAATTGAACCCACCATGTTTCCATGTTAGGGAATATAACCCACCATGTTTCCATTTTAGGGAATAGAACCCACCATGTTTCCATTTTATGGAATAGAACCCACCATGTTTGCATTTTAAGGAATTGAACCCACCATGTTTCCATTTTAGGGAATATAACCCACCATGTTTCCATTTTATGGAATAGAACCCACCATGTTTCCATTTTAGGGAATAGAACCCACCATGTTTTCATTTAAGGAATAGAACCCACCATGTTTCCATCTTAGGGAATAGAACCCACCATGTTTCTGTTTTAGGAAATAGAACCCACCATGTTTCCATTTTAGGGAATAGAACTCACCATGTTTCCGTTTTAGGGAGTAGAACCCACCATGTTTCCATTTAAGGAATAGAACCCACCATGTTTCCATTTTAGGGAATAGAACCCACCATGTTTCCATTTCAGGAATAGAACCCACCATGTTTCCGTTTTAGGGAAAATAACCCACCATGTTTACATTTTAGGGAATAGAACCCACCATGTTTCCATTAAGGAATATAACCCACCATGTTTCCATTTAAGGAATAGAAATCACCAGGTTTCCATTTTTGGGAATATAACTCACTATGTTTCCATTTTAGGGAATATAACCCACCATGTTTCCATTTTAGGGAATATAACTCACCATGTTTCCGTTTTAGGGAATAGAACCCACCATGTTTCCATCTTAGGGAATAGAACCCACCATGTTCCATTTAAGTAATATAACCCACCATGTTTCCATTTTAGGTAAAGGAACCCACCATATTTCCATATAAGGTATTGAACCCATCGTGTTTCCATCTTAGGGAATAGAACCCACCATGTTTTCATTTTAGAGAATATAATTCACCATGTTTCCATTTTAGGGAATAGAACCCACCTTGTTTCCATTTTAGGGAATAGATCCCACCATGTTTCTATTTTTTGGAATAGATCCCACCATGTTTCCCTTGTAGGGAATAGAACCTGCCATGTTTCCATTTTAGGGAATAGAACCCATCATGTTTCCATTTTATGGAATAGAACTCACCATGTTTCCGTTTTAGGGAGTAGAACCCACCATGTTTCCATTTTATGGAATAGAACTCACCATGTTTCCGTTTTAGGGAGTAGAACCCACCATGTTTCCATTTAAGGAATAGAACCCACCATGTTTCCATTTTAGGGAATAGAACCCACCATGTTTCCATTTCAGGAATAGAACCCACTATGTTTCAGTGTTTTTCCATTTTAGGGAATAGAACCCACCATGTTTCCATTTTAGGGAATATAACTCACCATGTTTCCATCTTAGGGAATATAACCCACCATGTTTCCATTGTAGGGAATTGAACCCACCATGTTTCCATTTTAGGGAATAGAACCCACCATGTTTCCAGTTTAGGGAATAGAACCCACCATGTTTCCATTGTAGGGAATAGAACCCACCATGTTTGGTTGTATTTTAGGGAATTGAACCCACCATGTTTCCATGTTAGGGAATATAACCCACCATGTTTCCATTTTAGGGAATAGAACCCATCATGTTTCCATTTTAGGGAATAGAACCCACCATGTTTGCATTTTAGGGAATTGAACCCACCATGTTTCCATTTTAGGGAATATAACCCACCATGTTTCCATTTTATGGAATAGAACCCACCATGTTTCCATTTTAGGGAATAGAACCCACCATGTTTTCATTTAAGGAATAGAACCCACCATGTTTCCATCTTAGGGAATAGAACCCACCATTTTTCTGTTTTAGGAAATAGAACCCACCATGTTTCCATTTTAGGGAATAGAACTCACCATGTTTCCGTTTTAGGGAGTAGAACCCACCATGTTTCCATTTAAGGAATAGAACCCACCATGTTTCCATTTTAGGGAATAGAACCCACCATCTTTCCATTTCAGGAATAGAACCCACCATGTTTCCGTTTTAGGGAAAATAACCCACCATGTTTACATTTTAGGGAATAGAACCCACCATGTTTCCATTAAGGAATATAACCCACCATATTTCCATTTAAGGAATAGAACTCACCAGGTTTCCATTTTTGGGAATATAACACACCATGTTTCCATTTTAGGGAATATAACTCACCATGTTTCCGTTTTAGGGAATAGAACCCACCATGTTTCCATCTTAGGGAATAGAACCCACCATGTTCCATTTAAGTAACAGAACCCACCATGTTTCCATTTTAGGTAAAGGAACCCACCATATTTCCATATAAGGTATAGAACCCATCGTGTTTCCATCTTAGGGAATAAAACCCACCATGTTTTCATTTTAGAGAATATAATTCACCATGTTTCCATTTTAGGGAATAGAACCCACCATGTTTCCATTTTAGGGAATAGATCCCACCATGTTTCCCTTGTAGGGAATAGAACCTGCCATGTTTCCATTTTAGGGAATAGAACCCACCATGTTTCCATTTTATGGAATAGAACTCACCATGTTTCCGTTTTAGGAAGTAGAACCCACCATGTTTCCATTTTATGGAATAGAACTCACCATGTTTCTGTTTTAGGGAGTAGAACCCACCATGTTTCCATTTAAGGAATAGAACCCACCATGTTTCCATTTTAGGGAATAGAACCCACCATGTTTCCATTTAAGGAATAGAACCCACCATGTTTCCGTTTTAGGGAAAATAACCCACCATGTTTCCATTTTAGGGAATAGAACCCACCATGTTTCCATTAAGGAATATAACCCACCATGTTTCCATTTAAGGAATATAACTCACCAGGTTTCCATTTTAGGGAATATAACTCACTGTGTTCCCATTTTAGGGAATATAACCCACCATGTTTCCATTTTAGGGAATATAACTCACCATGTTTCTATCTTAGGGGATAGAACTCACCATGTTTAAATTTTAGGGAATATAACTCACCATGTTTCCATTTTTGGCAATAGAACCCACCATGTTTCTATTAAGCAATATAACCCACCATGTTTTCATTTTAGAGAATAGAACCCACCATGTTTCCATTTTAGGGAACAGATCCCACTGTATTTCCATTTTAGGGAAGAGAACCCACCATGTTTCCATTTTAGGGAATAGATCCCACCATGTTTCCATTTTATGGAATAGAACCCACCATGTTTGCATTTTAGGGAATATAACTCACCTTGTTTCCATTGTAGGGAATAGAACCCGCCATGTTTCCATCTCAGGGAATATAACCCACCATATTTGCATTTTAGGGAATAGATACCACCATGTTTCCATTTTAGGAAATAGAACCCATCATGTTTCCATTTAAGGAATATAATCCACCATGTTTCTGTTTTATGGAATAGAACCCACCATGTTTCCGTTTTAGGGAATAGAACCCACCATGTTTCCATTTTATGGAATATAACCCACCATATTTCCATTTTAGGGAATATAACCCACCATGTTTGTTTGCATTTTAGGGAATAGATCCGACCATGTTTCCGTTTTAGGGAATATATCCCACCATGTTTCCATTTTAGGGAATAGAACCCACCATTTTTCCATTTAAGGAAGAGAACTCACCATGTTTAAATTTTAGGGAATATAACTCACCATGTTTCCATTTTAGGGAATATAACCCACCATGTTTGCATTTTATGGAATATAACCCACCATTTTTCAATTTTAGGGAATAGAAACCACCATGTTCCCATTTAAGGAATAGAACCCACCATGTTTCCATTTTAGGTAAAGGAACCCACCATATTTCCATATAAAGAATAGAACCCATCGTGTTTCCATTTTAGGGAATATAACTCACCATGTTTCCATCTTAAGCAATAGAACCCACCATGTTTTCATTTTAGGGAATAGTACCCGCCATGTTTCCATCTTAGGGAATATAACACACCATATTTGCATTTTAGGGAATAGAACCCACCATATTTCCATTTTAGGGAATAAAACCCACCATGTTTCCGTTGTAGGAAATAGAACCCACCATGTTTCCATTGTATTGATTATAACCCACCATGTTTCTGTTTAAGGGAATAGATCCCACCATGTTTCCATTGTAGGGAATAGAACCCACCATGTTTCCATTTTAGGGAATAGAACCCACCATGTTTGCATTTTAGGAAATAGAACCCACCATGTTTCCAGTTTAGGGAATAGAACCCACCATGTTACCATTGTAGGGAATAGAACCCACCATGTTTCCAGTTTAGGGAATAGAACCCACCATGTTTGAATTTTAGGGAATAGAACCCACCATGTTTCTATTTGTGCAACCACTGGAAAGTGGGATATACTGCCCCTTTAATTCTAATGCAAAGAACGATTGGTACATTTATATGTTAATTATTATTTTATATGATATTTTATGGGAGTATATGGAATCCAGGTGATGAGAAATAATAATTGATCAACATACATGGTCGCTTAACATATCGATGTTAATGATAATTTTTTTCAGCTGTTTCTGGCTTCTTTGTGTTTTGCCTATTTTGCCAAAGCTTTCTCAGGAAGTTACATGAAAAGCTCCATTACTCAGATTGAGAGACGTTTTGACCTTTCCTCGTCCATCGTGGGAATTATTGATGGGAGTTTCGAATTTGGTAATTTTATTCTATATGGATTATTTCACAAACATTCCCATTATACAACCATTACTAATCACCATCCATTTCTTTTTGCAGGTAATTTACTAGTGCTAGTGTTGGTCAGTTATTTTGGAGCCAAATTTCACCGGCCACGGATAATTGCTGGTGGCTGCCTTGTGATGACAGTAGGAAGTCTGATGACTGCTTTGCCTCATTTTTTCATGGGACCGTAAGTCATGTCTGTCACAGTGACAAACAGACACAAGTGGCAAACAGAGATACGCATATATAGACAAAGGGTGTCACAGAGACAAACATATACAGACACAATGATACACAGATACAGACACAGTGACAGAGATACACATATGTAGACTAAGTAACAAACATAGACATACACATACTGACAAATTGATACACAGAGGCACACATACAGACACAGTGACAAATAAAGGTGCACACGGTGATACACAGAGACATACATATAAATACATAGTGACATATATACACACAATTAATCACAGAGACATACATATACAGACACAGTGATACACAGAGACATACATTTAAAGACACAGTGACACACAGAAACACATATATACACAGTGAATCACAGAGACATACATAGACAGACACAGTGATACACAGAGACATACATATAAAGACACAGTGACACACAGAGACACATATATACACAGTGAATCACAGAGACACACATAGACAGACACAGTGATATACAGAGGTTTACATATAAAGACACAGTGACACACAGAGACACATATATACACAGTGAATCACAGAGACATACATAGACAGACACAGTGACACACAGAGACATACATATACATACATAGTGATATACTGACACATTGGAAACAGAGATATAAGACAAAATGAGATGGACACATATACAGACACAGTGACAAAAAGCGACATATATACAGTGACAAACATATAATTATATACAGACACAGTGATCTAATGATATGTATTTATATCAGTGATTTGAGGAATGTTATATGTGTTTTATTTCAGCTATAAATATGAAGCTGTGAGTTCACATACTGTGTCACGGAGTAATGTTTCCCTCAGTTTTTCCCCATGTCTGGATAATCAAACGTTTATTGAAAACAGCCAAGGAGGTAATAAGGCTTTCAGTATCATGTCTGGGTTATTTATTGCCGATTTATCTGACTGTAGGAATATTAATAGTGGTAAATCTGACAAACTCCGTGCTAGAGAACACAACCCCCCCCATCTCTGATAACTGTTTGTGGGCCTGTAAGTCCCAATATCAGCCATGGAAACAGTAAATGGCGGCAGACACCAATAGTGGACGAGCTCCCCCATGGCCTAATGAGGGCAACATTTAATGTTTGATTTGACTTATCTATAAACAAGGCCTCTCTTGCCTGGTCAGACATCAGTCAGTACTTGTGTGCAGCTAGCCATGTTTAAAGGGAATTGAGACGGCAGGAAATATGGGGCCCGGGGAAAAGCGAGGAATCAAAAGTTTGTCCTTTATTACATTCTCCAACTCCTTCTCTTCCTTATCCTCTTCTCTTCTTTTTTGTCCATCTCTCCTTTATCGTCCTTCTCTAGTTTATCCTCCTTCTCTTCATTATCCTCCTTCTCTTCATTATTCTTCTTCTCTCCTTTACCCTACCTGTAACCTAACCTACATAGTGCACCTTACGTGTGTGGGAGCCTGGAGTGTCCCTTTAATAATATAAACCCACCCAGTATAACTAACTGTAACCTAACCTACACAGTGCATCTAACGTGTGTGGGAGCCTGGAGTGTCCCTTTAATAATATAAACTTTCTGTAAAAACCTACACAGTGCATCTAACGTAGCCTGGAGTGTCCCTTTAATAATATAAACCTACCCACTGTAACCTAACCTACACAGTGCATCTAACGTGTGTGGGAGCCTGGAGTGTCCCTTTAATAATATAAACCCACCCAGTATAACTAACTGTAACCTAACCTACACAGTGCATCTAACGTGTGTGGGAGCCTGGAGTGTCCCTTTAATAATATAAACCCACCCAGTATAACTAACTGTAACCTAACATGTGTAGCCTGGAGTGTCCCTTTAATAATATAAACCCACCAGTATAACTAACTGTAACCTAACCTACACAGTGCACCTAACGTGTGTGGGAGCCTGGAGTGTCCCTTTAATAATATAAACCCACCCAGTATAACTAACTGTAACCTAACCTACACAGTGCACCTAACGTGTGTGGGAGCCTGGAGTGTCCCTTTAATAATATAAACCCACCCAGTATAACTAACTGTAACCTAACCTACACAGTGCATCTAACGTGTGTGGGAGCCTGGAGTGTCCCTTTAATAATATAAACCCACCCAGTATAACTAACTGTAACCTAACCTACACAGTGCATCTAACGTGTGTGGGAGCCTGGAGTGTCCCTTTAATAATATAAACCCACCCAGTATAACTAACTGTAACCTAACCTACACAGTGCACCTAACGTGTGTGGGAGCCTGGAGTGTCCCTTTAATAATATAAACCCACCCAGTATAACTAACTGTAACCTAACCTGCACAACAGTGCACCTAACATGTGTGGGAGCCTGGAGTGTCCCTTTAATAATATAAACCCACCCAGTATAACTAACTGTAACCTAACCTACACAGTGCACCTAACGTGTGTGGGAGCCTGGAGTGTCCCTTTAATAATATAAACTTACCCAGTATAACTAACTGTAACCTAACCTACACAGTGCATCTAACGTGTGTGGGAGCCTGGAGTGTGGGTTTAATAATATAAACCCACCCAGTATAACTAACTGTAACCTAACCTACACAGTGCATCTAACGTGAGTGGGAGCCTGGAGTGTCCCTTTAATAATATAAACCCACCTAGTATAACTAACTGTAACCTAACCTACACAGAGCATCTAACGTGTGTGGGAGCCTGGAGTGTGGGTTTAATAATATAAACCCACCCAGTATAACTAACTGTAACCTAACCTACACAGTGCACCTAACGTGTGTGGGAGCCTGGAGCCTGGATATCCCTTTAATAATATAAACCTTCCCAGTATAACTAATTGTAACCTAACCTACACAGTGCATCTAACGTGTGTGGGAGCCTGGAGTGTCCCTTTAATAATATAAACCTACCCAGTATAACTGTAACCCAGCCTACACAGTGCATCTAACGTGTGTGGGTACCTGGAGTGTCCCTTTAATAATATAAACCCACCCAGTATAACTAACTGTAACCTAACCTACACAGTGTATCTAACGTGTGTGGGAGCCTGGAGTGTCCCTTTAATAATATAAACCCACCCAGTATAACTAACTGTAACCTAACCTACACAGTGCATCTAACGTGTGTGGGAGCCTGGAGTGTCCCTTTAATAATATAAACCCACCCAGTATAACTAACTGTAACCTAACCTACACAGTGCATCCTAACGTGTGTGGGAGCCTGGAGTGTCCCTTTAACAATATAAACCCACCCAGTATAATTAACTGTATCCTAACCTACACAGTGCATCTAACATGTGTAGGAGCCTGGAGTATCCCTTTAATAATATAAACCCACCCAGTCTAACTAACTGTAACCTAACCTACAGAGTGCAGCTAATGTGTGTGGGAACCTGGAGCATCCCTTTAATAATATAAACCCACCCAGGATAACTGACTGTAACCTAACCTACAGAGTGCATCTAACGTGTGTAGGAGCCTGGAGCGTTCCTTTAATAATATAAACCCACCAAGTATAACTAAATGTAACCTAACCTACACAGTGCACCTAACGTGTGTGGAAGCCCAGAGTGTCCTTTTAATAATATAAACTCACTCAAAATAACTAACTGTAACCTAACCAACACAGTGCACTGTAGCGGGCCCTGGGTAACCCGGTTGGCTACCCCCGCTGTTAATGAAGAGAGAGACCCATTTTCCCCAGTAACTGGACGACACACAGTTCCAAATGGCCAAATGCGGCTTTATTCTTTTCCCCATGCAAGAGGGTCGTATAACGGAACTGGAACCCCAGTCCCTTTATCCCCTGTTCCCGCCACTCATCCTCAGGGTTTCCCACCTCCGGTGACCAGGGGATCTTATGAGCTTCTGTACCTGGGAGTCCCAGCACGGGAAAGTTTCCTGCCTCTGTGACTCCAAGCCACAGAAAGCCCACCAAACCGCCTTGTCCCCAAAGAGTGTCCCCACCAATCTCAGGGACCCCCAGAATGGCAACCGTCACAAACTGCCTCTGTTCGCAGGGTCACTGGGTGAAATCAGGCAAGGGAAGCGTCTCATTAATTACTTCCCTTGCGGTTTCAAACTTGTGTTGCAAGTTGCTAACGTTCTAATTGATTGGTTTGAACAATCCAAAGGCACTGGGGAGGTTCTCATTCGGGAACCAAACATGGTGGGAAGCAATCTGCGAATGCACCCCCTGGACAGTGGTGTATCCTGGTTTTGTGCTGCCCTAGGCAGGACAAAAATCAGGCGCTTCCCTCCCCCCTCGCCACCCCCACCCAACCCTTCCCCCCCGCCCCACCTTCTAAATACACACACACACACAGTCAGACACACACACACACAGTCAGACACACACACACACAAACAGTCAGATACACACACAGTCAGACACACACACACAGTCAGACACACACACACACACAGACACACATACACAGTCAGACACACACACACAGACACACATACACAGTCAGACACAAACACACACACACACAGTCAGACACACACACACAGTCAGACACAAACACACACACACACACACAGTCAGACACACACACACACACAGTCAGTCAGACACACACACACAGTCAGACACAAACACACACACACACAGTCAGACACACACACACAATCACTCACATTAACATTTTTTTTAACCCCCTCCCCCCCCTCCTTACCTTTGGGAATGCTGGGGGGTTCTCTTTCTCCCTGGGGGTCCAGTGGCTGCCGGTCGGCAGTGGCTGCCGGTCGGGCTGATGGGCTGGCTACTGGGCGCTGATGGGCTGGCTACTCGGCTCCCAGCCTCACTCTGCAGTGCGCAAGGGAGCTGAGCAGACAGCTCAGAGGAAGAGCTCCCTCGCCAGCCGCCCGCCCGACCATCAACCAGCGCCGCCCGCCAGCCCAGCATGTCAGTTAGCCACAAGGCTAACTAGGCATTTGCCCTGGGCATTTGGGGGCGGCATTTTTTTGCCTTGTTTGCCTCGCGGCTAATACGTCCCTGCCCCTGGATGGCGTTTGTCTAACGAACGGGCGCCGAGGCTTCCCTAGTGGTTTGTGATTTTGACACCTCGTTAAGAGGTGTGAATGTTCTAAAGCAACATTCTAAATGGGGTATCGGGGTGGTCCCATTCGGGAAGCATAGGAATTCATCACTATTACATGGGGTGGACACTGGGGATAGTACATACAATTCACGAATGGCAGCAGTCCCGCCACATGCACCTAATGTATGTAGGAGCCCGGAGTGAAACTCTTTGTTTGAAAAGTGCAGGTGTGATATATGATTCCTGATTTGTATGTTTTACTATGGTCCCCTTATCTATCACTGTGTTATGTTTTTCAGATTGTACAAAGGAAATAAAGTCTTACTGGTGGATTTTCATGTTAATTGGAAATATGTTACGAGGCATTGGAGAAACACCAATCACCCCTTTGGGAGTTTCTTATATTGATGATTTTTCAAGACCAGAGAACACTGCTCTTTATATAGGTAAAATATGTGATAGATAAATACAGTTGTGCTGACAAGTTTGGTAATGTATGTACCATTTTAAAGAAAACATGAGTGAGCACGCAAAACACATTTATTTTACTTCTTATGGGATTCATATCCATCTGTAGGTTATAACAGAATGACACAATCATAAAACAAAACATGGCAACAAAGAAAAAAATGAAATGACCCCTGTTAAAAAGTCTGCATACCCTTAGTTCTTAATACTGTGTATTGCCCCCTTTAGCATCAATGACAGCGTGAAGTCTTTTGTAATAGTTATCTATGAGGCCCCTAATTCTTGAAGGTGGCATTCATCTTGGCAAATTGCCTCCAGGTCATGCAAAGTCTTTGGTCGTCTTGCATGAACCGCACGTTTGAGATCTCCCCAGAGTGGCTCAATGTTATTAAAGTCAGACTCCAGAACTTTCACCTTTTTCTGCTGTAACCACTGGAGGGTCATTGTCAGGCTGGAATGTCCAAGAGCTTCCCATGCGCAGCCTTTGTGCAAAAGAGTATTTTCTGATAACATGCTGCATTCATCTTGCTATCAATTTTCACAAGATCCCCTGCGCCTTTAGAGCTCACACACCCCAAAACATCAGTGAGCCACCACCATGCTTCACAATGGGAATGGTACTCTTTTCACTATAGGCCTTGTTGACCCCTCTCCAAACGTAGCGCTTATGGTGGTGACTCCAAATTACAGTGTGCCAGAAGCTGTGAGGCAAATCAAGGTGTTGGGCATATTGAACTTTTTGGTGGCAACTTGACCAACTGATTCACATTTTCACCCGTGTGTGTTAACTAGTGTATCTGTAACAAGGCCAAACATTCAAGGGTATGTAGACTTTTGATCAGGCCATTTGGGTGATTTAAAAAGGGGGTAATGTGATAATAAATGGCTTCATATAATCACTAACCTTCCATAAAATAAACTGTTTTGCATGATCAGTTATATTTTCAAAATCAATGCCAAAATTACACAAATTCTGCCAGGGTATGCAGACTTGGTGGATGGATGGTGTAGCGGACCACGGGTAACCTGACCGGTTACCTCCACTAATTCCTTCCTTCAGCCACTCAGGAACCACTTATAGTAATATAAAGAGACCCATTTCCCCCCAGTAACTGGATGACACACAGTTCTGGAGGTACAACACAATTTTATTGAGCCACACATGGATTTTATGCATAGCCCCATGCAAGGGGTCTTCCACTCACCCAAACAGGGGGTTATATCCCAGGTTCCTCCAGGGAGCCCAAGCGTGGCAACGGGGGTGGCTGTCCCTTTGTGTCCCAAATATCATGTGAGGGGTTTCCCATCCAGGACGACAGGGTGGTCTTCATCCCATGATCTTCTGTGCCTGGGAGCCAAAGCGTGGGAAAAGAGATCGTCCCTTTGTCTCCCAGGCCTTGGAGAGCCAGCCAAACTAGCCAGCGTCCCAAAAGTGTCCCCACCAACCCCAGGCGACCTCACACTGGCACATTCTCCAGGCAATTTCCTTTTTCTTCCTGTGCTTAAACCTGCAAGGGCAGCGTCTCCGTTTGAGGCACGAATGCTTCCCCTGGCTGGTGTTCGTCTGTACGAAATGGTGGCCACCCATGGGAGCACTCATTAATTGGTTTCGCAATTACGCTAGAGGTGAGAACGTTCTACTAGCGTTCTAAATGGGATATTGTGGTAGTCCCCATTCGGGAGTCGAAGGAGTTCCTTTCGTCGGAGCGCTTCTGAACGGGGAGCGGGTACAATAGAAGAAGGTCAAGGAGAAAAAAAACCATATTATAAGTATAAATCACCTGAACAAGCGGTGGATCCACCACAGATGGATAGACAAATAGACAGACAGATCGATAGGTGTCAGGACATATACCACTCCCGCCCCTCTGGGAGATACCTCCATTTTAGACATCCTTTAGACATTGAGTAGGAGAGATTACATTCCTGGATCAGCGTTTAGTGGTTGGAGCTTTTTTATTAGTTGCATTTGTAAGTTTCTAAATTTAAATGGGATTCAAGGAAAGCGAGATAAGAAAACAACACAGATATGACAGTAATATCAGTGTATGAAATTTGGGGTGATAGGGTGTTTAGCTTGGCTTTACTCAGAGCGAACCCTAACCCAGGGGTCGAGTCTCAGAGTCAATTTATGACAAGTAATGATATTCTGTTTTTTCCTTTCTTGCTTTGAACAGCATGCCTGCATACGGTGGCATTATTTGGTCCAATGACGGGCTTTATGCTGGGGTCCTTCTGTGCCAAACTCTACGTTGACATTGGATTTGTAGATCTTGGTGAGCTGCTATAAGTGATTACCTGTACACTTTATATATTGTTTATCTTCTTGTTATAAAATAAAACCTGATATATAATTTAATTACTTAATGTTAACCTTTGTAATGCTACTATATTACAGCTAAGTGGACGCAATTTGCTCAGCCAATGATTTCTGTTGATAAACTTGTATACAGACTATTAATTTTATTATTATTATTATTATTGGCATTTAAATAGCGCCAACAGATTCCGTAGCGCTTTACAATATTATGAGAGGGGGGATTCAACTATAAATAGGACAATAACAAGAAAACTTACAGCAACGATAGGTTGAAGAGGACCCTGCTCAAACAAGCTTACAGTCTATAGTAGGTGGGGTATAAAACACATTAGGACAGGGAATAGAAGTCAAATTAGGTGGGAGTGAGGCAGAGCTGGAGGAGAGAATAAAGTGCTGCCCTTTAGGAGAGAGATGGGTTTTAAGGCCCTTCTTAAAAACGATTGCAGACTAGGGGAGAGTCTGATGGCGGTAGGCAGGCTATTCTATGGGAAGGGAGCCACCCTCAGACAGAAGAACGTCACGGGCAGAGCGGAGAGACCGAGAAGGGGCATACCTATCGATCTGTGAAGAGATATAAGAGGGGCTGGAATTGTTCAGTGCCTTATAGGTATGAGTTAGTACTTTGAATTGACTCCTATAGGGTACAGGAAGCCAATGTAAGGACTGGCAGAGGGGTGAGGTTTGAGAGGACTGACTAGAGAGGAAAATCAGTGTGGTGGCAGCGTTCTTTATGGACTGTAGCAGTGCAGTACGGCTTTTGGGAAGATCAGGAGAGGGTTACAATAATTCATGCGGGAAATTACTAGAGCATGGACAAGCTCCTATGTAGCATCTTGTGTAAGAAAGGGGCGGATGCGGGCTATGTTTTTAAAATGGAATCTACAGGATTTGGCAACATACTGGATGTGAGGCTCAAAGGTGAGGCTAGAGTCAAGTATGACGCCAAGACAGTGCGCTTGCAAGGATGGACTTGAAGGGAAGGGAGAGCGAGAGAGAAGGATCAGTATAAAGAGGGGGAAAGACAAGGATCTCAGTTTTAGAGAGATTGAGTTTAGAAAGCGTGAGGACATCCAGTCAGAGATGGAAGAAAGGCAAGCAGTGACACATTGCAGGACGGCAGGGGAGAGGTCTGGGGAGGAGAGATATATCTGGGTGTCATCAGCATACAGGTGGTAATGGAATCCAAATAAGGTAATAAGTTTGCCAAGAGAGGCAGTATAAAGAGAAAACAGAAGAGGACCAAGGATAGAGCCTAGGGGGGACTCCAACCGAGACAGGACGAAGGGAGGAGGTATCATTAGAAAACAAGACACTGAATGAGCGTTGGGAGAGATGAGGAAAACCACGAAAAGACAGTCACAGAGACAGAGTGATTGAAGAGTTTGAATAAGGAGAGCATGATCAAGGGTGTCAAAGGCAGCAGAGAGGTCAAGAAGAATTAGTATGGAGCAGTGGCCTTTGGATTTAGCTACGATTAGGTCGTCAGTAACTTAGATAAGAGCAGTCTTAGTAGAGTGGAGGAGGCAAAAGCCAGATTGAAGAGGGCCAAGGAGAGAGTTGAAATTGAGGAAGTGAGATCCATGGACAAAGACAAGTCTTTCCAGAAGCTTTGAGAAAAAAGGGAGCAGGGATATGGGACGATAGTAAGAGGGGGAGATGTTTTTTTCAGGATAGGTACTACAGGGACATGTTTAAGGTCAGCAGAGACAACACCAGATGAGAGAGAGCAGTTGAAGATGTGTGTTAAGGAAGGCACAAGACAGGGGGAGACAGATCAGATAAGGTGAGATGGGACAGGATCGAGCAAGTAGTGGGGCGAGAGGAAAGGAGAAGCACAGCCACCTCTTGTTCAGTAGCTGGGGAGAAAGTCAGAAGGGTAGGAAAGGCATGATCAATGTGTGGTTGAGAAAGAGAATGGCAAGGAGGGGAGAAATCTTTCTTTAGCTGTTTAATCTTGTCGGTAAAATAGCATGAAAAGCTATTGGCTGTAAGGTTAGTTTGGCGAGTGGCCACAGCAGGGTGAAGAAGAGAGTAAAAGGTGTCAAAGAGACGCCTGGGATTGCAGAGCATGAACTAATGAGAGAGGAAAAGTATGACTGTGTGGCAAGGGTAAGGATTGCACTGTATGAACACAATATGAATCTATAATGGAGAAAGTCTGACTGGGTGCGAGACTTCTTCCAGGAGCGTTCAGCACAACCGGAGCTTCTTTGCACATAGCGTGTTGATTTAGTATGCCACGGTTGGGGGCGTGTTCTCCTCGACGTGCATGTTTAAAATGGGGCTGCAGCATTCAAGGCAGAGGTGAGGGTAGTGTTATATGTGGAAATGGCCAGTGAGAGACAGGAGAGGGAAGAGATGGATAGCAGTTGTGAATCAATATCAGCTGACAGCTGCTAGAGGTCAATAGAATTAAGGTTCCTCCTGAGTTGAGGGGGGTTAGGCTGAAGTTGTTGAGTGAGGGGGTACTTGAGAGCAAACGATAAGAGGTGGTGATCAGAGAGAGGAAATGGAGTGTTGCAGATATTAGATACTGTACATGCATAAGAGAAAATGAGGTCGAGGGTATTGCCAGCTACATGGGTGGAAGAATTAGTCCAATGTGATAGCCCAAGGGAGGAAGTAATTGAAAGTAGTTTAGAGGCTGCTGAGGTCAAAGATGGTTAGTGGGAATATTGAAGTCCCTGAGAATTAGGGATGGAATATTAGAAGAGAGGAAGTAGGGTATCCAAGCAGCAAAGTGGTCAAGGAAGAGGAGAGGAGAACTGGGGGGGCGATAAATAACAGCAATGTTAGCTGAGAAAGGTTTGAAAAGGCCAATGAAATTAATTTTGAATGATGGGAAGGAGAGGGAAGGGGTCGTGGGTAGATGTTTGAAGGAGCACTGAAGTGGGAGGAGAAATCCTACACCACCACCTTTACATTCAGAGTGTCTTGGATTGTTGGTAAGTTGAAGACCACCAAAGGATAAAGATGATTGGTGTGAACAGTGTCAGAGGGGGAGAGCCATGTTTCTGTTAAGGCTAGTAAATTGAGGGAACGAGAGATGAAGAGGTCGTGGACTGCAGTGGATTTTGTAATACTGCAAACAGAGCGTGCATTCCAGAGGACAGTATTGAAGGAGGATTTAGAGGAAGAGTAAAATGAGATGGCTATGAGATTGGTATGGTTCTTTTTACCGACTCTTGCAAAATATATTAAACATTTAAAAGAAGACATATTTGGTGAGAAACTTTATTTTCCTTATCGATTCTCCTCTCATCCTCTTTGAAAAATCCCATGTATTCAGTGTTTACCAGTGTTTTGAGTCAGTCTGATAAATATAAATGAGGGATGGAGTGTGGTAAGTGATAAACACCTGTCTGTGATCTGATACTAACCCCACACTATACCAGGAAAATTAAACATAACATCCCCTGAGGTATATGAAACCCCCCATGAGACTTTAATGGTATTGAGTCCTTTGGATCTCATTGTTAACCAAACGCCATTCACAATTCAATGTCCGAAGAGAGAGTCAATCAGCGAGGGGTGGCCTGCGGACCGTCTCCTTTCCCAGACTCTGACATAATATTTAATTGAACCATCCCATCTTACCACTGACTCTAAATGGTTAAATACCCCATATGATGGCTACAATGCCACCAACCCTTAGTCGCCAATAAACGCCTCCCTTTATACCTATGGTTCTGTGATTATTGGTCTAGGGGTGATTATTGGTCTATTGGTCAAAGCTCATATATAAACTTCCCCCACACGTATCCAGTTTATCCGATCAGACATAATATGCTGGAAGGAAAGAGTATTTTTTTGGCATAGTGGCAAATATTTCCTGGGGTACAATAAACCATGTCAATACTCAGGGAAAAAGGGGGCAAACTGGCAATGTGGGATCTTATTTCATATCCACTAAGAGACGAGAAGCCCTGCTCTACTAACTGCTCCTCTCGGTACTAGGGACGTCTTCTGATCCTGCTGGTTAAGAGTTTATGAAAGGTAAAGACATTCAGAGTAAGAGGCAGACCTGCTTCCTGACTCCATGCTGTCTCTTCTCTTCCAGACAGTATCACCATCGACCCAAGAGATACCCGTTGGGTTGGAGCCTGGTGGCTGGGATTTCTCGTAGCTGCTGGGATAACGCTTTTGTCTGGTATTCCGTTTTGTTTTTTGCCGAAAAGTCTGAAAAAACAAAGTGAAGACGATGGGATTATTGAGGAAAAAATGAAAATGAATGAAAATAAGGAAGAGCCCAGTAATTCTGAGCAGCACAGAAAACTGACAATGAAAGGTGACATTATTCTTCCACAATACTGCCTGCCAAGTGAGAGCGTCAAAATGCCGACTGGGAAATGTTTTTGTGATCATTCCTGGGTGTTTATATTTGCAATTAGGGTCGTGGACATAAGGGATAGGTTAGGGTTTGGGAGTTGGAGGTAGGAGTTTCTGCTCTCTAGATGCTTTGGCCTGCAGCTATCATCACTCTCAGCCAGGCAGAGTGTGGTATAGGATGGCTGCTCTTTCACTGTGATCATATAAAAATGTCACCACTGTGACAAGCTCCATGTGTGTTATAATGGGAAACGAGAGGTGCAGGAAGCAGTGAGTGAGGGGGAGTTTAGGATGATAGGGGTTAAGATCATGCACATTGGCGATGCCCTCTCTCTTGCCTGAATCCCTCCTTGCACTGTGAGCAGGTTAGTCTTTGTAATGTTATGTTTTAAGGCATTGTTCCTTTCTGTATTTCAGGATTTCTACTGTCATTAAAACAGTTACTGTGCACCCCCCTGTACTCCCTCCTCCTGCTTATGACCTTCCTTCAAATGAACAGCTTTCTGGGGTTCATTACGTACAAACCAAAGTACATTGAGCAGCAATACGGTCAGTCCATCTCCAAGGCCAACTTTATAACCGGTAAGTAATGGGCACGCCTGCACAGGAGACTGAAACATTCTTCCCACTAAATAATTGAGGGATAATTTGCGCAATAAAATATATCCCAGGTAAGCATAAAATCACCCAAGTTTAATGGCAATCCTCTACACTTACAACAAACCAAGTTAAATAAACAAAATAACAAAGGTGGTAGCACACACAGTGGTTATAGTTACCTCCTGGTATACAATGACAAAATCTCATTATCATAGTATATCATGGTGTGAAATATCACGTGATACAGTGAAATAGAGTGGTTAATGTATAAGCTCTCAATCTTTACAGACTATTGTAAATCAGCTCTGGACTATTCAGACATCACAGCAACCTTTAAATCATGTTGGCAGTTTGATTCAATTGCAGGTCCACTGGAGAGTTGCTGCTGTTCCAGTTATATACCCACCTTGATGGCCCCTCAGGGATTCAACACAATCCCAGACCGGAGGGGGATGGCTTACAGATAACCATCTCCCGCCCTGGGAAATACCAACCGTACAACAGTAAAGCACACCATATACATGGGGGAACACTTAAGGGCTTCGCTCCCCGGGAAGGGAAGGGGTCACACAGGTAGAACATATATTGTTGGATAGCCCCAGGTCCCAAATAGGATCCCTGCAAATAGTGGGGCTATCAGACAATCAGAGCCAGAGAAATCATTGTATAAAGTATGGGGCTCGAGGTTCTGTACATCCCCTTAATTAGTTACTCAGCGTTGCTTGGTGTAGTCCGGTTAATTCAAACTTTGCACCTAAACCAAGCAACTGTCAGGATTACTAGTTGATGCAGCTCGCAGAATTGTGTCACACTAAGGACTAAAAGTAACATCTTACCGGGCCTTAGAATGGCCGGACTTAACGTATCAGAGAATAGTCAGTAAACTTGCCGAGGTCAGGGACACAGAAGGAGACACAAAGATGAGGGAAGCCAAAGGTCAGGGATAACAGAATTCAGGGAAGTCAAAACGAAGCCAAAGTCAAAAAACAGAAATAAACGCTCAGGAACACTCTCTCGGATAACCTACTAAGGGAAACCACGACAGGGCAATGAAGAGAAGTAAAAATGCGTTTAAATAAGCCTCTTACTGATCTGATTGTCCGAAATCGGCTTTTGACCCCAGAATGTGCGTGCGCGTCTCCCGTGCGACTTTACACACACGCCGACGCTGAGCGGCACTGCCGTTATTGTCAGAGAGGCAATTAGCGCAGATACCGCGTGGTGAGGATGAATATGTTACATCAACAGCCAATGCAGAAAAAAGGCACCCTGGGTCCCTGTTACCGCAGAGGGGGCCCAGCACACTGCCTGAAAGGGAAAGTGGGGCCCGGGACTGCCAGAGCAGGCCGCCCAGGACTGCCGGGCCCGTGACAACCATCATGGTTGTCACCCCCTGATGGCGGCCCTGTACATGCGTATAGACATGCATATAGACACACACACAGCTCATTTTTCAGCCACTCTTCTGTCTCTTACCTTTTCTTTGCAGGAGGGTGGCTGGGGCTGATAGGAGTCGGCACGGCTCTCCCTCTTCACTGGTGCCCGCTCCTGCCACGCGGAGTGAGCTGGGAGGAAGTAACCACAGCGTTGACCGTGCCCCTAAAGATATAGGGCCCATCGGGTGGCCCTTAATGCGTGGGCCACCCGATGGGCCCCATCAGCGTGCGGGCCCTGGTGCAACTGCACCAGCGGCAGTTCCGTCGCTACACTTGTCACCCCTTGATGGCGGCCCTGGAAGGTATATAGGTAGTATACTACTTACAGAAACTAAAACAATGACCTGGAGATTATTTGGAATGATCTCAACCTGATGATGTGCAGGATATCCAAGGACCCAGACAAATTAAAATATATATAACATTCCAAGGACTGGATTAAATAGTATAAAAACAGAAAATATACCAGTTCAAACAGGAATAAAAAGTCTTCACTTGACGCGTTTCACTAAAGTTTTTTGAAATGTGAAGAATCAAGAAGTAATGAAGCAGAATATATCAAAGACAAATTAAGTATTTCTTATATACCTAGATAAGATCATTTATAAAACGGTATTCATTTCAATATCTATATTCAAACTTTTTTTTTTCAAAAATCCATTTATTTTTTTACTCATTTCATTATCAATATTTTCTCCCCCTCCAATGTTTAGTAATCTTGTCTTAACCTAAAAATTCGAATTGTATAGGATCAAAGATACATTTTTCCAAAAAATATTTGGATCAGTGGCGTACTACTATAAGGGTCGGGGGGGGGTTGGAGGGCAGTCCGCCCTGGATGCCATTCGGGGGTGCCATCCTCATAACAAGAGCCGTGGTTGGGCAGTAGGAAAAGGAACGTGGGGGGCTCAATGTCGTGCTGTCGACACGCTCCGCCCTTACCTGGTTTTGAGCAGAAGCGCAGGGACCTGCTCTGACACTCTGTGTGGGCTGTGCAGCCATGGCGAGAGCGTCTGGAGTCTGGATCAGTGTGGAGCAGTGAGCAGGCAAAGGAGCAGGGTGAGTGCTTGCTAAAAAAAATTGTTTTAATGGGTACCAAGTGTTTTTTTGTGAAGGGGGTTGCAGGGGTCTTGTAGAGAAGGGGGCAGGTTTTTTTGTAGATGGGCAGGGGTTTTTGCAGAGAGGGACACGGGATTTATAGAGAGGGGCCGGGGCTTTATAGAGAGGGGCAGGGGATTTTGTAAAGAGGATGCAGGGTTTTTGTAGAGGGGGGACTGGGCCGGAGTTTTGTAGAACTGGTACTGAGTAAGGGTTTTGTAGAAGACAAAAAAAACATTAAAAAACATGTGCCATGAGGGGGTGCCAAACACAGGATCTGCCCTGGGTGCCAAATGCTTTCGGTACGCCCCTGTTTTGGACACACTGTTGTTAACAGAACTGTTCCTGATATTCCTAATATGTTAATTTGGTCATTGTATTTTTGAACGGCAGGTAATAGGAAATTTAATATCATATATTCTCTTAATAAAAAGGATTTACACTATTTTACATTTAAATTAGTAATATTAGTGCTTTTATATGCATTACACATGCCACAGTGAAAAAAATCCTTTTTTTGTCTTGCAGACCAATTAGTTAAAAAGTTATTACAATTTCCATTATTTGTCTTCACATCGCTAGAAGTTTACATTTGTTTAAAGTGTTGTGCCCCTCTATAAATAAATGTTGATTTAAAACCTATATTGTCTTGAATTTCACGTTCCTGTTGTAAAATATACAGAGACTCACTATTTTGTTAAGAATGCCTACATTACTTGAGCAATTAACGAAAGCAGAACTTGTTTATTAATATTTTCGTCATTTTTTCTTTATTCTAATAGTGGAGATCTATCCATTTGACCTATCTGATCTAAATCTTTTTGTAAACTTTCCTCATCGTACCTTTTTTAAAAAAAATAGTTTCTTTAAAACTAAAGATTGTGATAAAAAATGTGATTGATTGTAACAGTTTCTCCGTTACCTTTGGGATATTGGTCAGCCAAGGTGTGACGGACCGCCTGGCACCCCGACCGGGTACCTCTGTCAATCGCTGCTTCCTAGTAATTCTTGAGTACCATAAGCACCGCACCGGACACCATAACCACCTTAAACCCCACAAACCACCACAGCTGGGTTAGAAACATAGAAACATAGGATGTGACGGCAGATAAGAACCATTCGGCCCATCTAGTCTGCCCAATTTTCTAAATACTTTCATTAGTCCCTAGTCTTATCTTATAGTTAGGATAGCCTTATGCCTATCCCACGCATGCTTAAACTCCTTTACTGTGTTAACCTCTACCACTTCAGCTGGAAGGCTGCATCCACTACCCTCTCAGTAAAGTAATACTTCCTGATATTATTTTTAAACCTTTGTCCCTCTAATTTAAGACTATGTCCTCTTGTTGTGGTAGTTTTTCTTCTTTTAAATATAGTCTCCTCCTTTACTGTGTTGATTCCCTTTATATATTTAAATGTTTCTATCATATCCCCCCTGTCTCGTCTTTCCTCCAAGCTATACATGTTAAGATCCTTTAACCTTTCCTGGTAAGTTTTATCCCACAATCCATGAACCAGTTTAGTAGCCCTTCTCTGAACCCTCTCTAAGGTATCAATATCCTTCTGAAGATACGGTCTCCAGTACTGCGTACAATACTCCAAGTGAGGTCTCACCAGTGTTCTGTACAATGGCATGAGCACTTCCCTCTTTCTACTGCTAATACCTCTCCCTATACAACCAAGCATTCTGCTAGCATTTCCTGCTGCTCTATTACATTATCTGCCTACCTTTAAGTCATCAGAAATAATCACCCCTAAATCCCTTTCCTCATATGTTGAGGTTAGGACTCTATCAAATATTCTGTACTCTGCCCTTGGGTTTTTACGTCCAAGATGCATCATCTTGCACTTATCCACGTTAAATGTCAGTTGCCACAATTCTGACCATTTTTCTAGTTTACCTAAATCATTTGTCATTTGGCTTATCCCTCCTGGAACATCAACCCTGTTACATATCTTAGTATCATCAGCAAAAAGACATACCTTACCATCAAGACCTTCTGCAATATCACTAATAAAAATATTAAAGAGAATGGGTCCAAGTACAGATCCCTGAGGTACCCCACTGGTGACAAGTCCAAGCTTGAATATATTCCATTAACTACAACCCTCTGTTGCCTGTCACTCAGCCACTGCCTTACCCATTCAACAATATTGGAATCCAAACTTAAAGATTGCAGTTTATTGATAAACCTTCTATGTGCAACAGTGTCAAAAGCCTTACTGAAATCTAGGTAAGCAAGGTCTACTGCACCACCCTGATCTATAATTTTAGTTACCCAATCAAAAAAATCAATAAGATTAGTTTGGCATGATCTCCCTGAAGTAAACCCATGTTGTCTCTGATCTTGAAATCCACGTGTTTTTAGATGTTCATCAATCCTATCCTTTAACATGGTTTCCATCACTTTCCCCACTACTGCTGTCCTCCACCCACCCTGGACCCAAGACCAGCATCAAGCTTCCAGTGGGTAGACTTCTCATATAATATATATTATAAACCCAGGGAGTATAAGGAGTATAGCAATCACCAGAGTGGGAATATGTTTCCCAATCCCCCTAACATGAGCCTAGACTTCATGAAGGGTAAAACAAATCTGTTTAATGGAGAGACCTTAAATGCAGGTCCCCATGCAAGGGGCACTCCCCCCTGGACCTGAGAGTAGACTACAGTAAAAACATACACACAATTACATTGGCTCTCAGGCCCAGGACACTCCCATACAAAATAGGTCAATCCCTCCCCTGTGCCTGGGAGATAATTGAGTCAGCACTGGATAAACTCAATTAACTCCAGGCAGAGAAAACATACATTTTCACAAAACCCCCAAAATACCTTTAAACACACAAAATCCCCACAAATGTTACATCCCCTGATAGCCTCAATCTGGGTGACCAACATATCCAAAAATCACCCAAATCAGTTCAGGGGTTCAGGAATTTCCTGGAAGTCATAATTTGACCGACTGCACGCATGGTCCCATGCCCAAAACAGTTCCAGTGAATCAGGGCTTGCGGTTGGTCTAGTTCGGTAGTTTAAAAACCAAACAAACTACCGAACATAGTCAATGTTCTTACCCTGGAGCAGTGCCCTTCTAAGTTGTGTAGAACCGAATGCAGGTGACCCTGGAAGTCCAGCAGTGTTCGGGAGTTTCAGTGTCAGAAAACCGTTCCATGAACTCGAAGACCAAACACTGCTGCCTGTGTTCGCAGGAACAAGATGGCCTCCACCTCATGGTCGTTCATGCAAACAGCGGCCACCCAGACAAACACTTAGAACACTGCAGTGGAAAGTGTAACAAACTGTCAGTTAGGCTTAACAAACTCTGGAGTGGTCTCTGGTTCGTGCGCCTGTTAGGTTCCCAAATCAAATATAAAATCCCACAAACCAAGTCTGTTCACATAGTTTTTAAAGGGCCCACAGTCTTTTGGCAGGAGGCTGGCAAGCAGGCCTCTCCAAGAACACATGGCAGATGCATTTCTGCCACACAGGGTTACTAGTGACAGCTATCAATATATACAAAACTATTGAAATCTACCTATTTAAAATGGGTCTGGGTCTTTAGATATTTATTAGAAACATAAATATCTAAATCTTAAAAAATTAAATTCCTATTACTTATATTTTAGGTTAATTTAACCAAATATTGGAGTTAAGAAACATAAAAAATATATTCTATAGACCACTTCTATATAAAAAAAATTGATGTACCTGTAATGGGCCCTTGGTAACCCGACTGATCACCTCCGCTATTAATGAAAGAAGAGACCCATTTCCCCCAGTAATTGGAGGACACACAGTTCCAGGGGTACAACAACCACTTTATTGGTCACACTTGGCTTTATACTTTCCCCAAGCGGTGGATCACACACAATGACAATGTCCCCTCCCAGGGTCCTCTCCCTCCAGGAGTCGCATAACAGAACCAGAACCCGAATTCCTTTGTTCCCTGTTCCCGCCCACTCCATGCCCCCTCCCAGGGTCCTCCCACTTCCCCGGGGCCTGTGCGTGTGACAGAAACTCCAGTCTTTTGGTCCCCAGTTCCCACCACCAGTTCCCACCACCAGTTCCCACCACCACCTCCGGTGGCCAGGGGGTCTTCATTCCATGAGCCTGTGTACCTGGGAGTCCCAGCGCGAAAAGCTTCAAGCCTCTGTGACTCCCAGCCACAGAGAGCCCGCCAAACCGCCATTGTCCCCAAGAGAGTGTCCTTACCAATCTCAGGGACTCTTAGAACGGTAACTGTCTCCGTTCATGGGTCCCTGGGTGAAACCAGGCAAGGGAAGTGTCTCCGTTCAGGACACGAATGCTCCCTCTGGCTGATGGCTGCCTGTATGAATGGTGGCCAGCCAGGGAAGCACTCATTAATTACTTTCCTTGCGGTTTTGAAACTTATGTTGCAAGTTGCCAACGTTCTAATTGATTGGTGTGAACACTCCAAGTTTGGGGAAATGAACAGGGTGGGAATCCATGAAACTCCCCCTAGATGGCATTTATCTAAGGAACGGGCTGCCACAGCACGCGCCGGGGCTTACCTTGCGGTTTGTGGTTTTCTCACCTCGTTACGTGGTGTGAACGTTCTAAGAGAACATTCTAAATTAGGTTTCTTGGTGGTCCCCGTTCGGGACATGAACGGAACCCATTCGCAATGAGCTCTCTCGAATGGGGAACAGATAAAACACAGAAATACAACACAATACAGGGGAAAACACAGGGAAGATCTCCTAGCAATTCACAAATAGGCAGCGGTCCCACCACAGTACCTCTTATAGAGGACCAATCTGCACCAAAGTCATGGCCATGCTTAACAAAAACAAAAATTCACAACAGGCCATGAATAAATTAACAAAACTTGGTGTGTATTTGGTCCCCATTGCTTTACTCCTAATCTACAGATATGATTCATCCTGAAACCAAAAATAATTATTAATTAAAATCATAACTATGCCATGTAAAATAAAATTAATTTGTGAATCTAAACATTTCTCTGACTGTTTATGAAAATATTCAACTGCCTCACATCCTTTTTGATGTTCAATAGCAGCATAAAGGCTGGTTACATCACATGTGACTAAAATACTTAAAAGACTGTTGGAGTTTTGTAGATAGGATGATAATTCCTTACTTACAGTTGTAAATACGCATCAATATATTGGGGAACGGGAGAAAACACAGAATTAGTGCCTTATGCAATAGGGCTACTTGGAGGATTAATCTGGTTTTATGTAATTTAGGTAGAACATAATTAACTAGAATTCTGGGGTTTTTATACGTAAAAATAAATATTCCCCATTATCCAATATATTACTTTCTATACTCTTTATAACATTTATATATCTTTGATTTCACCTGTAGGTTTTCTATTTAGTTTTTATATGTATTAACATCCTGTCATTGTAGATTAATTTATTGTACATATATCTTTATCTATGATAACCACTCCACCGCCTTTATCTGCAGGCGGTTTATAATTATTGAGGAGTCCTCTCTTGACAACTTGAGGGTCCTTTTAATTTATAACACAGTTTATATTGGTATTTAGACAAGGGCTTACTTTAAGAGATTTCTTCTAAACATGCTAGTTCAAATGCCTTCATAATTTGTGATTTTAAAAATTGAGGATAAAAAGTCTGATTTGTCTATAAATTCGTTTGTAAAATGTGGAATTCATCTTCGTCCTGATTTTTTAGTCTGGGTCGTCCTTACATTGTTTAACTCTAAAATCTATTCTTTATTAAAACGTGTTTTAAACATAATTTTCTAATAAAACAGTTAATATCTTAATGGACTTTAAATGTATTCACAGGGCAGCTAAGTGAAAATGTAAAAACCTCTGGTAAAAACATGCAATTGGGTAGGGGTTGTATTTTTCTTAGATAGATTAAAAACCTTTATATTACTGTTCATTTACTTCTCCTTTCTAAAAACAATTCTCCCTCCTCTTGTTCCTCTTGTTCTGACTTCCTTTACCTTACCTATAAAATAAATTCAATAAAAAAGGCACAACACGTTTCGACCTAGTGCAAACCTGAGGAAGACCTATTGCACTAGGTCAAAACACGTTGTGCCTTTTTTATTGAATTTATTTTATATTGGTAAATAAAAAGTACTCGCCTTTCATTTATTTGGTTACCTGGTTCCTGATTTCCAAACAGTGGACTTCTGATACCTTCTGAGGGACCTGATCCTATACCTACATACCTACATCTGATTCAAAGTTTAGAGCCAACTCATAAAGGCTCTAAATATTGTGAGTGTTCTTAAAGAGTTACCAATTTAAAAAAAAAAAAAAAAACATAAAACACAGAAAGCTGTGTGTGGTGCACAGAATTTAAAGAAATGCCATTACTACTCGAGGAAAGCCATTTTGTATGTTCTCGGTTATTGTAAAGGTGTTGCAAGTAAAAGCATAAATCAAAATGGCCGAGACACTTTCTCTTTCCTGTTTGATTGAGGAGCAACTTGTATGTAAAGACTGTGAAAACACTGACTACATATGGGGTCCCAACACACTCTGAGAACAATAGCAGTTCAATGTTGTTTTGTTCCAGGTATTGATCCTGAATTCTGGTTTTATAAAAATAATTTGTTTTTTCTTTTTCAGGGATCTCCACCTTGCCAGCGGCTGCCCTGGGGGTCTTTTTAGGTGGCCTGATTATGAAGCGGTACAAGTTTGGTCTCCTCTCAGCTTCCAAGATGTCATTCGGAACAGGTTTTTTGGCCTTCCTCTTTTCGTTTGTGGTGTTTATACTTGGATGTGAAAACAGTGATGTAGCAGGAATTACTGTTTCATACAATGGGTAAGTGAATGTGGACTAGTAACAGTGAGAAAATGAATCACAGGTTTTTAAACCACAGACCTGAAATAAGAAATTGCCTAAAATGTAGGAGATATTCAATGAAGATTTTCAAAATTCCAAGTAGCATTCACTGATGAGCCACAATATTAAAACCACCTGTCTAATATTGTGTATGCCCTCCTTGTGCTGCCAAAACAGCTCTGAAGTGTTGAGGTATGGACTCCACAGGACCTCTGAATGTGTCCTGTGGTATCTGGCAGCAAGACATTAGCTGCAGATCCTTTAAGTCCTGCAAGTTGCGAGGTGGGGCCTCCATGGATCAGATTTGTTGTTCCTGCACATCCCACAAATGCTCAATTGGATTGGAATCTGGGTAATTTGGAGGCCAAGACAACACCTTGCACTCTTTGTCATGTTCCTAAAACCATTCCTGAAATTTTTTTTCAGTGTGGCAGAGTGCATTATCCTACTGAAAGAGGCCATAGCCATCAGGGTACACCATTGCCATGAAGGGGTGTACATGGTCTGCAACAATCTCTAGGTAGGTGGTACATGTCAAAGTAGCGTGAGTGCTCAGACCCAAGGTTTTCCAGCAGAACATTGCCCAGAGCATAAAACTACCTTCACTGACCTTCTTCTCATAGTGCATCCTGCTGCCATCTCTTCCCCAGGTAACTGATCTACACACACCCAGTAATCCACCTTATCTATAACATAGCCCCATGCGAGCAAACTGTGATGCACTATATGTCTTCTGACACATTTCTATCATGGACAGCATTACGTTTTTCAGCAATTTGAGCTACAGTATCTTTTCTGTGTGAGTGGACCAAACAGGATAGCCTTTGCTCCCCACATGAATCAATGAGCCTTGGCTGCCCTTGACCCTAAATGCTGGTTCAGCGGTTGTCCTTCCTTGCACCACTTTTGGTAGGTACTAAACGTTGCACACCAGAAGCACCCCACAAGACTTGCCGTTTTGGAGATGCTCTGACCCAGTTGTGTAGCCATCACTGTTTGACCAATGTCAGAGTCACTCAGATCTTTTCACTTGCCCATTTTTCCTGCTTCCAACACGTGAAATTCCAAAACAGACTGTTCACTTGCTGCGAGTGATGTCCCGAACGGTTCGCCGAACGGTTCGCCACGGATGGCGAACATATGCGCTGTTCGGTCCGCCCCCTATTCATCATAATTGAGTAAACTTTGACCCTGTACCTCAGAGTCAGCAGACACATTCCAGCCAATCAGCAGCAGACCCTCCCTCCCAGACCCTCCCACCTCCTGGACAGCTCACTAAGAATGCAGCTTCACAATGAATGTAAAATGGATGCTGTCCAGGAGGTTGGAGGGTCTTGGAGGGAGGGTCTGCTGCAGATTGGCTTGAATGTGTCTGCTGACTGGGAGGTACAGGGTCAAAGTTTACTAGATGATGACAAAGGGGGCGGACCGAACAGCGCATATGTTCGCCATCCGTGGCGAACCGTTTGGGACATCACTATTTGCTGCCTTATATATCCCACCCCTCGGCAGGTGCCATTGTAACAATATAATAAATGATATTCACTTCACCTGTCAGTGTTTTAATGCTGTGGCTGATCTGAGGGATTTATTTCAATGCCATAGTGCTACATTACATTCATAAAGCATTATTTACTAAAATAAGAATTCAAAGTAAATTCAAAGTAAATTTCAAATTTAAGGTCAAAATAGCCGAAATTAAACAAATTATCTAACTCCTCTAGGCTTTTAGTTTGGCTGCTCTGGCGTTAAATGTGACATTCAGTTTGAATTCTCGCACTAGTGACAATAACACTGACAATATTTTCGTATTTTAGCACTAATTGCAGTATGAATAACTTAAGGTGTGATTTATGTGTTATGGTTTTAGGAATATTTTACTGTAAAGTTGAGTGTGGGGGGACGCGGTGTGAAACCTGTAGAATCACTTCTCGCTGGAACGCCCTCTGCGCAGTAATATTCCTGATAACAAGCTGTTTGTTGGGTTTTATTGCAGGAGCCAACTGGATGTGTTTCAGGATGAGTTCCTCTACTCCCCCTGCAATGCTGACTGCAGGTGTTCATTAAATCGGTGGGACCCCGTGTGCGGAGAGAACGATGTAACGTACATGTCTGCGTGTTTGGCTGGATGCAAAGGGTCCGTGGGAACTGGAAAAGAGAGAGTAAGCTGGACCTGCCCAGAATCCTGTCTACACAATAAACAGTGACACACAGTATAACACAGAGCATAATACTGAAAGGAAATAAGCCCCGCACCAAATTCCAACACACTTCTCATCCTCCTAACGCATCGATTTAAAGGAACACTACAATCACCATAACCACTACACCATGAACTGGTTTTAGAGACATTTGACTTCATACCTGGTATCCGCTAGAGGGCGTTCCTTCCCTTTTCCACTATTTCCAATGTAGACCCTGACGCGCTGGAGCAGGGAATATCTCCTGAGCTGCAGTGCAGGGCTAGCTAATCACTCTCAATAAGCTACATCATGCACAGCCAGACTTAGCTCAGAACTAGACCTAGTGGATCTCTGTATGAAGTGGTGGAGATGGGGAGAAGCACCCTGAGAATCCCAGGTAAGAAATCAAACTGTTCTAAAACAGTCTAATTACTTACAATGGCGGGATGTCATGGCACCATAACCACTGCAGTATGATGCAATATTATAGTGTTCCTTTAATATAAATGGTAGAATTACCCCACAAGGACCAACCCAAAATAAATTCATATTTTCATATTTTTTACCGAATGTGGTATGGCAGCAGCTGCTCTCCACATTAACCTCTTTTTACCAGGAAATACCCAGGTTAACGCTCCTCCATCCTTCACACATGTAGGTGGGTGGGAGGTCCATGAATAGGGGGTACTTTGGGACTGACTTGAAAACTGGTCAGAATTAAATTTCTGAGCAAGTTCATAATTTCAACCATTTCTGATTGATTTGAATGGACTCAAGTTCAGAGTTCACTTAGCAATTTGTAGGTCGTTTGACAAATCATTTAGTACAAGTCGATTGTACTAGATTTAGTCCACAGACATTTTACCTGGGATTTCTCAGAATTTTTGTGAAGTGTGTTGTCTGAATCTTATTTTTATTGCAGATTTATTATAACTGTTCATGCATTGAAGCAATGGGTTTCAAGTCCAGTAATTTCACTGCCCGTTTAGGGACGTGTCCTCGAAACGAAAACTGTGGCAATATGTTTATATACTATACAATCAGCCAGACATTAATCACGTTCGTGTACGCACTAGGCGGAGCGGCTGCATATATCATCGTCCTGTGGTAAGTCCTTAATGTATATAAATGTATCTCAAGTGGCTAGAATGAAACTACTATTGGTACCCTTAATGCTGGTTTTCCAGAAACGCTACAAACAGGCAAACATTCAGGGAAATAATAATGTGTGTCTTTTAGGTGTGTCAGCCCAGAATTAAAAGCCCTGGCAGTTGGAGTCTACATGTTACTCATCAGAGCTCTCGGTATGTGCGCCTGTAATGATCCATCATGTAACAGTTGTTTAAATAGACAGTGAGGCTTGGACCCCTCTTCCCATTCCAACACTGTCTCTCTTTTAATGATTTAATTTGTCACCGATAAGGACACTAGTTTCAGTCCTTTTTTAGTCTACTTAAGATAGATTAAAGGATCACTATAGGGTCAGGAATACAAACGTACCCTCATGCCTCCATAAATATAGTAAAATTCTTAGTGTATTCAAACCAGAAGCTGTAAATCTGCATGCTGTTAGACTCAGAAAAACAAGCAGTCTGCTGACATCATCAGAAGTGGTATCCTGATCCAATCACAGTGCTTCCCCATAGGATAGAAACATGTATTTGTGAGGTGTGTAAAACAAAATTTAATTCACAATTGCTTATGCTGTAAATGGGTGCCTCCATCTTGGCTGTCAGTCATTGATATAAGCTGGCATAGACAGAGCATATAGAGAAGAAGATAAATTAAACAATGTTTTAATTTCTTCTCTTCATTTGTATTGTGTGCCCTGGCTGTGCCTTGTCTGAGCTGGATTATGTGGTTATTTGCTAAATCTTTCATTTACATTTAAAACAAAATAGAGAAAACCCCCCACAAGTTATAGGTGATTTTCCATGTTTTATTCAGTGATATGGTAGGGAAGTGACTCCTCCTCTTTACTTCATTAATATGTGAGTTTTAATTGGTGAGTTATGGAAACAGCAAATATAATATTCATTCTTACCTTTCCAGCTGGGATTCCAGCCCCGATATATTTTGGGGCGCTCATAGATAAGACATGTTTGAAATGGGGGACCAAGCCCTGTGGAGGAAAAGGAGCCTGCAGGATGTATGACGCAAGCTCATTCAGGTACAAAACAGCCGTTTAATGATAAAGTATTAATTACACCAGTGGTTCTCAAACTGTGTGCCGCGGTGCCCTGAGATGCCGCGATGGGCACAAAGGGAAGCCGCGAGTTATTTTCCCTGGTGCTATGATGATAGAGATCTCCCTCTTTGGTCCGCTAGCACTTTGCTGACAGATGGCAGGGGAGGGAGAGAGGACCCGGGGGAGCTCTAACCTTCAGCTCCGCCGGTTTCTCCTCTCGCGAGCTCGGAGCGTTGCCGCGGGTAAGCTCCAAATCTCACAAATCTCCTGAGGCTGCTAGAGTTCACCACCGGGGCTTCCCCACCGGATTGGCAGGAATTACAGGAAATGTCCCCTGTACCAGGCAAAGGTAAGCAGGGAGGGGGGATATCATTTTTATTTTTAATTAAAAACAATAACAAAGTATGTATTTATTTATTTGCCCTCCTACCCCCACAGACCCCAGACCACACACATTGCCCCCCATACACACACACTGCCCCCATACACACACACTGCCCCCCATACACACACATTACCCCCATACACACACACTGCCCCTATACACACTGCCCCCCATTCACACACACCGCCCCCCATACACACACATTACCCTCCCATACACACACATTACCCTCTCATACATACAATGACCCTCCATACACACACACTGTACCCCTTACACACACTGCACCCCCCACAAACACTGTACCCCTCACACACACACAGGACCCCTCCACACACACATACTGTACCCCTCATGCACATCCTGCCCCCCCCACACACACACTGTACCCCTCATGCACAAACTGCCCCCCCCACACACACAAGCTACATCCTTCATAAACACAATGCACCCCTGTGCACACACTGCACCCCTCACACACACACATGCACACTGCAACTCTCACACACACACATATTGCACCCCTTACACATACACACACACTCAACAGCCCCTATCCCGGCAGACCCCAGGTAAGTTGTCAAACTGTTCTTAAACAGTTTGACTACTTACCCTGGGAGGGCAATACGGCACTACTGGCACCATAACCACTACAACGTAATGTATGGGTTATTGTGCCTGGATTGTTTCTTTAAATAATCTACCAGTGCCACTCCCAAGATTAGGGGCCCAGTATATGCCGCAGCCTTGTACATATATACAACATAGAATTTTTTTGACTTGGGGTGCCTTGGAAAAATATTAAGGGCGCCTTGAACCTAAAAAGTTTGGGAACCACTGAATTACACAGTCTCTCTCAGTACTCGCAGTCGCAGTGAAAGGAAATAACTATCTGTATATCAAAGGGAGAATGATAACAAATGTAAAAACCTCATGTTTATCATCAAAGGTCTTCACACTGTAGGTAACATCCATTAGGGTGGCATCAGGGTAGCAGCTGGAATGACAGTGAAGATCAAGTTATATTGAGGACAGACACTCCATCCTTGTTAGGGTGTCTCTGAGAAAAGTCTGTATTAAGAGGTTCAGTCATTAATCTGTCCATTGCAGTGAATTGATAATCAAGTGACAAATTTTACACCAATTTAGAAGATTTTTTAAATTCAGCTCTTTGGTTGTCATCAATTGAGTGTATCAGTCTCCGTGTTGGACAGACTCATGGGTCAGCTCTGATAGAAAGATTTACAGCTAATTTGGGGGGTGGGAGTGTGGCACTCAGGATAGTGTTGGTGCTTTTATCTCACACCAAGGATCACTTGCCTACATCGTTACACTAATTGCCACTAATGTTCCTTGAACTCTCTGTGTGTCTCTGCATCCTCCCTCCAGAAACACCTTCTTGGGTCTGATGACTGGAATTCGCGCCCCAATGTTTCTCGTAGCCATTGTCTTTATATATTTGGTCAAGAAGCAGATTTCAAAGACTGCAGGAAAAAACGCCCAGGAGAAAGAGAACCGTGAAGATTCCGTGAAAAGTAACATTTACTCAAAGGACATAAAAGACGAGGAATCTGCCGCCCTAAACTCTCAGAAGGAATCATGCATGTAACCGTTACTGATTGTCTAATAATCATGCTGTTTATATAGTCATAGTTCTATATGATAAGAGCGCAGTTCCAAACATGACTTGTATACAATAAAGGTTTAATTTGGTATATATCATTTTAGATTCATTGTCTTTAGACTATCCTGCACAATTTCATATTTTCCCATATATTCTAACAATGTATAAAAATATGCAGCACGAACAACAGAAAAACATGTATTAAGCTTAAGATGGAGAAATTAGAAATGTATGTACATAGAAGAGAGGTGGATTGTTAAGATGAGATGGATGGAAATATAGGAGAGATGAATGGAGATATCAGGGTAATAGAATTGTAGGGGTGATGAATCATCATGCTACAGCTGGGTGAGGATATAAGGGAGATGGATGGAGGTATAGGGGTGAAGGATTAGGGGAGATGGGTAGAGGATTAGGGGAGATGGGTGGAGATATAGGGAAGATGGGTGGAGGTATAGGAGTCATGGGAGATGGGTGGAGGTATAGGGGTGGAGGATTAGGGGAGATGGGTGGAGATATAGGGGAGATGGGTGGAGGTATAGGGGAGATGGGAGATAGGTGGAGGTATAGGGGAGATGGATGGAGATAAAGGGGAGATGGATGGAGGCATAGGGGAGATGGATGGAGGTATAGGGCAGATGAGTAACAATTTAATGGAGTTATGGGGAAATTGGTGGAGGTGGATAAAGAAATATAGGTAATTATGGGATATAGATATATATGGATTTAATGGAAAATGGTGAGATGGTGGGAAGTAGAGGAGAGTCAACTATCAATAGATCTAGATGTGTGTTTGGAGGTGCAATAGAGATGGTTGGAGGAATAGTGTGGATGGACGGTACTATAGAGGAGAAGGATGATGTGTTGGGGTTGGTGTGGCAAACATAGCCACTTGGACACTATAACGAGACTGTGCCTTTAAGGGTTGCCTATATGGTTGTGGGATATGGGCTTAACTATGTAAAATGTATGCGGGTTGTAATTTACATGTATTTGCTGTATTGGCTATCTGCCGAATGCAGATAGCTGTTTGTATTGGATTTTTCTTTCGTTTCACGAACTGCACTTTTGCGGGCCGTTCGTGAACCGAAAATTCCCCCATGTAGTAGCCCACACACTTAGAGGCGTGTGGCGCTTGTTAACCGATTGCAACAATGTTGCAATCGGTAATTAGAGGCTCTCCTAGGTGGCCGCCGTTCGACTACTGACCATGCGGCGGTCGGCCATCTTGGATCCTTTGTTCCCTCAGCGGTGTTAGGTCATCGAGCGCATGGTACTAAAAATGGCTACTCAATGGCACGAACACCGCTGAGCCTCCAGGCCGTTCGGGAGTTCCGGGCCGTTCGGTACTTTGTTCCCTGGAAGGCAATCGGTCCTTTAAACATGTATTTTAATAAATGTGTTTTTCGTGCGGCGTTCGGTTGTTTTAGCTGGGATCTGAGCGGTAATCTCACGAATGATGCGCTCAGACCCCAGCTATCTACCGAACGTCCATTCGTGCAAATAGACCGTATATTACCACAGTTATGCATTTTAATATAAATTGTCGGTTCTGCTGCACGGAGGGATAATCCACTTAACGGTACATTCCTGTGGGAGGATCCCTCTCGTGCAGCAGTGCCTGATGGGAGAAATGCCCTGTATTGTAAGTCCCCCATGTAGTCCCCTCTGGAAATGCCCCTGGGAGGGGACTCAGGAAACCCCTTGCATGGGGACTTGTATAAATTGTGGAGCTGAAAATAAAGACCTCAGTTGACTCTCAGAACTGTGTTTCGTCCGGTTACTGGGAGATTTGGGATATTGCCTTGCTTTTTCCAGCGCTTGACTGTGGATTACTTCCTGAACCAGCAGAATTCGTGGATTTAATGTTGGCGTTCCGCTACAGTTGAGATACAAGGGGTGGTTGAATAAATGAATGAGGTGGTGGGTCAATGTGTATTGATGGATAAGCTGGTGGGTCAATGACGGATGGCAGCTGTGAATGTAGTGAGATGACCCAATGTCGGTAGACAGAGCTATCTCACTGCAGTATATTAGAGTCACGGATCTGATTCAGAGAAAGGCCAATACAGGGTTCAAACCCAATCTAATCATTACTTAATTTCCAGCCATCCAGCCACTACCTCCTGCTAATATCCGGGTTTATACATTGTATACAGTGTCGCTATCTCCTGCTAATATCCCGGGTTAATACATTGTATAAAGTGTCATTATCTCCTGCTAATATCCCGGGTTAATACATTGTATAAAGTGTCACTATCTCCTGCTAATATCCCAGGTTCATACATTGTATACAGTGTCGCTATCTCCTGCTAATATCCCGGGTTAATACATTGTATAAAGTGTCATTATCTCCTGCTAATATCCCGGGTTAATACATTGTATAAAGTGTCACTATCTCCTGCTAATATCCCAGGTTTATACATTGTATACAGTGTCGCTATCCCCTGCTAATATCCCAGGTTAATACATTGTGTAAAGTGTCGCTATCCCCTGCTAATATCCCAGGTTAATACATTGTATACAGTGTCGTTATCTCCTGCTAATATCCCGGGTTAATACATTGTATAAAGTGTCGCTATCCCCTGCTAATATCCCAGGTTAATACATTGTATACAGTGCTGCTATCCCCTTCTAATATCCCAGGTTAATACATTGTATACAGTGTCACTATCTCCTGCTAATATCCCGGGTTAATACATTGTATACAGCGTCGCTATCCCCTGCTAATATCCCAGGTTAATACATTGTATACAGTGCCGCTATCCCCTGCTAATCCCCATGCACTAAGGGCCACCTGGTGGGCATTTGTCAGCAGGGGCCCGGTCAGGCGCTGTGACGCTTAAACAGCGTGACCGGGCCCCTTCCTGTTTGGCAGCCGGCTGGGAGGAAGTGAGTGCCGCGCGTCACTTCCTCCTATAGGAGATCAGAGCCGCGCGGGAGGAGGAAGGCAGGGAGGAGAGGAGTTTCAGAGGAGAACTCCCAACTGCCTCAGCCTGCCACTGGACCCTAGGGAAACCACTCTCCAGAAAAGGTAAGGGTGGTTGGAGGGTGGCTAAATGTATGTCAGCAGGGCCATCTTTAACGTGGAGCAAACGGGGCAGCTGCCCTAGGCCCAGTTACTCATGGGGGGCCCAAAGCAGCTGCCCCGTGGGCCCCGCCGCCTGCATTAAAAAAAATAGTAAAAAATATTTCCCTACCTAATGGGCCCGCGGTGCTAGCATATACTTAGGGCCACCCAGTGAGCATGTTCCAGCAGGTGTCCGGTCGGCGCTGTGGCCCTTTAACAGCGCTGTGGCCCTTGCTTAACGGCTGCATGGGAGGAAGTGACGTCCGCGAATCACTTCCTCTCACCTCAAAGATATCGGGCCGCGCAGGAGGCTGCTGAGCCAGGATCCAGTGAGGAGGGGGAGCAAGCAGAGCCAGACACCCAACTCCCAACTACCCCAGCCAGCACACTGGACCCCAGGGAAGGAAGCCTCTTGCAAAGGTAGGAAACTGAAGAGTTTCTGTCTGTGTGTCAGTCAGTATGTCTGTCTGTGTGTCAGTATGTCTGTCTGTGTGTCAGTATGTATGTGTGTCAGTCAGTATGTATGTCTGTCTGTGTGTCAGTATGTCTGTCTGTGTGTCAGTATGTATGTCTGTGTGTCAGTATATATGTCTGTGTGTCAGTCAGTATGTATGTCTGTCTGTGTGTCAGTATGTCTGTCTGTGTGTCAGTATGTATGTGTGTCAGTCAGTATGTATGTCTGTCTGTGTGTCAGTATGTATGTGTGTCAGTCAGTATGTATGTCTGTCTGTGTGTCAGTATGTATGTGTGTCAGTCAGTATGTCTGTCTGTGTGTCAGTATGTCTGTGTGTCAGTATGTATGTCTGTGTGTCAGTATGTATGTGTGTCAGTCAGTATGTATGTCTGTGTGTGTGTCAGTATGTCTGTCTGTATGTCAGTCCAGGGCCGGACTGGCCCACCGGGATACCGGGAAATTTCCCGGTGGGCCGTCGGCACCTGGGGCCGGGCAGACAGCCGGCTCACCTGCCGCCGCAGAGGGAGCTCCCTTGGCGGCCGCAGGGGGAGCTGGCTGTTCTGCCTCTGCTCCCCCTCCCCAGCGCGCTAGAAAGAGACCGGGGCCGGAATATGACGTCATATTCCGGCCCCGGTCTCAGTAAGCAGTGCGCTGGGGAGGGGGAGCAGAGGCAGAACAGCCAGCTCCCCCTGCGGCCGCCAAGGGAGCACCCCACAGCCCCAGGTAGACATTGTGTGTGTCTGTATCATGGTGTGTGTGTGTCTGTGTCATGGTGTGTGTATGTGTCTGTCTGTGTCATTGTGTGTGTCTGTGTGTCTCTGTCTGTCATGGTGTGTGCGTCTGTGTCATGGTGTGTGTCTGTGTGTCTCTGTCTGTCATGGTGTGTGCATCTGTGTCATGGTGTCTGTGTGTCTGTCTGTGTCATGCAATGTGTGCCTGTGTCATGGTGTGTGTGTCTCTGACTGTCATGGTGTGTGCGCCTGTCTGTGTCACGGTCTGTCTGTGTCATGGTGTGTGTGTTTGTCATGTTGTGTGTCTGTCTCTGTCATGTAATGTGTGTCTGTGTCACGGTGTGTGTGTGTCTGTGTCACGATCTCTCTGTGTCGTGGTGTGTGTCTGTGTGTCATGGTGTGTCTGTCTGTGTCGTGTGTGTCTGTGTCACGGTCTGTGTTATGGTGTGTGTGTCAAGTTGTGTGTGTCTTTTTTAAGGTGTGTCTGTCATGGTATGTGTGTGTTTCTGTCATGGTGTGTGTGTGTGTCTGTCTGTGTCATGGTGTGTCTGTCTGTCATGGTGTGTCTGTGTTTCTGTCTGTGTCACGGTGTGTGTCTGTCATGGTATGTGTGTGTGTATGTGTGTTTTTACTCACTTTTTTTTTTTTTCCACGTCGTGCTGGTCTCCCCTCAACTGGCCCTGCCTCTACGGCTGAGATCATCAAGCTTGATGATCTCAGCCAATCCGCACTGACACAGGAAGCACCTCTAGTGACCGTCTGAGTGTCTGTCACTAGGAAGCAATGTAAACACTGCCTTTTCTCTAAAAAGTCAGTGTTTACATTGAAAAGCCTGCAGGGACAGGCTGTAGACACCAGAGCCACTACATTAAGCTGTGTGTGTGTGTGCGCGCCTGCTAGTGAGTGGGCTTGCTTGTGTTTTTATTTTAATGACCTTATGTATATCAGTGAGATTGTTTGTCTATGAGGCTGTGTATCAATCAGCTTGTGTCAGTGAGATTGTCTGTGTCTGCATGTGAGTATGCTTACTGTATAATTAAAGATTTTACTCTGAAAGAACCAATATTTTATATTGGAAAAAGATATATATATATATATATATATATATATATCTCAATCATCTAGGGTGGCAAGACATAGCCTTATATATTACATGCGACAATATATGGCGCAATGACTTATGGGGCTGGCATAGATTTTTTTTCCAGGGCTGCTTTGGAATCCCCAGTCCGGCCCTGTGTCAGTCAGTATGTATGTGTGTGTGTGTCAGTTTGTATGTCTGTATGTGTGTCAGTATGTATGTGTGTCAGTCAGTATGTATGTCTGTGTGTGTGTCAGTATGTCTGTCTGTGTGTCAGTTTGTATGTCAGTTTGTATGTCTGTATGTGTGTCAGTATGTCTGTGTGTGTGTCAGTATATATGTCTGTGTGTGTGTCAGTATATATGTGTGTGTGTGTGTGTGTGTCAGTCAGTATGTATGTCTGTATGTCTGTGTGTGTGTGTGTCAGTTTGTGTGTTTGTATGTATGTCGGTGTGCCAGTCAGTATGTCTGTGTATGTGTCAGTATGTATGTCTGTATGTCTGTGTGTGTGTCTGTATGTATGTCGGTGTGCCAGTCAGTATGTCTGTCACAGTGTCAGTATGTATGTCTGTCACAGTGTCAGTATGTCTGTCACAGTGTCTGTGTGTGTCAGTATATCTGTTTGTCTGTGTGTCAGTGTGTGTATCTGTATGTTGTCAGTATGTATGTATCTGTGTGTGTGCCAGTGTGTATACCCAGGGCAGGTGCTGCCTCTAAGGCGAACTAGGCAGCTGCCTAGGGCGCCATGTAGGAGGGGTAGCCCTGCGCCCCCATCGCCAGCCCTTTAAATACTGCAGCCACCTGAGCGCTCTGTAGAGAGCGCTCAGACGGCTGCCGCACTGCCTCTCTCCTCACCTCCCCTTCCTGTAGCGTAGCCGAGCTCCTCTCCGGACCGCGGTCCTGGCCGGACTGACAGGAAGTGCAGCTCTGGCGTTAGTTTATATGGCAGATCATATGGGTGGGGCATTGTGATGTCACTGGAGGGGGGGACGACGACAAATCTTTATTTTGCCTAGAGCGGCAAAAATCCTTGCACCAGCCCTGTGTATACCTGTGCATGTATCTGTATGTAGCCAATGTGTGTCAGTGTTTGTATCTGCCTTTGTCAGGTTACGTATCTGTGTGTCTGTATGTTGTCAGTGTGTGTATCTGTGTGTAGAATATTGCATATTCTTTTCTTTGTTTCTATTGATTATATATGGATGTGTGGATTGACATAAGTAACAGATGGTATCAATAAGTCACAAGGCTTTCTTTGTCTGAGAGCTCTGGAATGTAAGTTGTTTTTTTTTTCCTTATATGGCTAGAGTTGTAGTCTGACGTCATTATGGTCATATCTATATAGTAACTGAGACGAGGTCTCTTGCTCTCTTGGCTCTTGGCTCTCTTTCCTGTACAAGATGTAACTCTTCTATCAGAAGTCCAGCAATTACCATCTGCTGTTGAAATCCATTATCCTGTAACATCCTTTGTTGTTTTATTATGTATCATTAACTAAGAATAAACCTGAAGAAACCGTAAGTCAGATTGCGTATTAGTACTTTTCATTAATATAGACATATATTAATGATGCGAGCAAATTTGGCCCAAGACTATATATATACAAAAGACGTATATATCAATCAACTGAAGAAGAAATTAAGACGATTTAACATTAACATTGACGTTCCAACCAGATTTTACACTGTGTATCTGTATGTTGTCAGTGTATCTGCGTGTGTCAGTGTGTGCATCTGTGTGTCTGCATGTGTGCCAGGTTGTGTGTCTGTATGTGTTTGTAAATGTGTCTATAGCTGCATCTGTATGATTGTGTATATCGGTGTTTCTGTGTGTATGTGTATCACAGTGTCTGTGTGTGTGTGTGTTTGTGACAGTGCATGTGTATTTGTGCATACATCTCAGCATTCAACACTACACACAAATACACACCTGCATTCAAACTTCAACACTACATATAAACACACCTCTTTTTTTAAACAACAAAATTATATATAAACACACCAGTGTATTCATAAACCAACACTACACATAAATGCATACTTGCATTTAAATGCCATCTCCACATACAAACACACACCGACATTCACACAAACATACTCCATACAAAAACATGCTTACACTCAAACACACAAATACTGCTCAGTGCTAAATACAACCCTGCATGCATGGGAAAATGGTAGCGCCCCAGCTGTCAAAGCATTGTTGGAGTTGCATGACAGATGGAGATCTACCTTTTGCCCCCTCTTGCCCAAAATAATTCATGCACCAGAGCCCTCTCTACTTTACGTCCGCCTCTGCGTTGGGGTGGGGGGCATGATTGCATGCCAGGGAGGAGACCACAGGGTCCAGGGGGCCCAAGCAAATGTTTGCCCAGGGTCCAATCCATATTAAAGACAGCCCTGGCTGCCACACCTGGCGTTGGCTGCCCCCACTGCAATAGTTTGAAGAAACCTGTGGTCCAGGCACTCTGGTTTTAATTAAACAGCAGATTTATTCGAAAAAAAGTGCAATGTTTTAATCTCAAAGAGATCTTTCTCAAGCTAACACCAAAGTGTGACAATACAGATTATATAGGCTATACAATTTATAATATGATAAATTAAAATATGGGGTCGTCATTGTAACGTTCACTAGTGAACCCTAACTTGCAGACAGGACAGAGTAGAGAGAATTGCAATACCGATCCTTAGAATGGTCGGGCTATGCCAAAAGGGATAGTCAAAACACGAGCCGAGGTCAAGGGTAACAGAGAGATGGAATAACGAGAGACAAAGCCAAATATCAGTAACCAGGAAATCCAAATAACAAGTGCAACGCTCAATGGTAAACCAAAGACCACAACAGGGCACTGAGGCAAGGGAGAGGTTAGCTTATATACACACAGGGTGTGTCTGATTGGCTAACCTCCAATTAGTGTTAACCACAACACGTGGGAGGGGTTTCATCACTGTCTGCCGGGTCACATGACCGGGTGCAGCACACATATAAGGAAGCTGCTCTGCAGCGTGCAGAGCCAGTCTGGAGGCAGGGACCAGATTACGCCGCTCGCTGTGATGAGGTGAGCAAGGTCGCTGCGAGCGGCGCGGGGGCAGGGGACCTGACAGCCATGACAGAATGGTGCTTGCAAAGCTCTAGATTTAAACTCTATCTTTGCTCAGAGAGCACAGCAAAGCTTTCTGGGAGTTTTAGTTCAGATAACAGTTTCCGTAATTACAAAGCTGACTCCTCCCCTGAGGAGACCTTAGGCTGTGCACAGAGAGCTTTGAAATGTGCTAGTTGGTGTGGCATTAAACATGTCCTACAGGTCAGACTCCACAGTCTGGAAGAAGGGATTCGTACTGGCTTAGCTTCCTTTTGAAGTGGGCAAAGCCTCAGGATGATGATGTAATTGGGTAACGAACTATATGTAATAATTTCATATTAATTGTTTCAACATATTTGTAATTTTCTATCTGTATCTGTCAGCACCCCTTAAACATGTCTACCTGACACATGAAATAATTTGGTGGCTAATCCTTTGCCTGTTATTCCTTCTTACTTGGAATGTGTAACTTGCACTCGTATGACTCCTAGTTACACTTGTCATCTCCACGTGTTGCTCTGATTACTGATTGTCAGACCACGTGCAGAACTAACACATAGAGGTGTATTTATCTAATAGAGAGTCGTCATGAATTGAACTGAATTGTAACAATTAAGTCAAAATAGCTCCACCAGAATAATTCCAAATTCATCGGTTGCTTGTTTTAGCCTACGTTTAGCAGTTCCGTTTGCAGTTTATGTTTATTAAATAATCCCAAATGCTGCTAATTGCCAATTAGCCTTGTACGAATCACATCTGCTTCTGATTTTGTATTTTTCAAAATACAAAATGATGAAATGAAAGTACAAATTAAAATCCTGATCACGGATGTATTAGGTAAGTACCTGCTCAGGTAGAACTAGGTATTGATACATCGACAATACATGACTCAGCTCGTTACCGTTCATGGTTGATTATCAAGAGTGAGGTCGAAGTCTAATGTTCGGAGTTTTTTATTGACCAGGCAGTTGTGCTGTGTTCTGGACGAGGTGTGTGTAAGTAACCGTTCTTTAAACAAGTTTTGGGTAAATAAAGTTTTCTGTTATTGTTTTCAGAGCAGGTTAAGCTCTAAGCTGATAATACGCTGTGAAATCAGCTAGGAAATGTTACTGTCTTAAATAAAATCCATGTGAAATTACAACGAGCTTTGAACACATAGAACGTTTATATGAAATGGTTCCATGTATTGTACTCAATTGTAGAAAGCTCTCAAATTAGAGAGTAAAATATTTCTAGTTTATTCACCATAAAGTTTATGCAATTGAAAAGAATGTCCTATTATTTGTACAGTACTAAAGAAATCCCAAGATTGTACAGTCCACACCACAAATATAGTGGCCCCTTTTGAATCCTCCAGCGCTCCGGGGGTTACAATTCAAATAGCGATCTGGGGAGATGGAAACTGAAATGGTGTAATAACGTTAGGTGAGAAGCCTTCACCATATACACCCTATGTGGAGCTCTCACCTTATTGGAATACACTTGTACTTTATCTGTGTTTGTGTGAGCTAACTCACTGTTCAAAATAGAGTATATTGTGTTTTACACATAGGGGAAAATGAGAGGATAGCAGCATAGGTGATATAAGATTAGAGATATAATATCCTATATGTATACGCTTTAAAGGGAAAGAGCCTCGGATTAACATCTATTGTGGGTTAGATGTAAATGGGTGAATATAGAGTTTGTTTATTATATAGACAATTCTTGGAGACGTCCTGCTGATAAATATTTCTGTTAATGTACACAGAGGGCTCTGCAGAGAGAGTAATAACTGGGGCAGATACCCCATCTCTTACTATTCTCACAACATGCTGCCCGCCATTCTTTCTTTCCTACAAAAGCAGGATCTGTGTGCGGGCAATATCGAGAGTTAAAAGCATACAGCGCAAACTGGGGGTTCGTCCATAATGAAGCCATTCAAACTTTCCAAACTGAGGGTAAGAATCGAATAAAACAATACCAGCGTAACAGTATCAAATGTAGGAGGATGCGATATATGTAGGGATATGTGATATATGTAGGGGTATGTGATATATGTAGGGGGATGCGTTATATGTAGGGGTATGTGATATATGTAGGAGGATGTGATATATGTAGGGATATGTGATATATGTAGGGGGATGCTTTATATGTAGGGATATGTGATATATGGAGGGATATGTGATATATGTAGGGGTATGCGATATATTTAGGGGTATGTGATATATGTAGGGATATGTGATATATGTAGGGGGATGCGATATATGCAGGGATATGTGATATATGTAGGGATATGTGATATATGTAGGGGGATGCGATATATGTAGGGGGATGCGATATATGTAGGGGTATGTGATATATGCAGGGGTATGTGATATATGTAGGGGGATGCGATATATGTAGGGGTATGTGATATATGTAGGAGGATGCGATATATGTAGGGGTATGTGATATATGTAGGGATATGTGATATATGTAGGAGGATGCAATATATGTAGAGGGATGTGATATATGTAGGGGTATGTGATATATGTAGGAGGATGCAATATATGTAGGGGGATGTGATATATATGTAGGAGGATGCTATATATGTAGGGGATGTGATATATGTAGGAGTATGTGATATATGTAGGGGTAAGTGATATATGTAGGAGGATGCGATATATGGAGGGGAATGTGATATATGTAGGGATATGTGATAGATGTATGGGTATGCGATATGTGTAGGGGGATGTGATATATGTAGGAGGATGCAATATATGTAAGGGAATGTGATATATGTAGGAGGATGTGATATATGTAGGGGGATGTGATATATGTAGGGGGATGTGATAGATGTAGGAGGATGCAATATATGTAGGGGAATGTGATACATGCAGGAGGATGCAATATATGTAGGGGAATGTGATACATGCAGGAGGATGCAATATATGTAGGGGAATGTGATATATGTAGGGGAATGTGATATATGTAGGGGGATGTGATAGATGCAGGAGGATGCAATATATGTAGGAGGATGTGATATATGTAGGAGGATGCGATATATGTAGGAGGCTGTGATATATGTAGGAGGATGCAATATATGTAGTAGGATGCAATGTATGTAGGGGGATGTGATATATGTAGTAGGATGTGATATATGTAGGAGGATGCAATACATGTATATAATTTACACATATTTAAACTTTTATAAAGCTCAGAGGTTGCACAATCCTCATTGTGTATTGGCTGTTCCTTGTAGAGAATCAGTGGGTTTAATATCTCACGTTGAGAAGCATTGAAGTCATGCACAATCTGCCCCAGCTCATTATATCGGCTGGGAGGTCACCACCATTAATGATCTCCTGGATGTGGAGTGGAGCTGTGCTGAGGACATCCACTGGCCAAAGATTTACAGATAACTTAACACATTATATCACAGGAATGTCGGCCCTGCAATTTAAAAGACTACATGCATAAAATAATAGAGTGTTCTTTTAAATGTTATAAACGTTCACCATACAGGCACCTCTAGGACCTTGCAGATAATATAATAAAATAATATAATAGCAGATATTGTAATAACAGATAATATAGCAACATTAAATTATGGCAGGATATCAAGAAAAAAAGAGTACAATAAAATTATAGAAACATTGATGTAATAATAGTTACTATAATAACAAGAAATATATCAGGATACTACAATAGGTTACTAATATTATAATAACAGATCATATAATAGCATAACAGGACATTATAATAACATAATAACAAGACGATACAATAACAGGATATTCTAATAAAAGGATAGTAGATCAAATATAATATAACAGACATGATAACGGAAGATTGTAATAAAAGGACAATATAATAACAGGATATTCTAATAAAACTATAATATAATTACAGATGATAATATACTAAGGATATTATAATAACAGATATTCTAATAAAATAATAATAAAATAAAGTAAAATGACATGATAAGTACATGAAGCCAGCGTTATGTCGTTCCCTCGTTCTGTGTATCAGCTGGGTCACACGAGGCCAGTCAGAGAGTAGTGTTAGGACACTAGCCAAAAAGGATGCTTTTAATGAATTAATACTAATCTTAATTGGCAGTAAAACCCTCTCTCTCTATGTGATGAAATGAAGGAGAGCAAGAGTCCAGTAACAGTGCAGGTTATTAACTCGTGTAATAAGATAATAAAACGTGGGACATGGGGCCGTTTCCCAGATCAATGGATTTTATCACTTCATTCAGTAACAAGAAATAGATAAATACAGTCTGGGCTATTATCATTATAATGAACGTATTACCTCATTACTGGCTGTACTGTTATGTGATATGTGAAGCGCCAACATACACAGCAGCGCTGTACTGTGTCCGTTCATTACATATAAGAATTGTGACATTTTGAACAGTGCTTAATATTTAAATAGTGCGACCTAAAGTCAAACAGATACATTTACTGATGTTTAATACGTTATTGCTCTTAGCAGCGTTATACAAACAGTTTCCGTATTCTATGCTCTATACATTGTGTCAGAGTTCTGGATGTATGTGTGAATAAGTGTCATTTTTTCGGTGTAATTCTAGATGTTTCTGCTTGCTTTATCCTATTCCTATGTCACCAAATCCCTGGCGCTCAGTTACTCACGGAGCATGATCACGCAGATCGAGAGGCGATTTAACATCCCGTCCTCGCTGGTTGGCGTTATCGATGGAAGCTTCGACATTGGTACATTTTCTCTTTCCTACAGATAAAACTGACAGTTCTATTGCTATTAAACCAAACTGTCCTTGTGAAGACACGGCTGCGTATTCTTTACCATTTCCAGGGAACTTGCTGGTTATCGCCCTCGTCAGCTATTTTGGTGCGAAATTTCATCGACCGCGGGTGATTGCTGTGGGGTGCCTGGTCATGTTTTTGGGGAGTTGTGTGACAGCGTTACCCCATTTTATCATGAGGAGGTAAGTAGATTATCTTGAATAGAAATATGTTCAGAAAAAGCTTGAATTATATTCGACCCCTTAGGGCCTTTGTCAAGCTTTGTCTGGCAGTCAGTATAGAGAGAGCCACCTTGACAAAGGCCCTAAGGGGTCGAACCGTTGCTTTCTGGTTCCTGGTTCCAATAAAACTGCATTTTCTTTGGAATTCATTGGAGGGCCTGGATTATTTTCTACACTGAAATTCTATATTTTGGTCCTTTTTGGTACTGGGACTTATCCATTAGAGCACCCTGAATTCCATGACGAAGGGTTGAGTGCACTTCCACCACCTACATGTACCTTTAAGGATAGTAATTCATATATACATCTGCGTATGTGTATTCATATACATAAAGTGCAAAGCAAAATACACTATGTATAATATAATGAATCTTCAACTACTGAGAGGGTAGTGGATGCATGGAATAGCCTTCCAGCTGAAGTGGTAGAGGTTAACACAGTAAAGGAGTTTAAGCATGCGTGGGATAGGCATAAGGCTATCCTAACTATAAGATAAGACTAGGGACTAATGAAAGTTTTTAGAAAATTGGGCAGACTAGATGGGCCGAATGGTTCTTATCTGCTGTCACATTCTATGTTTCTATGTTTCTATGTTTCAATCTATCAAAAGTGCCCAAGTGATACAATGTATTAAAAAGAACACTTCCATAAATAACTTGAAAGGGGGACAGTATCCTCCCAGATATTGAGTAAATCAGGCCAAAGGGGTAAAAAAGAAAACTTTTTAAAATCACGAGCTCATTCTCTGTAGAACCAGTCCTCAGACCCTCCTGACATGTTGGCTAGCACTTGCGGTCCTTTTGGGCACCGGAACGCCGTACAGATCTTTCAGAGGATGCGAGCTTCCTTCAGTGCGTCTGAAAACATGATGACGCGTTTCGCCTGGGCAGCTTCTTCGGATCACCAGAGAATGAGTTTGTGATTTTATAAAGTTTTTCTACTGCTACCAATAAAGGTTTGAATCACATCCAGTTGCCGTCCTGTCTCGATATATCTGGGCTATCATAGTGAGAGCAGACTTTTCCTGCTCCATTCTTGTGACTTGATTAGTTTACTATTCTATATTTCTGTGTTTGATTCACAGATTTACACTATAGACCTTTGTTTTTCTTTCCCTGTTTCTTTTTTACCCCTTTGGCCTGATTTACTCAATATCTGGGAGGATACAGTCCCCCTTTCAAGTTATTTATGGAAGTGTTCTTTTTAATACATTGTATCACTTGGGCACCTTTGATAGATTGAAGATTCCTTATATTATACATAGTGTATTTTGCTTTGCACTTTATGTATATGAATACACATACGCAGATGTGTATGAATCACTATCCTTAACCCCTTAACCCCTTAAGGACACATAACGTGTGCGACATGTCATGATTCCCTTTTATTCCACAAGTTTGGTCCTTAAGGGGTTAAAGGCACAGCGCACTTTTTAAATTTTTTTATTTCACTTTTACACAGAGTGTTTTCTTGAGCTATTTTACACGTAATTGGTGCTGCTTGCCTTTTGTGGCAATTTATTCACAGCGCCTTTTATTTACTTGACTTTTTTCTTGTATTTTGTATTAAATATAGGGATAAGTAAAAATAATATTTAAAGTCCCATGAAATAATAGCTCGCCTTTAAAGAGTTCAACATACCCGGCATGAGTGTCCATTAGAATGAAGAACATGCGTTAGAATATTGTGGGATGTGTATTATGTGGCATTCTGTTTAATCGCTCAGGAGTAGTAACACTGGGATTGAAACAGGTCACGGTCTCTGTTGGCTTCGAGTGGCCATACCTGTAAACGCGCGTCAAGGAGTATGTGATGTAGGGTGTGTTTATAGACCGACATCTTCCTCTGTTCCCCCAGGTACCAGTATGAAAAGGCTGTTAGCTTGTCCAGTAATTTAACATCTCAGGAAGAGCTGTGTCTGCTGAATCACACCCAAGACACTGAGCTTTCAGAAGGTAATAATAAGCCGTTAATAATCTTAACCTCGACTCAGCAGCAATCCCAAAATCCCTTTATGAAATCTCTAGCAAGTTATCTGTCAATCTCCCTGTCTGGCACTGAGTATTAGTCTTCAAACATAATGCAATTCCTCAGAATTTTGGCTGAACTGTGCATTGCCTGCGTTTTGTAACTGCGCCATATGGACGTGTCACGAAGCAAACAAAACGGACAATGGACGAATAGGTTTTATTGATTCGTGATTTGGACTTCTATGCATGGTTCGAAAAAAGAGGAACAATAATTAGGGGAAAGTCACTACATCAAACTCTTAAAGTACTTAAGAATGATCAAACTCTCAAAATCTAGAATATTTAAATGGACACTATAGTCAACAATAAAAGCAAGAGAGACAGGTCCCCCAGCTTTCTTTCTTGCTTTTATATGAACTTGCCATAAAAAAAATAAAAATCAGAGTAAGTTTTAATAATAAAACTTACCTCCATTCCAGCGCCGAGCTCCCCGCTAGGCCACGCCCCCTTTTTAGTCAAAATGACGAAATCGCAGGGCCCAATAGAAGCATCATCGCGATGTGGTGCGCATGCGCAGTTTCGCGCTGCACCAATCGCATTCTTCATAAAGCGGCATTGAATTCCGCCCTATGAAGAAACATATCGCTCAACCGCGCATGTGCGCGGTATGCGCATTTGCGAGCCGAGCTGTCTGACTGACAGCTCAGCTCGATTTCTATACCCGCCCCCCTCCTCAGCCAAACTGTGTTTGCAAATAAACACTATATATAGAGATCTCTCTATATATAGTGTTTCTATGCAAACACACAAGTAGAAAAAAATTAGACATACACACACACTCCATCCATATCCATCCATCCCCATCATCCATCCATTCCAATCATCTATATCCATCCCCATCATCCATATCCATCCATCCCCATCATCCATATCCATCCCCATCCATTCCCATCATCTATATCATCCATTCCCATCATCCATATCCATCCCCTTCATCCATATCCATCGATTCCCATTATCCATATCCATCCCCATCATCCATATCCATCCATTCCCATTATCCATATCCATCCATATCCATACCCAAATCCATCCACTCCCATCATCCATCCTCACCCACTCACACTCAGTCACCCACCCACACTCACTAAATAAGTTTACTTACAGTTTGAATCCTCCCCTCCTCCTCTTTGGTCTTCAGCCTGTCAGCTCAAGCCACTCCCACGCAGTGCTGACAGCATCAGGACACAAAGCGCGGTCACAGTGCTCTGTGTGCTAATAGCACCATGCGTGAATACGTCAGACGTGAATGAAGCCTTTTTAGGGCTTCTGAACTCGGAAGTCCCTCTGGTGGAGGTCTGAGTGACTGCAACTGGAGGTGTTCCAAGCTTCCAATGAAAACACTTACAAGAAAAAGGCTGCAGGGAGCTGTAGCACTCACCTGAACAACCTCATTAAACTGAAGTTGTTCAGGTGACTATAGGGTCCCTTTAATGGACCACTATAGTGCCAGGAAAACATACTCGTTTTCCTGGCACTATAGTGCCCTGAGGGTGCCCCCACCCTCAGGGTCCCACTCCCACTGGGCTGAATGGAGAGGAAGGGGTTAAACACTTACCTTTCTCCAGCACCGGGCTCCCTCGGCGCTGGGGACTCTCCTCCCTCTTCTTCCGTCACCAGCTGAATGCGCATTCCCAATGCTTTCCTATGGACGCTGGCGTCTTCTCACTGTGAAAATCACAGTGAGAAGCGCGGAAGCCCTCTAATGGCTGTCAATGAGACAGCCACTAGAGGCTGGGTTAACCCTAATGTAAACATAGCAGTTTCTCTGAAACTGCTATGTTTAGAGCAAAAAGGGATTAAGCTGAAGTGGTCTGGGTGCCTACAGTGGTCCTTTAACAAATGTGGTCCGAATTTGAATCATAAAATAACATTCTATTGCTTCAAAATTAGCCAAAACCCAGTTAGAAATAGTGTAATTAAAAAGGCCTGGAAATTAACCTATCACTGTACTGCAATAAATGTATTTATACACGTACATTTTATGGATTTATTTTGCAGTACAGATGTCAGTACAGTAATTGGCTAATTTTTACACTTTTGGTAGGTCTGAATAGTTACTCCTAAATGGTTAGCATGGACAATATTCAGACAAATCAAAAAGTAACATTAACGAAATTCTGTTGGCTGAATTAAAAAAAATGTAGGGCAGAAGTGATCCCTGGCACTAAGTCTGCCAAGCTCTCTGTCTGGCACTCAGTCTGCCAATCTCTCTCCCTAACACTCAGTCTGCCAAGCTCTCTGTCTGGCACTCAGTCTGCCAATCTCTCTGCCTGGCACTCAGTCTGCCAATCTTTCTGTCTGACACTAAGTCTGCCAATCTCTCTCCCTAACACTCAGTCTGCCAAGCTCTCTGTCTGGCACTCAGTCAGCCAATCTCTCTGCCTGGCACTAAGTCTGCCAAGCTCTCTGTCTGGCACTAAGTCTGCCAATCTCTCTGTCTGGCACTCAGTCTGCCAAGCTCTCTGTCTGGCACTCAGTCTGACAATCTTTCTGTCTGACACTAAGTCTGCCAATCTCTTGCCTGGCACTCAGTCAGCCAATCTATAGTCTGGCACTCAGTCTGCCAAGCTCTCTGTCTGGCACTCAGTCTGACAATCTTTCTGTCTGACACTAAGTCTGCCAATCTCTTGCCTGGCACTCTGTCTGCCAATCTATAGTCTGGCACTCAGTCTGACAATCTCTCTGCCTGGCACTCAGTCTGACAATCTCTCTGCCTGGCACTCAGTCTGACAATCTCTCTGTCTGACACTCAGTCTCCTGACCGCTCTAAATCCATCTAAATGTGTTAGACTATTAATCAGACGATCCCATTGGTAAATTTGTTAGACTATTAATTGGTTGATCTTTCTGGTACAGACTAAACTGAAGATATTTTGTATCCACAGGATGTAAATCTGGATCAGAAACTTACATGTGGATGTTTGTACTAGTGGGAAATATCCTTCAAGGAATAGGAGAGACCCCGGTTGAGCCTCTAGGATTGTCATACGTGGATGATTACGCCAAAGCTGAGAATTCTCCATTTTACATTGGTAAGCATTAACGAAATGTGTCTGAATTATTACTTTGAAAGGCTCTGTGTTACATCGATGCAATGCATTACAGCATGAGATTACGAGAAGGGCTTCTCAGCAAAAATAATGGGTTTTAACAACAAAAATAGAGTCTGCAACAAAAAATCTCCAACTAGTTTAATGCAGAACTATGAAACGAAAAGCAAAATAAAATTAGGGATACTATAGGCCAGATTGTGTTATAATGCTAGAATTTGATAATAAATGGAAGTGACCAGAACCTCCATCCAATATATTTGGATTTATAGAGAAGTAAGAGATAGAGCAGCTTTGTGTCGCCATGGTTATTTGGGGCCGGTGACCTGTTCTGTTTTTTTCAGGGTGAGAATCACTTTGTTAGGTCCATCCATGAATAGTAGGGGATCTGGAGAGCACTCACTGTCAGTCTCTTTGGTGTCAGCGGATGGTTGAGTACAGCGAATATTAGACTGCACGCTACCTCAGGATTTACCCGGGAACAAGGGCACGCTCACATTTTATATGTGAAGCAGCTACTGGACTCATGGAATAACAATTTATCTGCATTTTCTGATTCATCTGCTCTCTGGATCAACCTCACCAGAGCATTTTTTATGCAATCAGATGCTTCCCATAGAGACACATTGATTCCAATGCTTCTCTACGTGAAACATTACCAATGTTTGGGAATAGCAAATATGAAGCATCTCTGTACCTGAAAGCCTTCTATGAGGATGTGTGTCTAGTGACAGGCTGACTGACAGCTGCTAGATGTATTCTTTGTGACAATTGTAAGCATCGCCATTTCTCAACAAATGACAGTGTTTGCTTGACTGCTTCAGAACTTTTCATATTTCTATCAATCTACGCCTGAACGAATTAATCCATACGGGATTTATGTGACGGATCGATTCGTTCAGATATAGATTGACAGGAATCTGATTTGTTGGGCGCAGGTGAATAGAATTTGTGTGAAAGTCTATATTCGAGTTCAGGGACAGTGTAGGCAATAAAATAGGTATATTAAGATAAATTGGTTTTATTGCTCAGATTGTCCCTGTCTTGTTTAAATGTGAGAAAAAGCTCTCTGTAAGCACTAGAAGTTAATTAGTATTGACTTTCCGATCTCTCAGACAGGACAATGAACAGATGAAACTGCCTTTACTTTAGCAGTAAGTTTAAAATGGGGAATATGGCGAAAGACAACTGATAAAAGAAAATATAGTTTGATTTTTGATGCATAATTTCCATCCTGAGTTTTTGGGATACAATAAGTGAGAGGTAAAGCTATTGAATCTCTGATCTGTGAATTTCTAGAATTTAGAACTGGGAGCCGGAGGGATCGGTTATAATGAATCGCTGATACAATCGGTCTATATCTCTTGCAGGAATAATTCAAACCGTATCGATAGCTGGTCCGTTTCTGGGATCGCTCATGGCGGCTTTCTTTGCACAGATTTTTGTCGATATTGGATTCATAAACCTGGGTAATATCATATTATACTCATTAGTCCTCTCATCACTTAAGGTATTGGCGGGGAATTAGAGTTGTGTTGAGACCAAATGCGATAAAACTTCCCACTGCTTTTATCAAATTCACAATGTATTGCTGTGCATCATCTAAATATCTCTAATATGACCTGGAGAGAACTCAGCCGTGAGCTCTGTAATTCAGAGAAAACATGTTTCCACGGTTCTCCCAGAAATCCCAGCTCAACATGCAAATGAGCTCAGACAGGCGTCGACTTCCAGATATTGCCCTCCTTAGCAATGGAATGCTGCTTTAAACAGATTTTTATACCATAGAAAAGGAAAAAGGATAAGGAAAGGATATAATTAATATCATTATATAGAGTAAACCTTCCAGTGATGCATCAGTTACTCCTAAGGAAAAGCACGTGTTGAGGCGGGTTCTTGCAAGCCCACAGATACAATAGTAACTCTTTAATGCTGGTCTCAGTCTTAACCACTTAGTATTTCTTTAAAAAAAAAAATGCACTCAACATAGTATTATCCTATTTAAGATATTACACAATACTATGTATACAGTATATATTTATAAAATAAATTAATAAAAAAAAGAAATTGATCAAAATCCACAACCCAGGACATACGTGAAAACGAGAGAAATCTCAATGTATCTTTCCTGGTAAAACATTTTATAAATCAATCAATCAATTTAAACTCAAGGGTGTCGATGTCTCCAATTCCATTTCTTTTCTTCCTGAAATATAAATAAAATAAAAAAGACATTAAGTATTATTTTTCTGGCAATTCCTGTTTTGGTTAAAAGTTATAACTGAAGCAGAAAAGGGTTGATATCTCAAACTGTGCATGCTGTGAGTCATTCAGCTCTTGAGAAAGCTCCCCAATACGTGAGTGATTCTCTACCACAGAGAATGGATCCTATACAATATATAGAATCTCTCTCCTTCTCTTTCTCTCACTGGAATGATGTGCTACCATTTTTATTATTTGGTATTGATATAGCTCTAACATATTCTGCAGCGCTGTACAATTAAGGAATACAGACAGATAATGAACGCATACTGATACTCTGCCCATGAGCTTACAATCAAGCGAATACAGTGCTTTTATACAAAGTGCTTTGCTAAATTACTCGTGAGCTCACAATCTGAAGATGTAACATCTTTAACCAAGAATATACTACATTTTATTATAGCACAGTTCTGGTTATTTGTGTATGTGGTGGGATATTTATTGAGGGCACAGCTTTCATCCAATATTTTACTTTCTTTTCTAATGTTGACAAATTTAAGGGATGTTAACGCTTGCTGCCCATTAAACCGTTTTTATTTCTGTTAATAGAGTAATGCTGAATCTTTGCTATTTATTTTGTAAAAATCCTATGTGTATGTGTTAGGTGTGCTCCCCAAATTCGAATTAAATGCTAATTAAAAATAACGTGTTAGTGAAAGGGTTATACTCAGGGCACAGCTAGTCTAATAGAGACAGTAAGCTCTGCGGATAAAGGTCAGAGTGTAATAGGTTTAGCAATATTAATTCTGCAAGGTTTCTGGATTGGAGATAATCCGGATTGCGAGATTTACACTGTAATAGTAACGTGTGGGCTCTAGGGGGAGCTAAAGACCTGAAAAAGAAATCAGGCTCCGGCTGGCCCATTGATAACAATAACTGGCCCATGTTTTATTTCTCTCTGTTAATGCTGCTCCTCTCTTGTTTTTTAAAGACAGTGTCACCATTGGGCTCACCGATACCCGCTGGGTGGGCGCATGGTGGCTTGGTTTTTTAGTCAGCGCAGTACTAAACCTCCTTGCTGCCATTCCCTTCTGTTTTTTTCCAAAATCCCTCCCGAAGGAGGGCGAGGAGGGTCAGCCAAAAGTGGAAGAAGTGCTCGAACCGCTGCAAGATGAGACAAACGAGCCAAGCGCTAACACCGACAGCAAAATGCTCGGTAAGTGTAACGGTGAAAGACACAGACGGGTCAATTCGTCTACACTGATAGAAAGGGGTCGCTAGCATTTAAACTGCTCTGTAAAAATATTAATGTCTCGGCCGCTACAAAAACCTAAACTAACTGGAATTATGGAATCCCGACACAGACATTGGAAAAAAAACGGAACATTTACAACTATTTTTTTTACTAAAATCCGTGCTCACCTATAGAGTAACAATGTATACAGATAGCAATCAGAATAATGAATAATTCTGGGGGTTAAAGGTTAAATGATGCATTGTGAGAAATGATTAGACATCAATACTATTCCTATTCTGTTTCAGAATTCCTACAATTTCTTAAAAACCTTTGCAGGAATAAAGTCTACATGTTGTTTCTGGTTGTGACCATCATACAGTTCAGTGGATTTATAGGATTTATATCGTTTATGCCCAAATATATAGAGCAACAGTACGGAAAATCGGCGTCAGAAGCCATCTTTTTAATCAGTAAGTATCCCAAGAAAACGATTAATACACACGGACACAAAGGGTCGCTCATCTGCAAAAACAAAGGGATGTGGCCGGAGATTGCTTCTATATTTCCATATAAATGTAAACCGTTACATGGAACGGTGTCTTTTAATTACAAACGTCTTGGATGACTGACTTAGGCAGATCATTTTTGGGGGGTCAATAAAGCTTGGTATCTATTTATTAAATAGCCTCTAGGCGTGAAAACAGACAGGATAAAGTGTCTGCTCAGATATTTGAGGGTAAATTTTGCGGGTGGATTTTGTTAGCTGATAACCATTCACCTTTTCATTGAATTTGGTGAAAAGGGATAGGTTTTATTTGTATTAGAAATTTTTGATACACGATATTTTGATATTTTCAATTTAGTATTTTGGATAAGCCTTTCAACTTGTTTGATATTTTTGGATATTTTTTTTTTAAAAGTTACAATATCAAAATTAGATAATTCATAAAAATATGTTAATATATATAAAAAAAGTATTATTTAAAAAAAAACGTAATCAATTAAAAAGGTTTTTCTAAAAAATATGGAGGGCTAAGTGCAGGGACACTATGGAAGGATGCAGAATTCAGGGTCTGTGGATATAGAATTCTGGGGTGTTATTCTGGGACCTGCTTTTAGCAGGCTTAACACCTAACACACTCAGACAGTGTGGCATTGTTTACTGCCCCTAATAGCTATCATTTTTCTCCCCCCAGCTGTCTATAATCTGCCTGTGATTTGCATCGGGTATTTTTTGGGAGGATATTTCATGAAAAAATTCAAGGTGACTACATTTCTCGCGGCAAAGATCGGATTTTCCAGTTCAGTTACTGAATATCTCATTTATTTTTCTGCATTTGCGATGATCTGCAAGAACTTGCCTGTTGCTGGTCTTACAGTCACATACGATGGGTAATGCCTCGTGTTAATTGCAGGACGATTCCTGTCAGTTATCAGTCTTAATTTTACTAAAACATCTTCTAGGCAGCTTGAAATGGAAAACAGTAATGTGTTCGTCATTAATAAGCAGACATGATCATTGATGTTTGATTAGATTTGTCATTTTCTGCATTAAAGCACTGTTCATGCTGAATTGCAAGAAATACTTGATTTAGGTTTAGTTGCAGGGCTAGGACTCTAAATCACTCTTTGGTCCCTCTTACCCAGCTTTTTGTCCCTTTCGTGTATCATACCCCCTTCTCTCTCTATTTTCCCATTTTTGCCTATTGTATCCCCATGCACTGATCAGCCACAACATTAAAACCATCTGCCTAATATCACGTAGGTCTCTCTTGTGCTGCCAAAACAGTTCTGATGCGTCAAGGCATGGACTCCACAAGATCTCTGTCCTGTGGTGTCTGGCACCAAGACATTAGCAGCAGATCCTTAACGTCCTGCAAGTTGCGGGGTGGCGCCTCCATGGATCAGATTTGTTGTTCCAGCACATCCCAGAGATTGGGATATGAGGAATTTGGAGGTCAAGGCAACACCTTAAACTGGTCCTGAATGTGATTTGGGATGGGGAGAGGAAGGGGGCAGAGAGAGAGGTTAGTGCTGATGGGAGACGGTCACGCCAGGTATCCATATCTATACAAGGTGCAGGGTTATGAATGATGTCTGGGGGAGGACATAAATATGTATAAAGTATTGTTGTGCTCTTGCCACCATAGTACCAGTGATGTTGTGATGGTTTTGAGATCATTGGGTCTAGCAGACACGTCATACAACAAATCACCCACAGGGTCTTCAGCGATGATTTAGTTGTTACGTCTACGTGCAGCTTAAATGAGAGTTTCCGGACACACTTCGGACTTTTAGCTGCTGGGGTGAAGATACTTATTGTTATAGAGTGTTTAGCATTATTTCTGAAGGATTATAATTACTGAACAGCCAGACCTTTAGAGGTGTGGCTGGAGTGGTAGGATGGGGCGTGACTATACCAGAACATTTAGTGGCGTGGCTGGAGCAGTGGCAGATCCGGGGAGGGGGGCAACAGGGCAATTTCCCCCCCGAGAAAACCAAGGGTCTCCCTCTCCCCTGCCGGCTAATTGCCAGCCGTGCAATGTGCCTTCAAGGACCGGAGGGGAGATCATAGAACTCCCTCCCCGGTCCGCAGTCCGCAGTCCGCAGTCCGCAGTCCACAGGGAGTGAGAGAGGACCCGGGAGCTCAGCCTGCAGCTCCTCCGGGTCCTTCTCTCATGAGCATGGAGCGTTGCCGTGGTTACCACAGCAAATTTCACGAGAGTGAACTCTAGCCCTGGAGCTGCGGGCTAGAGTTCACTCTCACCACTGAGACCACCAGGGATTACCCACCAGACCACCAGGGATGGAGAAATGTCCCCCCTCCTCCCAGTAAAGGTAAGAAGCGAGGGGGGACATAAAGAATATTTGTTTTAATTACATTTAAATAAAAAAAACACATTTAAGAACGGTAGGGGGGACTTTTAATATTTTAATATAATATGTGTTTGTTGTTTTTTTTAAATTTCATTAATATGTATGTATGGGGGCAGTGTATGCGGGCTAGAGTTCACTCTCACCACTGAGACCACCAGGGATTACCCACCAGACCACCAGGGATGGAGAAATGTCCCCCCTCCTCCCAGTAAAGGTAAGAAGCGAGGGGGGACATAAAGAATATTTGTTTTAATTACATTTAAATAAAAAAAACACATTTAAGAACGGTAGGGGGGACTTTTAATATTTTTAATATTTTAATATAATATGTGTTTGTTGTTTTTTTTAAATTTCATTAATATGTATGTATATGTCCCTGTGTGGAAGGGGGAGAAATGTGTGTGATAAGAAGGGTAGGGGGCTTTTTTATAATCACACACATTGCTCCCCCCCACACACACACACATACACTGCCCCTTGTAACAGATCACCTGGCATCCGTGGGTCTCTTCAGACCAGTCTATGAGATCCCCTACTTCTGTAGCTGGTAGTGAAGCAGGGGGTATCTTGGCCGTGTCTTCCCAGCTGTAGGCTGGCAGGTCTGGGTCTGCCACCCAGCTTTCCTGTTCTGCGTCCATGCTCTGCGGCCGAACCGAGTTTAGCAGTTCCACATAGTCAATTTCCAGTTCTCGCTCCATGGCAATGAAACGGCGGAGGTCTTCTCCCAGTCCAATAGATCTTGGGCCCTGTAACATCTCTCCCCGGTAATGATGGATAGCCCAGTACCGTGACTCTGCTGGACTGCCGAAGTCGTCGTCTTCCATTAACACCTTCCACAACAGGCCTGGGCTAGTGTAGTTCTCCCCCTCAAGCGGAATCCCCCTCCACGTCTCTGGCTGGACGGTGCACCACCAGAGTGCCCGGTATGAGGCGTCCAGGCTCAGTTCCCTCTCTACGAGATAGTCAAGTTGTCTTACCCACTCCCCCCCGGGTTGGTCTCCCAGGAGCTGCATCCGCCAGGCCATTTTTTCCTCCAACTTGTATGTGACACAAGGAAGGCGTTCCTTGCCATTGATACTGAACTTCCTCCAGGGCATCGTACCATAGTTCTTTCCGAGCAATATTTCTCCATTCCAATTCACTCTGTTGCTCAGGTGTGTGGGTTGCCCAGGGGTCACCGAACCCCATTTTCTTAAATCCTTCTGTAGACCGGGACGTTGTATGAACACTAGCGTCGCCCTCAATTTGTAAATCCACGAACGGTTTCTCCGAGCTGCTTTATCTTGCACTAGGACGCCATCCCACCGCTTGCCACCAAATGTGACGGACCGCTGGCACTCCGACAGAGTACCTCCGCCAATCTTTGCTCCTAGCGCTTGCCGAGGACATCAAGCACTCCAACCAACACCATCAGCACTGCAGACCCCACTTCCAGCGATGCAGCTTCACTGGAGTCTTGCCGTCTTTCACCCACCCTGGATCCAAGGCCAGGATCCAGCTTCCAGTGGGCAGGCCTCTCTTCTCCCAAAGAGCGTAGCAGGAACAAGAGCTTACCCTGGAGAGTATAGTGTGATTATAGCAATCCCCAGAGTGTAGTTATCCCATCCCCCAAGCATGAGCCAAGGCTTCAAAAAAGGGTCAAGTAGTTTTTAAAGGGCCATACACAGTCCAATACATGTCCATAAGCCCCAAGTAAATTTATTAAAGTGCCATACACCCCAGGGCCATAGTCGTGAGGCAGGAGGCGGGCAAGCAGACCCCTCCAAAAACTTATGGCAAACTCCCTGAAATGGGTGAGTTTGCCACACCCCCCATACACACATTGCCCCCATACACATACACTGCCTCCCATACACATACACTGCCCCCCATACACATACACTGCCACCCATACACACACACTGCCCCCCATACACACACATTGCCCCCCATACACACACATTGCCCCCCATACACACACACTGCCACCCATACACATACACTGCCCTCATACACACACACTGCCCCCATACACACACATTCCCCCATACACACACACTGCCCCATACACACACACTGCCCCATACACACACTGCCCTCCATACACACACATTGCCCCCATACACATACACTGCCCCCCATACACACACACTGCACCCCTTACACATTGCACCACTCACACACATCACTGTTCCTATGCCCTACTACAGCCCCATTTCCCAGCAGACCTCAGGTAAGTTGTCAAACTGTTCTTAAACGGTTTGACTACTTGCTCTTTGAGGGGGTCCCGGCACTATTGACACCATAACCGCTACACTGAGCTGTAGTGGTTATTGTGTCTGGATTATTTCTTTAAATAATCTACAAGTGCCCCTCCCGAGATCAGGCTCTGGATCCGCCACTGGGCTGGAGGAGTGGGCATGGTTAAAACTATTCCAGAACATTTAGAGGTGTGACTGGAAGGGTTGGAGGGTTGGGCTATTCCAGGACTTTTACAGGTTTGGCTGGAGCAGTGGGCAGGGGTGGAGCTATTTCAGGATATTTTTTTGTGACTTCAGGAACCGATAACCATTTATAAAACTGAAAAAGTAATTTAGAATATGAACAATGTATCTTATTTCAACAGACTGATTTCTAAACACATTTATTGTAGTTTAAAGATTAATTACTGGGAGTATTATTGCTGTGGAGTTCTGTTATACACTCAGAAACATTACTGGGAGTATTATTGCTGTGGAGCTCTGTTATACACTCAGACACATTACTGTGGAGCTCTGTGATACACTCAGACACATTACTGGGAGTATTATTGCTGTGGAGCTCTGTTATACACTCAGACACATTACTGGGAGTATTATTACTGTGGAGCTCTGTTATACACTCAGACACATTACTGGGAGTATTATTACTGTGGAGCTCTGTTATACACTCAGACACATTACTGGGAGTATTATTACTGTGGAGCACTGTTATACACTCAGAGACATTACTGTGGAGCTCTGTGATACACTCAGACACATTACTGGGAGTATTATTACTGTGGAGTTCTGTTATACACTCAGACACATTACTGGGAGTATTATTGCTGTGGAGCTCTGTTATACACTCAGACACATTACTGGGAGTATTATTGCTGTGGAGCTCTGTTATACACTCAGACACATTACTGGGAGTATTATTGCTGTGGATCTCTGTTATACACTCAGACACATTACTGGGAGTATTATTGCTGTGGAGCTCTGTTATACACTCAGACACATTACTGGGAGTATTATTGCTGTGGAGCTCTGTTATACACTCAGACACATTACTGGGAGTATTATTGCTGTGGAGCTCTGTTATACACTCAGACACATTACTGGGAGTATTATTGCTGTGGAGCTCTGTTATACACTCAGACACATTACTGGGAGTATTATTGCTGTGGAGCTCTGTATACACTCAGACACATTACTGGGAGTATTATTGCTGTGGAGCTCTGTTATACACTCAGACACATTACTGGGAGTATTATTGCTGTGGAGCTCTGTTATACACTCAGACACATTACTGGGAGTATTATTGCTGTGGAGCTCTGTTATACACTCAGACACATTACTGGGAGTATTATTGCTGTGGAGCTCTGTTATACACACAGACACATTACTGGGAGTATTATCGCTGTGGAGCTCTGTTATACACTCAGACACATTACTGGGAGTATTATCGCTGTGGAGCTCTGTTATACACTCAGACACATTACTGGGAGTATTTTTTGCTGTGGAGCTCTGTTATACACTCAGACACACCAACAATATGGAGCTCCTAGAATAGAGGGACATTAAGATAGAAAAGAGGGATTGGGGCCCAAAATAGTGATTGTCCCTTTTAAATAGGGACACTTATGGAGCTCCTAGAATAGAGGGACATTAAGATAGAAAAGAGGGATTGGGGCCCAAAATAGTGATTGTCCCTTTTAAATAGGGACACTTGGGAGTTATTAAGCATTGCTTATGATAACTTGTAGTTTTTCTGCTTTATCTATTAATACAACCATTGTCTGATGAGATGTTTTCCCCTCTGTTTGAAATGCTTCGACTCTCGTTCTAACTAAATTATGTGAAATAAAACAATCTCTGCGTTTTTTCTTTTTAATATAAAATGACCGTAACTCTGTGCTGATTTGTTGCAGGACTGAGCAGATTTCCTATTTAGATAATTTGACAGCAGATTGTAACGCGCACTGTGACTGTCCTACGGATATTTGGGACCCTGTGTGTGGTGACAACGGTTTGTCCTATATATCAGCTTGCCTCGCAGGATGTGACTCTGCCACGGGAAGTGGACAGAATACAGTAAGTGGATGGTGCAGAACAAGTAACAATATGTCTGCCTGCTAGTGCATGTGCGGCTGGTCGATACATTAATCTGTACAAAGAGAAATGTCAGTTAACAAGGAGGGAGATCTGCTACATTCCCCAAACATTCTCCTCTTCTGAATCTAGTGAGGATATTCACTACACCGAGATTGCTGGGAACTGGCCAGGGATTGGTGGAACATGTCTGGGCATTAATGGCTAACATTCACACAAATAGAACTCTGGTATTTTGTATTTGAAATTCTAGTGACTGTCCAACCATTTTATTAATATTAATTATTAGATTTTATTATTATTATTGGATTTCACTTCTCTGAAACTCACACCATTGAATAAAACATTGAAAATTACCTAGCACTACAATCTGTTTACATTTTGTTTCATGAGATGCTCTGTTTACTTTTAAGCTTATATTAAAGTTTTAGCAGATTACATCGTAAGCCAGTTCAGACAAGGCACAGCCAGGGCACACAATGCAAATGACCAGGAGAAAAAGAAACATTGTTTCATCTCCCCTCCTCTCTGTATACTGACTGTCAGGTGTAAAGGGCGGAGCTTATAAACATTGATTGACAGGGAGCTAAGATGGAGGTGGCTCTCTCTATACTGACTGCCAGGGGTAAAGGGCGGAGCTTATAACAATGATTGACAGGGAGCTAAGATGGAGCTGGCTCTCTCTATACTGACTGCCAGGTGTAATGGGCGGAGCTTATAACAATGATTGACAGGGAGCTAAGATGGAGGCGGCTCTCTCTATAATGACTGCCAGGTGTAAAGGGCGGAGCTTATAACAATGATTGACCGGGAGCTAAGATGGAGGCGGCTCTCTCTATACTGACTGCCAGGTGTAAAGGGCGAAGCTTATAACAATGATTGACCGGGAGCTAAGATGGAGGTGGCTCTATACTGACTGCCAGGTGTAAAGGGCGGAGCTTATAACAATGATTGACAGGGAGCTAAGATGGAGGCGGCTCTCTCTATACTGACTGCCAGGTGTAATGGGCGGAGCTTATAACAATGATTGACAGGGAGCTAAGATGGAGGTGGCTCTCTCTATACTGACTGCCAGGTGTAAAGGGCGGAGCTTATAACAATGATTGACAGGGAGCTAAGATGGAGGTGGCTCTCTCTATACTGACTGCCAGGTGTAAAGGGCGGAGCTTATAACAATGATTGACAGGGAGCTAAGATGGAGGCGGCTCTCTCTATACTGACTGCCAGGTGTAAAGGGCGGAGCTTATAACAATGATTGACAGGGAGCTAAGATGGAGGTGGCTCTCTCTATACTGACTGCCAGGTGTAAAGGGCGGAGCTTATAACAATGATTGACAGGGAGCTAAGATGGAGGTGGCTCTCTCTATACTGACTGCCAGGTGTAAAGGGCGGAGCTTATAACAATGATTGACAGGGAGCTAAGATGGAGGCTCTCTCTATACTGACTGCCAGGTGTAAAGGGCGGAGCTTATAACAATGATTGACAGGGAGCTAAGATGGAGGCGGCTCTCTCTATACTGACTGCCAGGTGTAAAGGGCGGAGCTTATAACAATGATTGACAGGGAGCTAAGATGGAGGCGGCTCTCTCTATACTGACTGCCAGGTGTAAAGGGCGGAGCTTATAACAATGATTGACAGGGAGCTAAGATGGAGGCGGCTCTCTCTATACTGACTGCCAGGTGTAAAGGGCGGAGCTTATAACAATGATTGACAGGGAGCTAAGATGGAGGTGGCTCTCTCTATACTGACTGCCAGGTGTAAAGGGCGGAGCTTATAACAATGATTGACAGGGAGCTAAGATGGAGGTGGCTCTCTCTATACTGACTGCCAGGTGTAAAGGGCGGAGCTTATAACAATGATTGACAGGGAGCTAAGATGGAGGCGGCTCTCTCTATACTGACTGCCAGGTGTAAAGGGCGGAGCTTATAACAATGATTGACAGGGAGCTAAGATGGAGGCGGCTCTCTCTATACTGACTGCCAGGTGTAAAGGGCGGAGCTTATAACAATGATTGACAGGGAGCTAAGATGGAGGCGGCTCTCTATACTGACTGCCAGGTGTAAAGGGCGGAGCTTATAACAATGATTGACGGGGAGCTAAGATGGAGGCGGCTCTCTCTATACTGACTGCCAGGTGTAAAGGGCGAAGCTTATAAGATGGAGGCACCCAGTTACAGGATAAAGACACGTGGAAATAATTGTATTCTCACATCACACAAATATGACTAAAGTGAGAATTGTTGAAATTCAACATGAATTCAAACTGGCCTTAGCCCCTTCATCCGAGTAATTTGGGTGTCCTGGGAAGTAATGTTTACATTTTTGTTTCAGTATAAATAGATGGAAACAAAAACAGAAATCTGTTCATAAACAGGCTATACATAGGACACGAGTTCACACATTTAGGCTGGAAGAAAGGAGATTTCATCTAAGGCAAAGAAAAAGGTTTTTTTTACAGTAAGAGCAATAAGGATATGGAATTCTCTGCCTGAAGAGGTGGTTTTATCAGAGTCCATACAGATGTTTAAACTGAAATTGGATAAATACTTACAAAAACATAACATACAGGGATATCATTTCTAATTAGTGGGGTAATAGCTGCTTGATCCAAGGAGACATCTGACTGCTATTCTGGGGTTAAGAAGGAATTTTTTCCTAGTTTGTGGCAAAATTGGAAGCGCTTCAGACTGGGTTTTTTGCCTTCTTTTGGATCAACAGCAAAAACAAATGTGAGGAAGGCTGAACTTGATGGACGCAAGTCTCGTTTCAGCTATGTAACTATATGTAACTATTTAAGATATGTTGGTTGAACAGAAAACTTGAAAAACAAAAACATTTAACAAATAATGAAATAACAGGCTAGGAAACAGTGCTGTAAATCAATATGTCCAGTACACATACATATACATGCTTACAGTAACACACAGTCAGACACACACACACACTGCCAGTAACACACACAGTCAGTGGTGTATCCTGGTTTTGTGCTGCCCTAGGCATGACAAAACTCGGACGCCCCCCCCCTTCCCCTCTACCCCACCTTCTAAATAAACACACACACAATCACTGACAGACATGCATACACTAGCTAACAGACATACACAGTCACTAGCAGACACACACATTCACTAACAGACACGCATACACTCTCACTAACAGACACACACATAGAAACACACTCCCTAACACTCACACACACACACACTCATTAACAGACATACACACACACACACACTAACAGACACACACACACACACTCACATTAACACTCAGTTTTTTTTTCTTAAATTCAATCCCCCCCCAGCCTTCTTACCTTTGGGAATGCTGGGGGTGGGGGTGTTCTCCCCTTCCCTGGGGTCCAGTGGGGCTGCTGGGCGGGCAGCGCTGGCGAGGGAGCACTGATTAGTGACCTCTCACTTGCCGCCCCCTGGAAAGTGCCACCCAAGGCAAATGCCTTGTTTGCCTCACGGCTAATCCCTGCACACAGTCAGACACATACACATGCTTACAGACACACTTACATATACACTACCAGTAACACACACTGTCAGACACATACACACATAAACATGTTGACAGACACACACACTGCCAGTAAAACACACGTCAGACATATAAACACATATAAATGCTGACATGCACCCACTCACACACACACACTGCAAGTAACATACACTGTCAGACACATACACATACTGACAGAAACACACTCACATGTACACTATTAGAAACACATACTGTGAGACACATACACATGGTGACAGTCACACACATACACTACTAGTAACACACACTGTCACTCACATACACATATATATACTGACAGAAACCCATTAACACACACACTGCCAGTAACACACACACTGTCAGACATATACACATGTATGTACGTAGCGGGGAATTACGATGCCACATAACCATAAATAACGCCAATAAAACCCCTCAATAACAACAGACAACTAAGTATGGATGAACAGGCTACAGCATTTATCATCACAAACTAAATTACTGCATAACACATCCATAACTTGTTTATTAATCTCTTCTTTCTGTAACCAAAACGTTAGACATAAATAATCATAAATTAACATATATACATATATAACTCCACCCATAGTGTTATACAGTGACCCAACCGTCCTTGCCAATAAACATACAGTGGTTCCTAATCACCACTTCCTCTCACCTCCCCCCTCGTCATAAAATCATATCTTTCCAATGCCCGCCATCAGCCGACCTTATCCACGCTCGATGGGCACGACACCTCAGGCAACCTAATGTTAAACGTTTGAAGCAGGGGAGGTTGAGACCTGCAAAACATAAAAACTTACTCCATCCTTAACCCCTTAAGGACGGAGCCAAATGTACACATTGTGAACAAAACAAAATGTAAACAAAACCTGGCATTTGCGCTACATGTCTGTCCAACCGTAATACACCTCTTTCATAGTAAATGCACCCACCCTTATTATATATCATTTTATTCAGGGGAAACAGGGCTTTCATTTAATATCAAATATTTAGCTATGAAACATAATTTAATATGAAAAAAATGGGAGAAAATACGATTTTTTTGATTTTTTTAGTTCTAAATTGCATTTTAAAGGTCAGTGTCATAATACTGTTTGATTTTACTGCAATAAAATACACATATTTGTATTTAGTAAAGTCTCACGTGTAAGACAGTACCCCTATGTACAGGTTTTATGGCGTTTTGGGAAGTTACAGGGTCAAATATAGCACGTTACATTTGAAATTGAAATTCGCCAGATTGGTTACGTTGCCTTTGAGACTGTATAGTAGCCCAGGAATGAAATTTACACCCATAATGGCATACCATTTGCAATAGTAGACAACCCAAGGTATTGCAAATGGGTATGTCCAGTCTTTTTTAGTAGCCATTTGGTCACAAACACTGGCCAAAGTTAGCGTTAGTATTTGTTTGTGTGTGAAAAATGCAAAAAACGCCAATTTTGGCCAGTGTTTGTGACTAAGTGGCTACTAAAAAGACTGGACATACCCCATTTGCAATACCTTGGGTTGTCTACTATTGCAAATGGTATGCCATCATAGGGGTAATTTTCATTCTTGGGCTACTATAGGGTCTCAAAGGCAACGTAACCAATCTGGCGAATTTTAATGTGAAAAAAATGAAAACACAAGCCTTATATTTGACGCTGTAACTTTTGAAAACACCATAAAACCTGTACATGAGGGGTACTGTTGTACTCGGGAGACTTCGCTGAACACAAATATTTGTGTTTCAAAACAGTAAAGTATCACAGCAATAATATTGTCCGTGTAATGCTGTTTGTGCGTGAAAAATGCAAAAAACTTCACTTTTACTGGCGATATCATCGTTGTAATACATTTTACCGTTTTGAAACACTAATATTTGTGTTCAGCGAAGTCTCCCGAGTAGAACAGTACCCCCATGTACAGGTTTTATGGTGTCTTGGAAAGTTATAGGGTTAAATATAGTGCTAGCAAATTAAATTCCCTTTACTTTCGGCATGGGTTGTCAGGCAGGTCCCGCTAATTGTAATTAATTAAGATACCTAATTATGTAAAAAATATTACATAAATATATATGTAGAATTAATATATGTATATATATACGTATGTGTATATATATGTATATATCTATATAATTTTTTTAAAATATTTTTATTTATATATAGGTATATATATATAGTGATATATACGTATATATTTATGTATATAGATATATTATTTCGTTCTACGTGTATTTTGATATATATATATATATATATATATATATAAATTTCACAAAACAGTTAGAACGAAATAACACACATCTATATATTTTTTAATTATTTATTTTTAATTATTTTTTTAATTTTATTTTTTAACGTATTTACATTTTTATATTATATATAAATATATATAACAATAATTATATATATATTTAATCAGTATCAGTCTACGTGTAATTTGATATTAATATATATATATAATTATATATATATTAATAGTAAAATACACCTAGACGGCGTATGTGTGTGTATGTATATGTGTATATATATACTTAGATCATATATATATAATATATACATATGATCTAAGTATATATAATTATTTTTTTTTTACACCATTAACTTATTTTTATTTTATTTTCAGCCAGCAGGGGGACCACCTGTAATTACAGGCAGCCCCCCTGCCGGCAATACAGAAGCCAGCTATACCCGGCCATGTGATTGTGGGGTCCTCGCTAGAACCCCACTCTCACATGGCCGGGGGGCTTCAACGAGGACGGATGTGCCGCGGGGGGCTCCCTGGGAGTCCCCCCCACCGCGATCGCCGGCGTGGGACCGCCGGCGACCGGGTAAGTTAACAAAAACCGGAGGGCGTACAATTACGCCCGGCGGCGTTTAGAGCCGCCTATTAGAGGGCGTAATTGTACGTCCTGCGGTTTTAAGGGGTTAAACATAACCCCTCAAACTCAATTGGCAAGGACATACCCCCGGCTAGCTGTGACTAAATATACCAATAGGGTGGGCGGGAGGGAAGCTGTTTGCTGGCCCGAATCCCAAGTGGCACTGAGGTAAGACCTCCCCCACACTAACTTACACAGAACATAATCCCACCCACACACACTCTTTCCCATCCAATCCCACGCATCTATCCCCACACTCCTACATGTGCCCTTGTCCGCTTAGCTGCGCTATCTCCCCAGGGCCTTATACATGCTGATAGACATACACACACACTGCCAGTAACACACACACTGTCAGACATATACACATATACATGCTGATAGACATACACACACACTGCCAGTAACACACACACTGTCAGACATATACACATATACATGCTGATAGACATACACACACACACTGCCAGTAACACACACACTGTCAGACATATACACATATACATGCTGATAGACATACACACACACTGCCAGTAACACACACACTGTCAGACATATACACATATACATGCTGATAGACATACACACACACTGCCAGTAACACACACACTGTCAGACATATACACATATACATGCTGATAGACATACACACACACACTGCCAGTAACACACACACTGTCAGACATATACACATATACATGCTGATAGACATACACACACACTGCCAGTAACACACACACACTGTCAGACATATACACATATACATGCTGATAGGCATACACACACACTGCCAGTAACACACACACACTGTCAGACATATACACATATACATGCTGATAGACATACACATAGACTGCAGTAAAGCACAGTGTTAGACACATTATTATTATTTTATTATTTATATAGCGCCATCAGATTCTGTAGCGCTGTACAATGGGTACACACATATACATGCTGACAGACACACACATTGTCACACACTATTAAATCTAGGCTTATTTTAGAAAACCTTTTTGTAATCTTGCTCCTGAGAAATCATTCACCATTAACGGGTCAAATAATCCGTGACTTGGTTATAATGACAATTTACTTATATAAAGCACATGACACTTTGTTAATAAGCACCAAATTGCTGTAACTATAGCTGAGAATTTTTCCAAACCTGCACTTTTTGCCTAAATTCTGAAATTCACTCAATGTAATTGTTTAATGAATAAATCTATTTGTTCAGCTTCATATGAATCATCCATCATGAAATGTGAATTGATTACATTAAAATGCGTGGATTTTAGGACACGGTGCATCATATAATGCAGCAGACTTTCCGATTGCTGGCTGATATTTTGAAATAATTAAATTGTTTTTTTGTGAGTTTTTGTTTAGTTTATTTTTAATCACTTTTCAATTATTCACTAAAAAGCAAACTGAATTAAGCTCCAAACTGCTAAATTTAGTCTTACATTTTGTGACACAAGTTATTTTTTTCTGCAGGTTTTTCAGAATTGCAGCTGTGTTTCAGGATCTGTATTTGCATCAAATGCCACCGCGGTGCCAGGCCAGTGTCCAAGGGAGGAGCGCTGTGACACCATGTTACTTTATTTCCTGATCATGTCTCTAGTCTGCTGTTTGATTTACTCGTTTGGGGCCATGCCGGGATACATGGTGCTGATCAGGTAACGTTCCTTAGTATAAAACTTTATGCCAAATAGGGAAATACATATATAGCCGTGTGCGATCATATGTAATAATTATATATAATAACATAAACTATCTATACATATCCACACACAGAAATCAAGGTAACCATTGTCAGCCTGCATACAAAATACAGCTTTCATCTAATTAAGCAAATGGTGGATTAATTATCCAGGGACTGTAAAATTTTGAAAATAGGTATATTTTGTTTTTTGCCTAAATTTGATCAGAATAAAGTTAGCACAGAATTACTAATGACGCGGGTGAATTGGCGAGATACTTCCTACTGATGTACGTAGCGCTTTTGTTATCTTGCAGGAGCCTGACGCGGGAAGAGAAGGCATTTGGTCTGGGTCTCCACTTACTGGCCACGCGAGCTCTAGGTAGGAATATATAGCGCTGCTTAATGATGCACACTATACATGTGAGGAGATTAGATCACATTATCATTACATGGTAAATATATTCCACACAGCAATACATTACATTTGTTCTATTCCAACATGGGATAAATAGAAGGAAAAGCATGTTATCTGTAAATTACACAAGCGAATAAACATTGGAAAATCCCCTAACAGTTGTTAAACCCTTTTATCCCTGGGATACTCTGGTTATGTTTGAATTTATATCACAGTTTTAGCAAATTACTTTAAAAACCAGTTCAGACAAGGCACACAATCCAAATGAAGAGGATAAATAGTAACATTGTTTCATGACTCCTCCTTCTCTCTGAATGTTCTCTCTATACTGACTGCCAGGTGTAAAGGGCGGAGCTTATAACAATGACTGACAGGGAGCTAAGATGGAGGCGGCTCTCTCCATACTGACTGCCAGGTGTAAAGGGCGGAGCTTATAACAATGATTGACAGGGAGCTAAGATGGAGGTGGCTCTCTCTATACTGACTGCCAGGTGTAAAGGGCGGAGCTTATAACAATGATTGACAGGGAGCTAAGATGGAGGCGGCTCTCTCTATACTGACTGCCAGGTGTAAAGGGCGGAGCTTATAACAATGATTGACAGGGAGCTAAGATGGAGGCGGCTCTCTCTATACTGACTGCCAGGTGTAAAGGGCGGAGCTTATAACAATGATTGACAGGGAGCTAAGATGGAGGCGGCTCTCTCTATACTGACTGCCAGGTGTAAAGGGCGGAGCTTATAACAATGATTGACAGGGAGCTAAGATGGAGGTGGCTCTCTATACTGACTGCCAGGTGTAAAGGGCGGAGCTTATAACAATGATTGACAGGGAGCTAAGATGGAGGTGGCTCTCTCTATACTGACTGCCAGGTGTAAAGGGCGGAGCTTATAACAATGATTGACAGGGAGCTAAGATGGAGGCGGCTCTCTCTATACTGACTGCCAGGTGTAAAGGGCGGAGTTTATAACAATGATTGACAGGGAGCTAAGATGGAGGCGGCTCTCTATACTGACTGCCAGGCGTAAAGGGCGAGCTTATAACAATGATTGACCGGGAGCTAAGATGGAGGCACTCTATACTGACTGCCAGGTGTAAAGGGCGGAGCTTATAACAATGATTGACAGGGAGCTAAGATGGAGGCGGCTCTCTATACTGACTGCCAGGTGTAAAGGGCGGAGCTTATAACAATGATTGACAGGGAGCTAAGATGGAGGCTGGCTCTCTCTATACTGACTGCCAGGTGTAAAGGGCGAGCTTATAACAATGATTGACAGGGAGCTAAGATGGAGGCTCTCTCTATACTGACTGCCAGGTGTAAAGGGCGGAGCTTATAACAATGATTGACAGGGAGCTAAGATGGAGGCGGCTCTCTCTATACCGACTGCCAGGTGTAAAGGGCGGAGCTTATAACAATGATTGACAGGGAGCTAAGATGGAGGCGGCTCTCTCTATACTGACTGCCAGGTGTAAAGGGCGGAGCTCATAACAATGACTGACAGGTTGCTAAGATGGAGGCGTCTAGTTACAGGATAAAGATGTGTGGATTTCTACATTTAATTGTATCATTTAGATCTCATAAATACATATTTATTAAATATAGGGATAAGGAAAACTAATGTATAATGCGGCAGTTGGAATACATTGGAGATTGAGGGGGATTGCACTCAGTGTTACATTCATACAGGGACAGTTACTGTGTCAGTATTGTTTATTCATATTAAAGGGGCACACTGGCAAATAGAACATGGTCATGCTGCCAAATGTCCCTGGCACTATCTAACAATACGCTGTCAAACCATTTCGACTTGGCTCTGTCACACCCCGCAGTGCTTCCAGTGTGAGCTAATACTGCTTTGGTATTAACAGTATCAATCTGGTGTAAGTTCAGACATTGTTCATCGGCTGAGAGAGTAACAACATACCCTACCATATTACAGAACATAAGACACAACAAAACACAAGGCACGACACAAGACACGACAAAACACAAAGGCCGACAAAACACAAGACACGACAAGACACGACATGACACAAGACACGACACAAGGGCCGACAAAACACAAGACACGACAAGACAAGACACAAGACACGACATAGGACATGACACAAGACAAGACATGACAAGACACAAGACACAACATAAGACACGACATAAGACATGACACAAGACACGACATGACACAAGACACAACATGACACAAGACACGACACAAGACACGACACGACACAACAAAACGTAACATCACAAAACACAACATAACCTACCATATCACAGAACACAAAACAAAATTACATGAAATAACACAATAAAATGCAGCACAAACCTATCCCCCAAAACCTAGCTGTCAGCATTACCACATTTAATCTGAGTAAAATAATGTAAAGTGTGCTGCGATACATCTCCATAGCAGTACTGATATCAGAATTAGGACAATGTTACTTAGTTACACAGGATATAAAGAGACCGCAGTTCGTCAAGTTCAGCCTTTTTCTGTTTTTGCTGGTCATCCAAAAGAAGATGACGCAAACCAGCTGTGAGCAAGGCTGCACTTGATGACCGCCAGTCTTTGTTCAGCCTGTGGGAAATTCTCTAAACTGGGATTCCGTTACTGCAGGTTTGAGATGTATCGCAGCACATTTTACATGATTTCCCTCTGAATGACCTACATATAACGTCTGTTTCTGTAGATTTATAACTGTATTTCCAGGTGGAATCCCTTCCCCTATTTACTATGGGGCATTAATTGACACAACCTGCCTAAAATGGGGTACAACGAGCTGTGGGGAGCCAGGAGCTTGCCGGATGTATGATGCAGACACTTACAGGTGAGCCTCGTTGTCTGTCATTCAGCACTACGTTACCCCTGTATCTGGCCAAAAATTACCACGGGTTACTCACTAAACACAGACGGGGTTACCCACTAAACACTGACAGAGTTACCCAATAAACACAGACAGGGTTACTCACTAAACACTGACAGGGTTACCCACTAATAACTGACAGGGTTACAGACAGGGTTACCCACTAAACACAGACAGGGTTACTCACTAAACACTGACAGGGTTACCCACTAATAACTGACAGGGTTACAGACAGGGTTACCCACTAAACACAGACAGGGTTACTCACTAAACACTGACAGGGTTACCCACTAATAACTGACAGGGTTACAGACAGGGTTACCCACTAAACACAGACAGGGTTACTTACTAAACACTGACAGGGTTACCGACTAAACAATAGGAATGTGCTTGGGCAAAAAATTTGGTTCAGTTCAGCACTTCCGAAATTTGGGACTTTGGCAATTCAGCACTTTGGTTCGGTTCAGCACTTGTGAAATTCGGGAATTCGGCACTTTGGCAATTCCCTAACCCTACCCGTAACCTAACCCCAACACTAACCCTACCCCTAATCCTAACCCTACCCCTAACCCCAACCCTACCCCTAACATAACCATAGAGTTACATATCCACTTGCAGGGGCGGACTGAGAACCCTCAGGGCCCCCGGGCAAAATAAATCAAGGGCCCCCTTACAGGCCCCACCCATACTCTGCAGCAAGCGCCACCCTTGTCCCTCCTCCATGCACCGCCTCCAGCCACACCCTACACAATCTTTAGACACAAGGAACAAAAGGGCAATAAGCCCTTCGAGGCCCCAGCAGAGACTACAATTGAGGGCTAATGGGCCATGGAGGGGGGTCTTTCTAGCAGAGGCTATCTCAGTATCCTTTAGAGAGTGTGTTAGAAAGAATCCCCTCCAGGCCCCATTAGAGACTACAATGGAGTCTAATGGGGCCTGGAGGGTGGTCTCTCCAACACTCTGGTTTCTATTCACAATATAGCAACACAACATAGCTCGCTGATACCTAGGCCAAGTTGGCTCTTCATACCTTAATTACTGTTGCTGGCTGGCAGTCTGTGGGCTTGCTTGCTGCGGCTGGCAGGCTGTGGGCTTGCTTGCTGCGGCTGGCAGGCTGTGGGCTTGCTGGCTACTGCCGGCAGGCTGTGGGCTTGCTGACTGCGGCTGGCAGGCTGTGGGCTTGCTGACTGCGGCTGGCAGGCTGTGGCTTGCTGGCTGCGACTGGCAGGCTGTGGGCTTGCTGGATGTAAGCCTGTGGCTTGCTGTAGGCCTGTGGCCTGGCTACTGGCCTGTGGGCTGGCTAACTGGCTGGCTACTGGCCAGCCTGTGGGTTGGCTGGCTGGCTACTGGGGCACTTGTAAATTATTTAAAGAAATAATCTATGCACAATTACCACTACTGCTCCAGAGTAAGTAGTCAAACCATTTAAGAACAGTTTGACAACTTACCTGGGATCTGCTGGGATATGGGGCTGTAGTAGGGAATAGGAGCAGTGGTGCAATGTGTGTGAAAGGTTCAGTGTGTGTGTGGTGGTGTAGTGTGTGAATGTGTAGGGTGTGTGGGTTGTGTATGTGTGTGGCAATGTTAGTATGGGGGGCTGTGTATGGGGGTCTGTGTG